CTAAATGACTCGAAACATCATAACAATAAGAAATTGAATTTTGGGAAAATGCCATGCTTGGAAAGAAGGAGAAAGTAAAAGCGTGGTAACTTTAGATGTTGCTTATTATCTTTTAGTTGCATCTTATCTGAAAGAACCCATAAATTTATGAGAAAAATGCTTTGGCTGCTAAGATTATCCATTGGATCAAATTCAGGAAATGCAGCTGGCAAAATTATACCACATTGATGACTCCATTGGGTCCCATTGGAGCAAAAATAGGAATAGAATTGTCAATGTTGGAAGGGACGAATGATAAAGTTGTCTGTCAAGAAAAGCAAGCAACTGGTGAAGAAGATAAAGCTTTTACTATATTTTATATATATATATATATATATATATATTGCTTTCTTGTTTACTAAGTGAAGAGGGTTTTTGTCAAGGTTGGGTTGTTTTTAAATTAAGTTGGTGTTTACTTTAAGCAAAAAGAGATAAAATTTGCAATGCTTCTTCCCCTTTTCTTCTTTACCAAGGTTAAACTTGGATTAAGTAAAGCCAAGGTGGTAAGAAAGGATAAGGATGAAACCATCAAGAGAGAGAGTGAGTGAGATTCTCTAAGCAGCCGACAGCTTAAGTTAATTGACTTGTACTTTTGTTGTTGTTTAATGAAGAAACAAATACTTAAAAGAAAGATAGGCTGAGGAAGATGCGCATGGCATGGGAGGGATTCCTTTGTATGCTTTTGAGTTGTTTATTAGTTTAATAAACTTAGTTCTTTTTTTTTTTTTTGGACTAAATAATGATGTGAAGTTCTTAAACTAATGGTTGTCATGTTTATGCCGACACTTCCAACTCTTGTTTCCCCGTCTTCCAACTTCAATTAGCTGCTGAACAGCTATTGTGGGCAACTAGATTTTGCCTTTCTTTTTTTTTTAAATTGACTAATGAAAACCATCTTGTAGTTTATCGTATTTGTCAAAGCAAACTATTATACTTATTTACTCAGTTCATAAAATCAATTTTCGCACTCATCACGTACATTCAACTTGTCACATCACCACAAATAATCAATATCCAAATTTTTTGTTATAAAACAGACTCATCCTTAAGGAATTTTTCCAATGATCTCCGTTAATATTTCATCAAATCATCAATTCATAATAGAATGCAACTCACAATCATTCACATGATCTCTCATTGAATTATACTTAAATTTATCATCAATTATTAATTATCTTAATTATAACATTGACTTTCTTCTTATATATAAAATAAAAAAAAAACTCAATTTCTTGAAAAATCAACTCCAATATCCTTTAACTCTACATATTTGTTGTAAATCTAAATTATTCTTTATACGACTATCAAATCACTTTCCTTCCTTTTAATACCTAAAAACACCGTCAACAAAAATAATTTCAACCCCCACTTTCAAATTCGAAGAGAAACACCATCAACAAAAATAATCTCAACCCCTACTTTCAAATTCGAAGAGAATAATATACCTTGGTCCACTCCCCATAATCTCATCACATATTGCCTAATTATAACATTAGATCTTTAAGTAATCATGATACAGGTGTTTTTCCAGGCTTAAATGTGTTTATCTCCATCAATTTTTGCCTGTAATACAGCTCGGACAGCATATTCTCTTTGTTTTGAAAATAAGTCAGAAAATGCAAACTCTATAAGGCAGTACTAATTTTTATGGTATTATTACACATTTCCTTTCTTCTGAAAAAGACATAACCCTAAATTTGTATGATAACATACTGCTGCACCGGGTTCAATGAACCAAGCCAGGCACCTTTTTGTAGTAGTAGTAGAATTTTTTCTATCTGCCAATGAATCAGTACTTTGAACATGATAGATGCGAATATTCGACCCTTTTTCGCCGTGAAACTCTGAAAACAAAAAACCATTATTTTTTTGTGCTACATTTCATCTGTTCGATATTTGAAGTAGGCCCCTAACACTCCCACACCCCCCCGTCCTTTTCCTTCCGCAATTCTCTGGTATAGTGGCAAGAAAAGCTGCATGATAGCGATGTGTGTCTCTATATTGATGTGAGTGCTTATTAACGTCCTTTCTCAATCTGGTTCTCTTGCAGTCTACTTTCTTCAATTTAGTTATAATAGTTTTAAATAATATAATTTAAAATTTTAATGAAATTAAAAATATATTTCATATTTTTATATCATAAATAATAATATATAATTTTTATATAAAATTCTTAATAGTTTACATGATATGAATACTTAGATTATTAGATTTATTCCAAATCAATTTTGTTTGTGATGTATCTGCCACTCACGGTATTCTTCAATGTTTCCCTCCTCCCAGGCTGGAAACCTTCACGCATTGTCCTTTAAGTTCGTGCCTTATGGCTCCAAGAGAATAGAAAAAGCGTAAGATATGAATTCTTTCATTTTTTTAAGTTAGATTTCAACAACCCTTGAATTAAGCCTTAATTTAAGCATTATCTATGTGGGTTTACGACTTTAAGTGTACCATAAAGTAATTAAAACCCTCTGGTCATATTCAAGCCACCCGTCCAACATTGGTTAAGTGGTCATTGGGTTCGAGGTAGTACGAGACAGCATGTGGCTGTGAAAAGACAAAAAAATGGGAGAAAGCAATCAACCAATCAATTATCGAAACCTAGCCCATATCTTACCCGTTGGTGGAAAAGATGTTAGTCAAATACTTGAAATGAAATCAATAAAGAAAAGAGTAGCAAGGGTTGAATCTTTTCTGTTGGAAAGCAAACACTTTGTCTGTAACTTTCACTTGCTTTAAAGTCCATATTAACACATAGATAAAGTAGGATTGTTTTATATTCCCCTTATTTTAACACAACAAATCTTTCCAACAGCAAAGTTTGTATCTTTGGAGGGTATTAAATAATGATCAATGATCAATGATTCTACTATACTTGATGAACTCCTTATTTAAATCTCATAATTTATGATTTTTTAATCGTTTGGATTATAATTAAAAATTGAATTCAAAATTTTTATTTTTGAAGTCGATTTTAATATAAGAGTTCATTAATAATTGATCTCATAATTGACACATGGTATCCATTATAATGTTTTTCTTTGGTTTTGAGGGTATAATTAAAGGTATAAATGAATATAGTTTTTAATAAATTGTTTGTGAATATATTTGATTTATATTTGTTTATTAAATTTAACAAATAATTTTAAATAATATTTTTATATCCGTTTATTAAATAAACCGAATATGAATAAATTTTTATTCGATTTGTTTATAATTGTGAATCAATTCGTTTAAAATTTATTCATTTATTGTTCGTTTATATTTGTTGTTTATTTATAATAATACTAATAAAATTAAATTTTTATCATTTATCATAATCTTATTTTAAGATTTATTTATATTTATTTAAGTTTATTTATATTCATTTAGAGTTTGTTTATTTAAATTTATTTATTATTTATAAATATGTTTATTTAATATTCACAAATAAACTCGTTTAATTTAATTAAACCGAATATGAATCAAATACATATATTTTATAATTTAAATAAACCAAATCCACACACTTCTAAAAATAAACAAAAGATATATATTCGTTTGTTTATATTCAATTCATAAGTTTGAATATTAATTACAATTTTGCCTTTGAAATCTTTGGTTAAACACGTGTTGGGAAAGGGCTGTGGCCATGTGCCAGTGGGTAGGGTACGGCTAAAGAATTTTATGGGCCATTGTTTTGGACTCAAGCCCATGATTTTCCTAATTGTATGGGCTTTGTTTGATTTTCTAACCCCAGGACTTTTTCTTTACTTGAAAATATGGGCCACGGGTTTAAAACTCAAGCCCACCTAAAGATATGTGCTTTACCTTATGATTTCTAAGCCCAGCCTCCTGTATTCAGTCCTATGGAATGGTCCATTGTTTTTGAACTCAAGCCCATTATTTCTTCAAGGCATGGGTTTTGCATTTTGGATTTCTAAGCCCACTTACTATGGGCCATTATTTTGGGGCAGAAGCCCATCATTTCCCAATGATATGGGCTTCGTATCATGGATGCACTTGAGAAGATCGGAGAAGATCGGAGAACAGGTCTCATCTCAGATCAGCTGCTGAAGCAAGTTTGGAGTGGATCAGGCTCGAGCCTTGACACGAACAGTTCATGTTGGTTTTGTGTTGAATAGTAAGAAACAATTGAGTTTGGAGTACAAAAATGAATTGTCTTGACAAAGGGTAGATGGGAGTTGGCGAATGTGAATGAGTGCAACTTAAAAACAGTCTCAAGTTCCAACCAACTACGGGTATTAAGTTGGTTTGAAAGCATCCAAGATAGAATAGTAATGGGCAAATGGGGCCACTGCCCACTTCAGCTTACCGGGGCTGCTGCGATTAAGAGGCTTTAATGGAGTTGGGTTAGAGCTGAGGACCAAATTTTATACATGCTGTTTTGTCCGACTTATGGATATAAATGATCTCACAATTAATCGAATTTTATTCAAATTGAATTGCTTATATTATTCCCAAATTTAATTTAAATAATTTAATTTATCAAATAAATTAAATTAAATTTTTTTATATTTAAATCGAATAATTTATTAATTTCATTAAATTTTTATATTTTAATTTATTTTAATTAAAATTATTATTATATATATTAATTTAGTTTAAATTTGAGTTTAAATATAAATAATTGAACTTAAAATAAATATAAAAATTGCGATTGTATTTTTATTTGATAAACGAATATAATGGAATGAATTTAAATAATTCAACTTTTATTTTGAATTAAATTCAAACTTGAAATTTAAGACTTAAATCTAAGTAAGTTTCAAGTGGGGATTTTAATTCAAGTTTTTCACTACGGATTCGGTTTGACTTAATTATATTTCTAATCTAACAGGAAACAAAATTTAAAACGACATCGTTTGAAATTTAAAAATGGGACACGTGTCGTACGAACCAGTCTTGTAGTCTCAGCTACAGCTAATCAAATTTTTTTCTGCACCTACTCTCATCAAAATCCTAAGTATTTATTGCGTTTTTTACTAACTACGAAGAAAACCTTTGTCTTCCTTAATTCTTCCTTTTATCCCTAATCCCAATTCCCTTTAATCCTCCATGGGGAAAGGCGGTGGCTGTGTCCCAAGCAAAAAAAAGCATCCTTCCTCTGCCGAAGAGGCGGCCCGCCACCGTGGTTCCACCGCCACCACGACCACCGCCACCAACAACGCACCCATCGCCGCCGATGAAGAATTCCACGAAACTCCCACTGCAACGGTGAATTCGACGGATACTCAAACAGTTACCGCAACTTTAAAAATCTTCGTTGTTTTTTACTCCATGTATGGTCACGTGGAGAAGCTGGCGAAGCGGATGAAGAAAGGAGTCGACGGCGTGGAAGGTGTCGAGGCGGTTCTTTATCGGGTTCCCGAGACGCTTCCGGCTAATGTGCTGGAGCATATGAGGGTGCCGCCTAAAGACCCCGAGGTTCCGGAGATTAAGGCGGCGGAATTGGCGGAGGCGGATGGGATCCTCTTTGGGTTTCCGACGAGGTATGGGTGCATGGCGGCTCAGATGAAGGCCTTTTTCGACTCCACAGGGCAACTTTGGAAGGAGCAGACGCTAGCCGGTAAGCCGGCTGGGTTCTTTGTTAGTACTGGAACACAAGGAGGCGGCCAAGAAACCACAGCGTAAGTCACAATTGTGATTCAATTTCTATATTATTGTTGGAATGGTAACAAAGGACGGAAATTGGAATGCTTTATTAGTATAGTAGAGTTTCAAGGCCTTATTTTTTTCCATAAATTTGAATGCTTTAGTTAATACATTTCTCTCCAAAACTTTCTATATTAGGAGGGAAATTTTGAGTAACAATTTCAATTCGTTCTCTTTTCCTCGTTTCTTTCCTGAATTTGTTATCCAAACAAGAGATGTTATAGCCTCATAGATTACTCAAGTTGTCTCGTTTGACATCTATAGTTGAACAATGTGCTTATGTCTTATCTCAGCTGTTGGAAGTCGTGGCAGATGCCTCATGAGATCAAATAGATGAAGGGTATGAATTGGAGCTAGAGTTGAGTTCCATTGTAAATTTATTTTTACTTGGAAGTGCAAAGATATTTCTCGAATCTGCATTAGTTAGTTGGTTTTTGATTACCATGTCGTGGTCGTGGCTGATGCCTCTTGAGATGAAACAGACGAAGGGCACGAATTGGAGCTATGGTTCAGTTCCTTTGTAAATTATTTTTACTTGGAAGTGCAAAGATTTTTCTCGAATCTGCATTAGTTAGTTGGTTTTTGATTACCATGTTTGTGGTCGTGGCCGATGCCTCATGAGATGAAATAGATGAAGGTCACGAATTGGAGCTATAGTTGAGTTCCTTTGTAAATTTTTTTTTTACTTCGAAGTGCAAAGATTTTCTTGAATCTGCATTAGTTGCTTGGTTTTTGGTTACCATGGTCTGTGGCTATTTGAGAGACTTTATTTCTTTCAATTACAAGGCTGGTAGGCCCGCTAAATCCTTAAAATTCATTGATTTTATTTTAAAGAACCTAGTAGTGCCCGTTTAATGCTTTATTAGAAATTAGGACAAGAGACGCTTCCAATTTCACTTATGGCTAGGTTTGTTCCAATAAAAGTTATGATTTATATGTCTTGTGAAAGATGAATTTTGCCTGACATGAAAGGTAAATGTGAAATATAGAAGCTTTCTAGGCTTTGGAAATGTTGGGTGACGGTTGTTTCTCCCATGGTATTATGGCTTTTCATCCCTTAACAGTTTTTTTTATTGGTAAGTTAGCCATAGAAGTTTCTCTAAACATTTCCAGATGATTGGAATAATATAATAAGTTATATTTGTACTGAGATCACTAAAATTGGAGGATCTAAAGTGGTTTCATTTTTAATATGATGGTTTTCTTTAAGGTGCTTAGTGCCCAAAGTTTTCGGCATGGAGTTTCATTTGAGACCCATTTGTACTTATGGATTATCTGTTCAAATGATCTTTTCTGACCTTAATCATTGTGTATTTTTAATGAATTTGTGGAGAAAGATGAATTAAAATTGCTGTTAAGCAATTAAAACTGAAAGGGTTAAGTTATTCTTCTTTTTTCAGAGATTAAATGTAAAAAAAAAAAAAGAAAAAAAGGGTTGTGTACTTATCAATGAACTCATTTACCTAGGTATATATACTTATCAACATTCTGACATTTCTTGTGCTTCCATTTGGCTTAGTTGGACGGCAATAACTCAGTTGGCACACCATGGAATGGTATTTGTTCCCATTGGCTACACTTTCGGAGCTGGTATGTTCAAAATGGATTCGATACGAGGAGGTTCACCTTATGGTGCGGGAGTTTATGCTGGTGATGGCACAAGAGAGCCAACTGAAACAGAGCTGGCTCTTGCAGAGCATCAGGGAAAGTACATGGCTGATGTGGTCAAGAGGCTTTCTCAGGCTTGACATGCCCTACATTTGGGGACTACCCATATCCTGTTCAATATTCATTAATTGGAATGTGTTTGGCTTTGTCGTTGGTGTTGGCATTTCTCCTGTGACAATCAGCATGAAAGAAAGATGTCACCTGATGTTGGTATCCTCTCTTCCTTTCAGTTGAGAAAGATGTACATGATTTGATATTCTTCTGTCTTGTCTTGGCTCATCAAATAAGATGTTTATATGTGGGAATTGGGATTCTTCATTTGTATAATTTTCTGCGTGTAATTCACTCAAAGCTTTGATTCAACAAAATTTCATTTTCTTTTTCTAGTCATCCAAGGCCAATCTGAATTCTCATCATCATCCTCTTGTATCTCTATTGGATTAACCATCCATTTTATTTATTAATGAACTGTTATATCTATTGATTATCTAAAACTGGATCTGGTGATTTGTGTCACTCTATTATATAAAATATTGTATTCGTATAATGTTTCATATGAAAATTGTGTTATATGAAAATTATGTGTTATGATTCGTATTGATATAAAAACATAAAATATAATTTTTTGATTTTATTAAATTTATTTATGATTTTTTTAAAATTTTAAATTATATTTTTTTTATATTTTTTATTCGTATTATTTTTAAATTATATTCGATTTGAGAATGGAAAGAGGAAAGGGCTCAGTACTGTTAATAGATTAGGATTCCTTTCCTAGAGGATTCTACTTCAGTATTATTCGGAAATTACGTTTTTTATTTTTTCAAAAAAATTTTTGTGATAAATAGATTCTTTAATTTTTCAGATCAGGATAAAATTACCAATTAAATTTAAATCCAAAATCGTTGCAATGAGAAGAATGATCTTAGCAAATTGAGTCATTCTCTTGTCGATTCAAAAGCAAAGATTAAAAAATCACTGGCGTTGGGGTAACCCACTGCCACTGGCTGTAATTTTTTTTTACCGAGGCGGCAGGTCAAAATGGATGGTAAGTTTTTAACGGTAAAACCTATAGAAGAATGTCAACCCTGGAATTTCCAAACCAAAAAAAAAGGGAATTTTCTACTCAAATGCTCAGCTAACGGAGTCTCCAACGAAACTCCAACTCCTCAAATCAGCAGCGATTTTCCTGGATTCCCCAATTTTCTATCTATCTCTTTCCAAAACTTTGAACTCACTCACTCTCTCTCATGGCTGAAACACTTGCTGCTTTGAGGTCTTTAATGGCCTCTCACTCTCCTACTCTCGATGCCTTAGTCGTCCCTTCTGAAGATTATCATCAAGTAAAATAAAAAAAAATTTCTTTTTAAATACTATTTCCTTTATCATTTCAAAAAATTACATTTTTTAAAAAAAATTTTAATCGATTTTTGCAGAGCGAATATGTTTCTGCTCGGGACAAAAGGCGCGAATTCGTTTCTAGATTCACGGGAAGTGCAGGTCTCTATTTTTAATTTCCTCATATTATCAATATTATTATAGAAATTAAATTATTATCTGTATATTATTTTTATTGATTTTGAAAAATATTTTAGGTTTGGCGCTTATAACAAAAGATGAAGCAAGACTATGGACGGACGGCCGATATTTCCTGCAAGCAACGCAGCAGCTTAGTGATCAGTGGAAACTAATGCGTATCGGAGAAGATCCTTTCATTGACGCATGGATATCTGATGTAAATTTAACATTTTGCCCCACCAAAATTCAATCTTTTGCTTCAATTTTGATAATTTTATTAATTTTCTTACGTTTATCACTTAAAAAAAAATTAGAATTTGCCAAGGGAGGCTGCTGTTGGGGTTGATCCTTGGTGTGTATCAGTGGATACCGCTCAAAGATGGGAACGTGCTTTTGCGAAAAAGCAACAGAAATTAGTTCAAACCTCAACCAATTTGGTTGATGAGGTTTGGAAAAACCGGCCACCTACTGAAATTAATCCAGTTGTTGTTCATCCATTGGAATTTTCCGGTCGTTCTGTTGCTGAAAAGCTGAAAGATTTGAGGGAAAAGCTCGCAAACGCAAAGGCTCGTGGAATTATCATCACTGCTTTAGATGAGGTGTGGCTTTATCAAATTGTCGGTCTAATGGAATTTGTTGAGCAATGTATTTTGAGTTTAAATGGCCTCTTTGCAGGTTGCTTGGTTGTATAATATCCGTGGGAGCGATGTGTCTTACTGTCCAGTTGTTCATGCATTTGCTATTGTAACATTGAATTCGGCTTTCCTTTATGCGGACAAAAGGAAGGTTTCTTCCACTGTAGGTTGAGGTTTTCATTTTTTTATGCATTCTTTGGTATATTCTGTATTTTGCTAGCTATTACACCCACCTTGAATGAAGGTATAAGCTTTATGGGCTAGATGTTTATTGTTTAGGTTTATTCATTCATGTATGTTAATGCAGGTGAGCTCTTCCATGCAAGATTTTGGAATTGAAGTTCGGGAGTATGGTGCAGTGAGTTCAGATGTTGCATTGTTAGCTTCTAATCAGCTTGACCAGGACACAGGAGTAAATCCTGGTCTAAATGGTATTTGTGAAAATGATAAGTGTGAAGCAGAAGAAAACTATAATGATCTTATATGGGTTGATCCTGCTTCATGCTGCTATGCTTTGTTTTCAAAACTAGATGCTAATAAGGTGCTCCTAAAGCAGTCACCTTTGGCCCTGGCGAAAGCCTTAAAGGTTGTTGATGCTCTTCCTATCAGGTTGAATCATACTTTAGAAGTGCATAAAATATATTTATATGATGTCTCTTCTGATGTTCTGAAAATCATTTATTTAGAAGTTAGAACAAACTAAGTTAGATTTTGGATATTTTCTTGTAAATATACATGCACTGATCCCGAAGAATATATGCCACCTCCCCAAAGAAGAAAAAAGGGAAGGGACCATTACTTATTTGATAGAACATGACAGGATCTTTAATATTTAAAGGGGCATTATATTTGATTATGTTTCATCATAAATTAATTATTCCTTATCAACAAATTTTTATTTTTAGAATCTAGTTGAGTTGGATGGATTAAGAAATGCACATATCCGAGATGGTGCAGCTGTCGTGCAGTATCTTGTCTGGTTGGATAAGCAGGTATTTATATTCTCTCTGATTGTTTAAGGTTCTATCCACATCTGTTTATATTTGATCCTTCTTTCAAAGTAAAATATTTCTCGCATGCAACAAGATTGTAGGCTGTTGTTAAGCTGGAAATAATGCTAATGCTCTTTCAAATGCTCAGATGCAAGAGATTTATGGGGCTTCCGGTTACTTCTTGGAGGGGGAGGGAGCAAGCAAAAAAAACCCGTAAGTTAGAGATTTGCAAGTTGATATCTTTCCTTTCTTTTGCCCCTGCTTAATCGTTGTTTTTTAAGCCTGAAACCAAACGGGCTGTCCCTCCAGTTCACAAAAATTTCTAAGCTTGAGGTGGACTGGCTCTTAGTTTCTTTTCATGCTATTAGAATGAACCATGCAGGGAGGCTATGAAACTGACAGAGGTGATTGTTAGTAATAAGTTGGAGGGATTTCGTGCCTCAAAAGAGGTAACAATACTTACTTCTTTGTGGTAATAAGAAATATTAGTCAAACTGTCATTTTGGATATAACAATAATAATAAAGTATCAAGTGTTAAATTCTGTTATTAGTAGTTGCAAATTGTGTTGTTTTCTGTCCATCATCAACTAACAATTGCTTTGTTTGAAAACTTAGGCAGCACATCACGGGAAGGTTAGGAATTTCCTAAGAGTCGCAACTTATAAGCATTTAGTGTGAAATGAGCATTGCAGTTCCAGTTGTTGCTAAAATTTTGTGCATGCATTTCTACTTGTTTATGTCACATAAATTGTTTCTATGTTACTGGTTTCAGTTGTTGCTAAAATGTTGTGCATGCATTTGTATTTGTTCATTTCACAAAAATTATTTCTATGTTTACTAATTGCAGCACTTTAGGGGCCTAAGTTTCCCTACTATTTCTTCGGTTGGTGCAAATGCGGCCATCATCCATTACACACCTCAGGCTGAAACATGTGCTGAGCTTGATCCTGATAGCATTTATCTCTTTGATTCAGGAGCGCAGGTTTGATGTCAAATGCTAATATTTTAGCTTATATTCATTAACCAAAACTATCAATAAAATGCCAACTATTTTATTTTAGATTCTTAGATATGATTCTTAATTCTATAACCGATAATATGGATGGCATTGAAGTATCTAGATGGAACAACTGATATAACTCGGACGGTTCATTTTGGAAAACCTTCAGCACATGAGAAGACTTGCTATACTGCAGTAAGTGGTCTCTGTTGCATTCTCTTCTGAATATTTAATTTATTGGTACCTACATTCACCTTCCTTTTGGTGACACTAAATAAAATTTTTAATTCTGATTTGCTTTTTTTTTTTTAAGTCCCTGGTGGGTTTGATAATACAAGCAGCATATCAATCTTTGGGCATTTTTGTTGTTTTGCCTGGGCAATGATGTGTCACATGAATGATTGTGACATGTAATAGGAACCATAGAACCATTTTGATGTCTTATCTATATTTGACAATACATATTCAACTTTAAATTAATATTGTTGTATGGATTGAGCAACAAATATTGTTTGTACTGACAATCCTAATGAGTTATCAATTGTGATTGTTTTATACATGTCAACCCAATTTGTACTTGCATTAGGGCAGTTGAAGAGTGTTCAACATACTGGAAGTCAAAATTTATGACTCTTAGACTAGATATTTGTTTACTTCGATACTTCTGGATTTAAAATAGGTTAAGATGCTTGGTTCCCACTTCCCATCATTCCTTAGATTCACATGGATTTCATTTCCTATTCTTCTTGAACTTAAGCCTTTAAGAAGTTGCTTGATTCCATGTAGGTTCTTAAGGGCCATATTGCTCTGGGCAACGCTCGATTTCCTGATGGAACTAATGGTATTAAAAATTTTCTATTTATCTTTTTAATTGTTCCATATTTATTTGAGCATGTTTGCTTGAAGTCATGTAGAATTTGTCTGAACTCCAATATTCTTTTGATTGACTGATTGCTTTATAGGTCATGCTCTTGATATTCTGGCTCGAATTCCTTTGTGGAGGTATGGTCTTGATTATCGACATGGTACTGGTCATGGAATTGGGTCTTACCTGAATGTTCATGAAGGTTAGCAATGAGCTACAATCACTTGTTGGACTTAGGTTTGCAGTTGATTGAATGAAACTTTTCATTGAACTTTTTCTTTTCTGGTTGAACTACTTGGAACAGGGCCTCATCAAATTAGTTTCAGGCCACAGGCTCGTAATGTGCCACTTCAAGTTTCCATGACAGTGACGGATGGTTAGTTTTGTTTGTCTTGCCTTGTACTCTATCCATGGCCGAAAATTTTCTTTCTACTTAACAAAGTATTTTTGTCCTGCCCTATACTGATTTCCCTTCAAATCTTCCCCTTTTTTTTTTTTGTAGTTAATGCTTTAATGCTCAATTTATTTCTAGCTTTTCATGTATACCTGTTTTTAAGCATTTAAGGCTGTATCTTGGCTCAAATCTTTTGCACAATCAGTCTTAGCCTGCTTTTGTGGCTGTTTCTTCTGTGCATATGTGCATATGTTAGCATGATTATAAAGTTCTAATTAATTGAAGATTCTATTTTCTCAATGTTAGAATACTACCTAGTGTATGCTTGGTCTGAAAAATAATGTGTCATTCCTAAAAAAACTGCAGTATTTACTAATTTTATTTGGAAATTCTATTTCCCAGAACCTGGATATTATGAAGATGGGAGCTTTGGTATAAGATTAGAGAATGTACTTGTAATCAAGGAGGCTGATACTGAATTCAATTTCGGTGATAAGGTTTACTTATCATTTGAGCATATCACATGGGTAAGTTTGTGATTTTTCATCTTTTCTCGTCTTCCTATCAACCATGTTGAATGTGTGTTTCTGTGTGTTTGTGCGAGTGTATGCACGCTTTTAAGTTTTTTGGGTCGCCATGCTTCTCGCAGATTATAGTTATGCTTTTCTGAGACAGCTAAATTTTAGGTTTTTAATGGCTTATCTTATGTTCAGGCACCATATCAGGTAAAGTTGATTGACTTGAGCCTGTTGACACCCGAGGAGATTGAGTTTGTGAATACCTACCATTCAAAATGTAGGCAGATTCTTGCACCTTTCATGGATAAAAATGAGATGGATTGGCTGAACAAAGCCACTGAACCTCTAAGCGCATGATATATCTCTATTCAGGAAGCCCAAGCAAAGCAACCCTTTCACATCTTTCTCTGCTTTTCTCCATCTATATTAGAATCAGATATGAGATTTGTTCGGTAAATGATTTTATTTGGCTAATTTATATTTGACCGTTATGGGGTAATTAATGTTTTATGTAAGGGATGTTGAGACTTCTAGGAATGAAAATAGCCTCAATGATCTCTTCATTATTGCTTGGAAAAATATGCAACATGAAAGATCACTCTGCACTCATTTCTCCCAATCACGTCCTCTGATGTTAACAACTTTGACCTGGTAGCCACCCCAATATGCTCAGCCAGCATACACGATTATTGGGTCACCATTGACGGTACCCTCCAGACTTGAATTCCACCCGCAATGGGACAAAAAATCCACCTATGAGTGCTCGAGGTGCCCACATTGGAACCGCCAGCCTTTTTGGCTGGTGATATTCAAGAACCCATCTGGTAACATTTTATCATCCAATTTGACCGTGGAAATTTAAGGCAACTATCATGTCAAGATAGTTGCTTAACAAGTGCATTGACTAGATTTTAACTACGGTATTTAATGCTTGTGTCGATTAGTTTTAGCTGTATTCTCTAGTTTTTAGGGTCCACGTTGATGTGTTTATTACATGTTTTTACTTTTTCCAATAAAAAGAATAAATGAAAATAAATTGAAAATAATGAATAAAAATCAAAAAAGGGGAAAAAAAACACCAAATTGAACAAAATCTTACTGATATGAGATCAGCCAATAACTTATCATTTGTTCACGTAATTAAATGTATTATTATACTAAACAAGATTATAATAAAAACTATGATTTTTTAATGTGATTACGTTATATGTATAGCACCAAAGGATTAAACGTATTTTGTATGCTCGATTTTAACCCTTTTTTTTTTTGGATTGATCCTAGCTGAGAGTCGTATAGTATCAGATGGGGTTTGCATTTTGCAGACATGAGACAAGGCATGCAAGGTAGATTGCCTCCTCCAATGAGATAAAACAAAGCCACTAATGAAAACCAAAGGCAATGACTTTGATTCTAGTCCATGAATGCCTAACACGTGCTTGAAAATTCCAAGGAACGTTGATGTTTGCTAGCGCAATTTACTCTGATTTGTAGACCAGTTGAGTTGAACTTTTCCCATCTTCATGACCCCATTTCTGGAACAAATTATGCACTGGTGTGCTCCACGTTTCTCATATTTACTTTTCTCATTTTACCATGGATGAGAAAAGATTTTAACTGCATCATTATATCATTTTATCCGTGAATATTCGAGTTTTTATCATAAGATGATACGGTAAAATAAAATATTCAGATATAATTTCATTATCGTTTCATATATATTTTTTATTTATCATTTTTAAATTAAAAAAGCTTTTAACAAGTTTATACCATCATACACTCTCAATATTGTTTAGTTACGCAAACAGCAAAAACAACATCCTAACATAAAGTAAGATCAAGCCCCGTAACTCTTTGTTTTCAGGTGCTGAATACAGATCTCTGCTACTTGGGACAGTGAATTATAAGAGGAACCACCCTCGGTCAATGCTTTTGCTGCACTATTTTTAAGCCCCTTGATCCTAGCTCGTATGTTTTGTCCTTCACTATCAATCAATATTCTTCTCACCATTGATTTTATCTCTTCTCTTCCCACCAATCCATCTAATTCCATCGCCTTGGCTCGGATGCTTGCTCCAAACTCTTCCGTCAACAACGCAGCATTCATCTTCTGCTCAGAGTAGAGCGGCCATGCAATCATCGGTACCCCATTGATGATACTCTCCATGACTGAATTCCACCCACAATGGGTTAAGAATCCACCAACCGATGGATGACTCAACACCTCAACTTGGGGTGCCCACATTGAGACCACCAGGCCTTTATCTTGGGTCCTAGCCAAAAATCCGTCAGGCAAGTAATCTGGGGTGCCATCAGAGCCGTTACCTACAGTGAAAAAGTACCCTGATGCATCATTCTCAAGCGGAGGACGAGCCACCCATAAGAACCTTTGTTGGCTGAGCTCCAGCCCCCAGGCCAACTCTAACACTTGTTGGGCTGATAAGGTTCCACCGCTTCCAAACGACACATAAATCACTGATTCTTTAGGTTGCTTATCGAGCCAATTTATTACTTGGTTTCCCAAAACCGGCTTTTCAACAGGCCTCACCAGTGGACCAATTGGATAAACGGGTACCTTCTTAGCATCTCCCAAGGCTTTAAGAGTTGTGGGCTCTAGCCCCTCCCAAGAATTCATCAAAATCCCATCAGCCAATGCCATTTTCATCCCTGAGCCAACAAAGCCTTGATAGAATGGACCGTTGGGATCCGTTAAAAAAACATCGAGGGTATCCTCCAACTTAACCGGCTTGCAACCCGGAATGTTAAGTGGCTTCTGGTTCTTAACATGATCATCAACCTCCTTTCGATCAATCTCCGGACCATGTAGAATAACTGCTAAAAACCATGCATTAGAAGCTATGAATACGTACTTTAACATGTTGAATTCATCGGCAATCTCCCAAGCATCAGTTCCGAACAAGTCAACAACTAGAGCAGTGGGACGAAACTCCATCTTAGAGATTTCAGATCGGAGAAATGGTAAGGACTCAAGCATCAGTATCACTATTTTTGTTACGAACGATGCATCAGGTTCAACTATGTTGGAAATATCGATGAAAGGGAGTAAAACCATATCAAGGAGATCATTCGAGGCTGAAGGAGATTGTAGAAGTTGGGAGTTTGCAATTGAGGCATGATCGGTTGCCACAACAAAGACAGTAACTTTGAAGCTTTGATGGGAAACGAGGCGTTTGGCAAGCTCAAGCACAGGGATCAAGTGTCCCATGCCAGGGCTTGCCAGGAGGGCCACATGAGGTTTTGTGCTTTTCATTGATGCTGGTTGCTGAGAGCTGACAAGGAGAAACAATTAAGATGAAGGCGTAAGGCGAATAAGTTTTGAAGTCAATTGGTTAAGCGAAGAGTTGTGGTGGAAGGCTATTTATGGATGAGGTTCACTCTTTCATATTAAAATTAGTAATTAAATGTAATTAAAGTTGAGTTTTTATCTTTTTATCTTTACTCAATTAATCAGGACATCATCTCATAATATAATAAACCAATTTATCTCTAATTTTTTAAGGATTATTAAATACAATTCATACTGATATGAAATTATTAAATATAACTTACACTCATTCACGTGATTTTTCTTCAAATTTCACATAAATTTTTCGTTAATTATTAGTGGTGCAAGGCTATTTATAATGTAGGGTGGGTAAGTTTTCATGTCAATTGGCTAAGAGAAGAGTTGGGGTGCAAGGCTATTTAATGATAATAATCACCTTTCCATATTAAAATTAGCAATTAAATGTAATTAAAGTTGAGCTTTTTATCATGTTATATCTACTCATTCAATCAGAACATCACCTCACAACAAATTAACTTGTTTTTAACTTATTTAAAATCATTAAAGACAATTTATGTTGGCATGAATTTATTAAATGTAATTCATAATTACCCACATGATTTTTTTCTCAAATTTTACATAAATTTTTCATCAATTATCAACAACTCTAATGACATCATTACATATTATTTTATATATAAGATAGGAAAAAAAGGGTTCAAATATTGTAATTATGAACAACATTTCTCCTCTAAGCTTCCCATACACTCATTGCAACTTGTCTTTTTCCTTTAATAAAATTATTAACATTTGACTAATTTGAACATTGAAATACATTTTGAAAAATCAATTTTGATGTCCATTTGATTGTACTTTTTTATTATAAATACAAATCATTCCTACCATAATCTTCAAATCCTCATATAATGTAATTAATATGTCATTAGAGTTGGTATTTAAAAGTTATGAATTCAAGAGAGTTTGAACATATAATGTCTTCTTCAAATATATATATAGTAGGGTATAGGATTTAAAGATAAATTAAAAGCTTAAAAAAAATAATAGTAGTACTTTAAATATTTAGGCTGCATTACCGAACTTCAATTTCGGTTTCCACACTGTTGTAGATATGGCCACTCCCCCACCCTAACCCCCCTTCCTATTTTACCTCTTTTTTTTATTATTTTGTTTAAAATTTTTAATTAATTATTTAAAATGGTAAGTAAATTTATCTAATTACACGATAAACAAATAAATAAGTAAATAAAATAAAATTTAAATAAATACTTAAATATATATATATATATATATACAAGTATAGCACTATCCTAAATCAATAAAATTTAATTGCCTCTCTGCAGTCACTTGTCCACTCAATTAACTTTTTTAATTAGATGACAATGTTATTTGATCAAAGCTTTTAAATTTTTAATATCAAATATATATATAAATAGAATTTATAGTTTGTAAGGTAAAATTAAAATTACGCATAATTTTAAAAGGTATTTGGTTTCAACCCTCGCTTCATGTTTTTCTATATTTATAATTTTTTATAAAATTAATAAAAAAATATAATATATCTTAATATACAAATTTTCACTTTATGATATAAAATATATTAATTTTTTATGTTATTAATTTTTTTTAAGATAAAAAATTTTGTTAAGTAGTTTTTTATTCTAATATTTTAAGTTATTATCGAGATATATAACAAGATTCAATTACGTGTGAATTGTTATAAAATCATTTTTAACCTTAAAATCATTTTAAATGTCCAATCTGATGTGATTTTAAATTAAAATATAAGGGACGGTTTTTTATTTATTGCATAGATTAGATTTTGTATCACATGCATGGTATGTGATTTGGCATGTTATATTTATATTAATTTACATGAAAAATTATTTTTTAAATTGAAAACTAAAAAATAAATAAATATTAATTTGATATATATATATATAACAAAATTATATATCTATTAATATTAAATTTTAATGAAAATAAAGGATAGTGAATGAAATTAAATAATAAACAATAAATATTAATTATTAACTACAAAAATAAAATTTTTGCATTTTAATTTTGTTATGTCTTGCAAATAATTTTTAGTTGGGTATTCAAAATGACTGAATATCTTCAAAACATAACATATAACATTAAACTTAGTGGAGGATATCAATTTACATAAAAAATTTATATATCTTTTAATCCTTAATTTTAATAGATTTAAAAAATAAAATTAAATATATATTTTATTTATATCTCTCATCTCTTAAATTTATTAAAATAAATAATTAAAAATATAAAACATTTTAATTTTATACTGATGTAAGTTGATCAATCTCTTTAAATTTAATATGAAATTTAATTAGTTTGCTTCATTCAGTATTTATAAGTGATATTTAATAAATATAATATTTGAATTTCAATATTTATAATTAAATCTATATAAAAAATTAATAATTTATATATTTATATTATATTTTATATGAAAATTATGTATTACAATTCGTATTTATATGAAAACATAAAATATATTATTTTTAATTTATTAAACTCATATATAATTTTTATTAAAATTTTAAATCTTATTATTTTTATATTATATCATTATATCATATTTAAAATTATCATATCATCCTATATCCTCTTTCATTTTTTTAAAAGAAAAACTTAAACCGACTGGTGTGATGGTTTGAAACCAATAAAATCTAAATTTTTAGTGACGAACGATGCCAGAGAGGACAACGAAAATAGCTGACTTTGGACTTTAGCCTTACTTTCTTGATAGAAACCCATATCGTCACTTTCATAAACCCTTCGTTTATGCCTTTCAATTTGCAATTGAACGGTTCAAAATTTTGACTCAACGAACGACCGTCACTAATTTGCCCTTTCCACTCCCAAACAAAACACAGAAAAGAACAATATCCTCATCCCATGTGATTTGAACGCAAAAAATAAGGAAATTTTTTTTTTTACTATTTTTAGTTACAATTTAACTTATTCGAGGATCATTCCTAAATAATAATAATAATAATAATAAAATTTTAGGTATCTAATAAAATTATGCCATTTTATTTTTAAAAAAAATTATAATAAATTATTTCGTATAATTATCTGCATCTAAGATTCAAATCCAATATCTACAATATCTTTCTTTATCCCTAAAAATTACATATTATTTTGTAAAAAAATGCAGTAAATATTATATGAACGTGTCTATAAAATCAGCTCTCAAACTTATTTTAACCTTTGATTAATTTACTAAAAAACAAATAATTAATTAAAAAAATCGTATCTTAATTTTAGTAACTATAATTTAAGATTGTCTTAATAATAATAATAATAATAATATAATAATAATAATAAGTTAATTATTCATTGTAATCAAAATTAAGTGAATTAATTTGGTGAGAATGAATATGTAATATCAATTACATATTTTTTAAAAAGAGAAAAATTATATAAAATGATTGCTTCACTTTGGCATCACTATCATTCAAATTATGTCAAATAAACATATTTTTTTCAAAAATTAATTATTTATTACACAACATATATATTGTAATTAAATAATATATATTTATTTTTACAAATTCATTAATGATTAGACTCTATTCTTGTTACTATAATATTTTCTTTCAATTTTTACGGCTGAGCGCACGACAAAGGATGGTGAAATTAATAAAATTTTTTGTAATGTGATTAATTAATTTAACTTATCCTGTCCTATAAAATTTTCAAACGACAATGTCACAATGGTTATAGAACAGAAGCATGTCCGAATCCATTGTTTGCTGTTATATTTATAGCATTTAACTAACGTTAATCGGTCAACACTTTTCGAATGGATGCTATAAATTATGTTGGCTCTCTCTTCTTACATATATATATATATATTTGAGGACCGGAGAAGTACCGGTGAGAGCTGGGGATTATAATCTCATATTTGTTAAAAATTAAATTTGATAATTTAAAAGATAATATGATAATACGGCACGAATATAATATACAAATAAAATATAAAAATGATATGATTTATAACTGTAATAATAATTATATATGAGTTTAATAAAATAAAAAAATTATATTTTATAATTTTATATAGACTTGAATTATGATACTTAATTTTGGTATAAAATATAATACGAATATATAAAATTTTAATATTTTAAATGATATAAATATACGAATAAATAAATTTATTAAAAATTTAATCATTGACAAATTCAAATGAAAAAATATGGCGTACTGAAAATTAAAAAATAAAAAAATTTTAAAAAATTCTTCCAAACACTAAAAAATTTATACTAAACACAATAAAATTGATAAATCTTTCAGTATTTTATTTTATTTATATTATAAGTGAATATTTAAAAAAAAATTTAATCTGCCACTAAACCCAACACTTAACTATACAGGTAATTGGATTAAGTCTCATATTTAAAATTATATATATGACTCTTTCGGTTGACTTTGCCTAGCTAATTTATCTTATATACTATAAATGTTGAAAATATCCGATCATTTTTAAGAGTGTCTTAGAAAAATTAGCCATGTATAAACTATAGTTATATTAAGTAATATGATTTTTATTCAAAACATTAAAAACCAGCAACTTATTATTAATTATTATATTAATATGAAAAGATTATTATTAAATATAAATAATATATTAATTACCCTTAAAAGTGTTATATTATTTATATGAAAATATTTATTATTAGTAATAAAATGTAGAATGAAATGCAATAAGAGGTACCTTGTGGAGTAAACTTTCCATGGTTGACTGACTTGATTCCACCCGCAACGTGACAGTCCATCAACTGTTGGATGGGCCAAAACGGACATAAGTCACGTGCTTGACTGATCAAAAACAGACATAAATAACTGATTGACTAGGTTGTTTGTTTTGCCGGTCTAAAACCGGGTCTGCTAAAACCTGACATCCAAGTGGTCTCACAACCCGACCAATTGGATATAGTGGAACTTTGGCAACTGGGCCCAAAAGCTTATAGCATCTCTCAAAGATCTAATTTTTGGGCTCTAGGTCCTCAAATGTGTTCAACAAAATCCCATTAGCTTCTGGTTTTTCAAGTCCTACACGTCCATACTCTCCATACAATTGATCGTTGCGGTTCAAATAAGCTCTCAGTATCTTCGATCTATGTGGTGAAACCAGTTTCAATCTAATCAAACTTTATTTTATTTTTTAAAATAATATATAATATTATAAATTTTAAAAATTGATCTAAATTTGAATCAATTTTATTTTAAAATTAATCTAATTCAAATCAAATTTTTTAGTTTGATTGGATTTGGTTAATCAGTTTTGAAATTTTAAATTATATATATTATTTTAATAAAAATTTTAATATATTTAAATAAATTTATATATAAAATAGTTATTTTTATTTTATAAAAATTAATAAAAATATAAAATTTTGTTCGATTTTTTATATCTCAATTCAAAATTTAATCCAAATTAAATATAAATATAAATATATATATATAATATTTGATTTTGATTCTAAAAAAAATTTAAACCGTATATTACAATTTCAATCAATTTTTTATTTTCTCGAATTTTTCCTCCATCGTTACCTCAAACCGAAAAGGTTTGCAGCCTGGAATTTTCAAATGCTTTTGCTGCTTAACGTGCTCTTCATCAACTATTCTTTCAACGGTTGGAGCTTGAATAGTGATTCCAAGAAACCATGGATTGGAAGCAAATGAGATCGCCCTTCATCATCTTGAATTCATCGGCAACAGGTGAAGCTTTAGTTACAAAAAAAGTCCACGGTCAAAGCTGTTGGGCGAGACTTCATTGCAGCTATTGCGTAACGTGAGCCTGGCAAGGAGTCGCACATCATGACAGCTATTTCGGTTACCATGTGCGCATCTGGATCAACTTTGTCAAAGATATCTACATGTTTGTTAAATAGCATTTTCACGAGGGAATATCTTGAATTGGCAATTGACACAATTTATGGTTAAATATGAAATTTAATGAAAATAATTTGGGAAATTTTGTCATCCTTACTGGCTTGGGGCAATCCATCCGTTTTGGTTGATAAATAAACCCCTTCGACCCAACAATTCGTACAATTTGACAGCTCCACGATTTTGTTTGGACCGTAAATCAAACTACAAGCATATTTCTTCTTTTGTTCAAATACGGTGAATCAAATCTAACAATTTATATATTTATATTATATAAAATATTATTAATTAATATATTTATATCTTATTTTATATAAAAAGTATATGTTATAATTTGTATTAATATAAAAATATAAAATATATATTTTTAATTTTATTAAATTTAATTATGATTTTTATTAAAACTTTAAATTATATTATTTTCATAATTTTTTTATATTATTTTTATATTGTATTTAAAATTGATGGATAAAAATATATAAATGGATCATAAATAAAACTATAGGCATGTTCTGCCTGTGCATGATTTATTTTGGTCATTAATTGTTGTTTAACTATGAAAGAAGACAACTTATTTTAATAAAAAATAACATAAAAATAGAGAAAAAGTTTCGGACACATTTTAAAGAAAGGTCCAGGAAAAAAAAAACAGCCTTAAACAGCAAAAACAAGGTACCACGTATCCTGGAACTGAATCTAATAAAAGTTCTGACACCAATTACCAATCCCCGCAATCCGAGTCTGGTTTAGATCCCATGAAACAGACCATTGGCAATCAAGCCACGATGATCCCTGGCGCGCACGTTCTTGAAAGCAACCTCTCTCTTTGTTTATGTTTAAACTTTCATTGGTTGTTACATCAAAAATATTTTTAAGAAATTGGGTTTTTGACTTATCTGTTAATTGTACTATATTCAACATGCAATAAATATCTTCTTTGAATTGGTTAGGATTTGAATATTCTTATAGTAAGTAATTCCTGATGAGTCCCTGGATGGCCGGAGTCTTTTTGTTTCAACAGGGAAAGTAGGTGTTCCATATCTTCCATCAAAGCTGGAAACGCCTTTTTCCAGGATTTTAGCGAGTTTCCTTGATTTTTATGGTCTTAAATCGAAGCTATTCGAGATCTTCTGTTCCTCTTCGATTTCATAGACATCTTCAAGCCATGAAGTGAGTTTCTTTTCAAATCTTCGCTTTTGTTTTCTGGGTTTTTTCTTTTCTGATTATTGATGGATTGTTGAAGCGCTTGCTATTTGATTGTTTGTTGATTATGGATCTTGGAATTTTGTTCTTGTATCATTGTTATCGGAAATATAGTACAGTAAAAATTTTTAAACAGGGCATTTCATGCTATTAGATTATAAGCAAATTAAGTAACAGTCCATGCCAAAGAGTATTATCTGATAGTGGCTTTTCCTTAGGTGTATTGGTTTCCATGGTAGTTGCTTTGTGGTTCCTAATTGCATGTTTATGTCTAAACTATGTTTGAGACATCACTTCAGGTGGACTTGGATAATTATAATTCTATTTTGAATTCGAGCAACATATGTCTTTGTCTACTGTTTTTTAGTTTGGTCTCAAAATCTAAATGGACCAGAATTCCTTGCCTGCAAACTTTGATGAAGGGATTTTATTTAATTAATACAATCCCTTGCCTCCCATTTTGAAGTATCCTTGTCAAAGGATAATATACTATTTTCCTTGTTTAGAGAATCTAGCCAATGAAGGCCTTGACACCTTTTTTGAATTTTGCATGGAGGCCAGCTAGAAATTTTTATCTTTGGTTTCTTTCCTAATATACATTAGTTGCAATAGAAAGCATATTCGATTGTTGGTATTTTCAGAAGATGCCCAAATGGGAAGTTTACTGGTGCTACATGCATAATTCTTGGCATTGCCATGGATATTATACTTAACATGAGACATGTACTAACTCACGGAGGGACCATAACTGAGTTAGCTTATATGTTAGAGTACTTTGGTATGTGCATGGGGTCATAGTATTACAATCTTTTAATCCTCGGGGGTGTTGTTTTTATCGTTTTTGTGCCTATTGCAAAATACTTTTATAAATGCATGTGTGCAAATGTAATATATATTTGCAATGCTCTCATTTTCTATGTATTTACCTTGTTGGTAATGCTTAGTTATGTATAGAGTGTATTGGTGATAATTATCATTTCACAGAGCAAGAAAGGTTTTTGGTGTTTCTCTTTCTCTCCTTCTTATCAACTTGGCTGCCATTATGGAGCGTGCTGATGAAAACCTCCTTCCATCTGTCTACAAAGAAGTTAGTGAAGCTTTCAATGCTGGGCCATCTGATCTTGGCTATCTCACCTTCATAAGGAACTCTGCGCAGGGATTGGCGTCTCCCTTGGCAGGTGTACTCGTAATTAACTATTACCGCCCTACAGTTCTTGCTATAGGCACTTTGTGTTGGGCATTATCAACTGCTGCAGTGGGTGGAAGCCAACAATTTCTGCAGGTTGCAATTTGGAGAGCAGTTAATGGCTTTGGACTAGCAATTGTAATACCTGCACTTCAGTCTTTTATTGCTGATAGTTACGTGGATGGTGTGAGAGGGGCTGGATTTGGGCTGCTAAGCCTTGTTGGTACCTTGGGTGGCATTGGTGGTGGTGTTGTTGCTACGATAATGGCTGGTCAGCAGTTCTGGGGCATGCCTGGATGGCGTTGTGCCTTCATTATGATGGCAACTTTAAGTTCATTGATTGGACTCCTTGTGTTCCTATTTGTTGTTGATCCAAGGAAAACTGTTGGTGCCAATCATGATGCTGGCTATAATTTAGATAGGTACTAATTGCTTGTTCAAAGTTTGCTTTCTAAACATATTCATCAAACCCTTACCAATCAAATAGTAGTTTTGCTAGTATGTTAAATTTAGTAGCATTTCCATTGTTTCAAATATCGTTTTAGTTACTCAGCTGCTTTCTATTGCAGGGATGAGTTAATAGAAAAGGGGAATGCTCGTGTCTTGTCTGTTTGGTTCGAGTCATGGATGGCCACGAAAGCCGTTATAAAAGTTCCAACATTTCAGATAATTGTCTTGCAGGGAATAGTTGGTTCTCTACCATGGACAGCCATGGTGTTCTTTACCATGTGGTTTGAACTAATTGGCAAGTGCATTTGCATATACTAAATGGTCAACTGCTATAGTTTGCCATGTCAATTATTAAGGAGAAGAACGACCAGGATTTGGTTTCTTGATATTTGATACCTTTTAGTCTTTCTTTTTCTTTCCCAGGTTTTGATCATAATTCCACGGCAGCACTGCTAAGTCTCTTTGCTATCGGATGCGCAATGGGATCCTTTGTTGGTGGGTTAATAGCAGATAGAATGTCACAGATTTACCCCCATTCTGGTCGTATCATGTGCGCGCAATTCAGTGCCTTCATGGGCATCCCATTCTCATGGTTCCTTCTTAAAGTGATCCCACAATCCGTGAGCAGCTATTACACTTTTGCTGTCACCCTCCTTTTGATGGGCTTGACCATCAGTTGGAATGCTACGGCTGCAAATGGTCCTATGTTCGCCGAAGTCGTCCCTGCTAAACACCGGACCATGATCTATGCATTCGATCGTGCTTTCGAAGTATCTTTTTCTTCTTTTGCTGCTCCCTTGGTAGGCATTCTATCGGAGAAAATGTTCGGTTATGATTCTAAATCTATTGATCCAATCAATGGGTCTCCTCGCGAGGCATTTGCTTTGTCTAGAGGGCTACTATCAATGATGGCAATTCCTTTTGGTTTGTGCTGTCTGTTTTACACGCCATTGTACAAAATCTTTAGGAGAGACCGTGACAACGCTAGATTGGCCGCCGTGAAAGAGGATGAGATGATTTGAGTAAAGCGTAAATGTTACTTTTTTAAGATTATGAATTAATTTTCCCTGGCTGGATTTTGCTCACGTTTTAGGACCTAACAAGTAAACTAATATGCAGAATTAAGTAACCTAACAAGAACATGCAATAGCAAAATCATGACCAAAGTTGTTCAACAAGCAGATCGGATATCTTCGTATAGCAAACCAAAAAAGGTGTAAGAAACAAAGAAACCATATTAATTATCACAGAGAGTGAGAGAGAGAGAAAGAGAGAGAAAGAGGCACAAAGGAAGAATGTTATATTCTAAGCCAGTGCATAAAATTGAGTCTATCCTAGTTCCACATTAAGACAATATATGCCAGCAGAAACATACAATAGCATTAGGAAAGCTGGAGTAAAATATAGATGGAATTTCAGTCGGTCTCTTAGGAAATAATTCCCTGAGCTCCACTGAGAAAATCAAAGGGGGTGACAAAGGGTAATTTGCAGACAAATTATACAACCCATGGAAACTCAATTGTGTTGATGACATTGTGCATAGGCATTTTCAACTACCTTGCAAAAGCTAGATACATCGGGGAAAAAAGGATTGCCCCACATACCCACCAGACATGGCCCTTCTCACATTAGATTCAAACATCTTTGGATTATCCCTCAACACTGCAGCAGCATCATGATTGAGGGGATCCTCGTAATTTGGTTCCTGCACACAAAATTGAAAGATTCAAATATCTGATGGCTGCAAATTCATACAATTATTGTCATAAATACATTAGGCATTACCGTGAAAAGATGATATAGTCCATAGATTATGGTGTTTATATTGAGCACAGGTTTCCAGTCTTCACGTAAGATATTAAGGCAAACATTTCCTTCCAAGTCAATATTTGGATGGTAGACCTGGAAATTGGAGTACAACATGAAACAAGCTGGGTTATAACCAAAAGCAAATTAGACCACAACATAAATATGGTAAAGGAACAGAGGACTCAGAGGTAAATAAGCTGGTCTACCTTTGTCTTGCACTTAACTTTTGGTGCCTCATGCGGATAGATAGGAGAAACTTGGAATGAGAACAAAAATGTGCCACCGCTGTAAAACCAGCAGCCAGTCAGTCAAATACTTGTTTGTGAAATTAATAAAAGAAAAGGAAACATAAAACAATTGTATAGAATGGCACCTCTTCCCCCCTAAAGAAGAATTTTAACCAAAAAATTGTGCTAGAGAGCAAAAGATTGCTTGTTTTAAGATAAGAAGCATGAAAGAAATTCCTTACAAATAATATCCTTCATCAGGTCGAATTGAAACCTCAAAGTTCATCAGGTCATCCTTTCCATTAGGAAATGTTATGGTACAAGATTTTGGTAGGTTCAGCTCCGAAATGTCTGCAAGTAGAAGGCCAAATAAAACGTGAGACTCACATTTACTAAGTGCTAATTCAATCCTAGATCATACATAGATCTTCTCAAACCTAGTAAATTCAGTGATTGAGCAAAACTACGATTAAATAAATTAATCTCATTCAAAATCTCTCTCCTTCATAAAAGGTAAAGCAACTTGCAATATATATATATGGAAAACACCATAAAAAAACTGAAGGAAATTTGAAATACTCAATTCACTAAACGGGAAAAGCAAACCTTTGTGTAAACGCAACTCCCCTGCAGTTTGTTTTTTGATAGGTGCTCCACCATTTGCATTTTCAGCAAGTTCTTTCTGCTTTTCTTTAACTTTAAACAGCCGAATCATAGCTCCTACACATGTATTTTAAAATTTTAAAATAAACCCATTAATTTCAATACTTGATAGCGGAATTTAGTTACATCACCAAAGTAATATCAATTCAAAATCTAAAACAAACCATCAAACCAAAACACTTGTTCTTAACAAACCCTAACTGAAAAACCCTGTCTTTGTTATCTAATTTGATTGCATGCTTTTGAGCTGTATATAACCAAAAATTCAATTTCTTCAGAGAACCAAAAAGATCACTCTTTAACCGATATCTAAAACTGAATCACCCCAATAGTACTTTTTCTTCATCTTTGCAACATAAATTTGAAAAACAAAAAAGATTCAGAATTAAATTAATTTGTAACAGATCACAATTCAAGATAAAGCTAGTTGGAAACATCTAGATCGTTAAAGATAAGAGAAATTAATCAGATTCAAGCAAATAAATCTAACAATAAATATATCAGTAATCAAAACCAGTGTTTTGGTTTTATCAGATTGTAACGAACCTGTTCGGGGAAATGCCGAAGAGATAAAGAAAGAAAGAGATGAGGAAGGAAAATTTGATGATTGAAGAGAAAGAAATGGAAAGGGGACGGAAAGTAAAGACAAGAGAGAGAAGACAGAAAGGAAATGACACGAAAGCTGGACCCCACTTTTTTTCCGGTGTTCCAAAAACTAGCGTCGGTAATTTTGTTTGCGGCCCTATTCGACAATGTTTGCTTTTTTTTTACGCGATTAGGGTGAGAAAAAAAAATCGAAATTATAATGGTCGATTTAGTTTAAATTAATTATTTTTTATTTGATTAAGATAAAAATAAATATATATTAAATTTAAATCAAATTTTATATAAAGACTTAAAAAATTAAAAAAAAATTGAATTGAATTGTATATTTTTATTAATTTTTATATATAATTTAAATTTTTATAAAATAAAAATAATTATTTTATATAAATTTATTAAAATATATTAAAATTTTTATTAAAAAATATTTAAAAAAAACAAAAAAATAAATTTTAAAAATTGATAAATTAAATCAAATCAATAAAATTATATTTAAAATTTAAAATTTATAATATTATATATTATTTAAAAATTAAATCAAATTCGATCTGAACTGTTATTATTCTTAGACGTTATTGTCAACTGAATTTTTTTTCAAAAAAAAGAGGTAAATTTAATTTTAAATAAAAATTTTAATTTGTTAATAAGATATTAAAATTTTAATTCAAATAATCAAAATTTAATTTGAAAATTTATATTTTAAATTTATTTTTTATTTTTATTGTTTTTTCAATGGGTGTTTATAATAGTATTTTTATTTTTTATAACTATTTTGAGTAAAAAAAGAAAAATAGAAAAGTTCAATGAATTGTTTTAATATTGTGTCCCTACTAATACAAAGTCATCAATGAAATTATACATAAAAATTTAGTAATTGTACCTAAATTAGTTTATATAAATTTGAAAAATAAAATTATTTGAAAATTCTCTAATTTTCATAAATTACATATAAATAAAAAGAAAATAGTTTTGCAAAAAAAAAAAAAACCTGGGCCTTGACTGTGGGTTAAGCCTAGTCATCCAAAAGCAAAATTCCAATGCCAGAAATATCAATTGGGCTTGAAGCAAGTTGCCGGCCCGTCTTGAAGTTGACCGAGACGGTGCGTTTTACTGCGTTCAAGTTTCAACGGCCTCCCTTTCTCTTCCCACACTGAGGAGAAGCCAAGAAGTCGTCGCTGCAGCAGAAAGGAGTGAAAATGAAGAACCTTTGTTTCTTCTTCATCTTTGGGGTCTCTCTTTTTCCTCTTCTTTGTTTCTCTTTCAATCCTGAATCTCCATTGGATCGCCGAGTTTTAGTCTTACTCGACGATTTCTCGCTGAAATCGTCTCACTCCATTTTCTTCAACTCCCTGAAATCCCGTGGCTTCAACGTCGAATTCAAACTCGCCGATGATCCGTCTCTCTCCCTCCAACGTTACGGCCAGTACCTCTACGACGCCTTGATCCTCTTCTCTCCTTCAACCGAAAGTAAAGTCACAACTCGAAAACGGCACTGTTCTCCTTTATTCCTTATATCCTAATCGTTATTTTTGAATTGTCTTGGCTAGGGTTTGGTGGATCTTTGGATTTGGCTGCGGTGATTGACTTCGTTGACTCAGGTCACGACTTGATAGTAGCAGCTGATGCGTCTGCGTCTGATTTGATTAAGAACGTTGCGACTGAATGTGGAGTTGATTTCGATGAGGTTAGTCTTTTTCTTTTCCTTTTTGATTTAAAAAAATTCTTTTAGTGTTTAATGAATTTTATAAATGGCTTAGGATTCATCGGCAATGGTTATTGATCACAAGAGCTATGCAATTTCCGGAACTGAGGGTGACCATACGTTGATTGCCAGTGATGATTTTATCCAATCTGATGTTGTTTTAGGAAAAACCAAAATCGACGTCAGTTTTACTTGAATTCGAGATGCATTTAAAAACAAATCTGAAATTGGTGCGAAAATGATCATCTTATTAATTGAAAATTTGCTCGTTTCTAATGTTTTAGGCGCCAGTACTTTTTAAAGGGATTGCACATTCAGTAAATGCGGCTAATGGCCTGGTAAGCATGAAGATTAATGGTGCCTTTTCTTTGCTTAATATAGGCTAACCTGTTTTATGTGTATGGTACAATGTGTAGGTTTTGAAGGTGCTTTCCGCATCTTCTTCAGCTTATTCTGCTAACCTGGCATCCAAATTGTTGAGGCCTCCATTGCTTAGTGGATCTGCCATTTCGTTGGTCTCAGTTGTGCAGGTATGCTTATTCTTCTTGAATTTCCTTCACCATGAAATGAGCTATTTATTTCCTAGATAAAGTAAAGTATTTTCCTTTGTAATTGGCTTTTTGTTATATTAAGACATGTGGATACATAATTTGAATGTGTTTTTCAAGTCCTGTTTCCCTAAAGGAAACTGGATAATTGGTTGCATCTTCATTTTGTGGTTTAGAGTGTCCACATGTTATTATTGAGAATCCTTTTGCTTAATGCAGGCTAGAAATAATGCTCGGATCATGATCACTGGCTCTCTAGATTTGTTCAGTAACCGGTATATATATATTATGTGGTGTTTTTGATATCTGGACTTAGAATATTGTTTCTTCATTTTCATTGATAAAATTCCGCTCTGTGATTCAGGCTGTTTAGAACTGCCGTGCAGAAAGCTGGGAGCCCATTTAAGTGAGACCAGAACATTTTCCTTTTGTTGCATTTCTATGTAAATGAATTGTAAAATAATCTTATCTTGCATTCTCATTGGCATAATACTATTATCTGGTAATTCCACCAAAATAAATTGTTTCTTTGCATTGTCACTATGTAGATAATTTTTTGTGTGTGTGTTTATACTTATAGTTTGCACATGTGTAACAGAATTAGAATAGGAAATTGATGGTCAATTAGTTTCAAAAGCACATAAAATTTTCTTTCTGCATATAGCAAATACTATTCCCTTGAATTGTAACTTCAATGTGATGCATACTTTTTTTTGGCCTCTCAATGTGATGCATACTTATGCACATGTGAAATGTTGGCTGTTGGACAACTTTCTTCGTTTTTCCCTTCTCTAGAATGCCAGCTGTTGTGCTTATTGCTTTTATTGATCCATGCTAATGCATAAATTTACTAGTTTCTGACTTGTGGCTATACTGAATGTGGTTGACAAATCATGAATCAAACTCTTGAGCTTAATTGTAAAAGCACAATGACTCTGTCTGCTATTTGTCTGATGCTCTGCTTCGTCTACATTATTGCACAAATTTAGAAGTTTCTTATTGCAGCAATGCTGCCTATGCTGTCTACAAATCATGAATAGACCTTTTAGGCTTTTCTTTCTAGACATTCTTTTAGGACGTGTGGTTGATTTTGGATTCTTTTAATGAGTTTTAGCACTAATAAAATCCTCCAATAAATATTTGTGTGACTTTGTATTCCTGCAACTGTTCTTTACTTGTTTCACCCCAGGAATTTTTGCCTGAGAAAACCAGCAGTTTTTGCTGTTTGTCAGTGATTTTTTCAAGCAAGTAGCTTAGGTTCTTCTTTACTTTGCTATACCAGATTTGAGAAATCGGGTAATGAGCAGTTTGTGACAGAAATTAGCAAATGGGTCTTCCATGAAAGGGGTCACTTGAAGGTGAGGCATCCTGAACAATTTCCATTTTCTGTGGTCTATAGAGTCTGTTTAAGAGTAAATTTTTTGATCTGGTTAGGAAGCCAACAGTCTTGCTTATCCAACTTGCACATAAAAGTGATTTTGCTTTGTCTTCTCTTAAACTATATCAAATCTTTATTTCAGGCTGTTGATCTTAGACACCACAAAGTCGGGGAAACAGATGAGCCTGCAATGTATAGGATCAAAGACAACCTGGTACTGTCTTCCTCAATTTGTTCTGTTAGAAGGTTTTTGTTGAAAATATATGTATTTAAGAGAATTATTCACAATGAATCTCCGAAAATATATATGATTGCAGAAATTTTATGTTGAGATATATGAGTGGTCTGGAAAAAGCTGGGAGCCCTTTGTTGCAGATGATGTTCAGGTCCAGTTTTACATGATGAGCCCTTATGTGCTAAAAACGCTATCAACTGACGGAAAGGTATTCTTTTGCCAGGTTCATGTTTTATCGACTTTGCAACCCTACTTCTGCAATCTCATTAGTATATGCATGTCTAATGTTACAGGGGTTGTATCATGCATCATTCATGGTACCTGATATTTATGGGGTATTTCAGTTTAAGGTTGACTATCACAGGCTTGGTTACACTAGCTTATCTCTTTCCAAACAGGTAACCTATTAGCTATGACAACATCATCTGTTTTCTCAACTAAGCAACAACATTACAATTCAAAATTCTATATTTATGATACTTCTGGGTTCTGGTTTGATTGATTTAATTTTCATTTGTTCGTAGTTTTTACATGAAATTTTTTCACATTTTACAGTGAATAAGAAAGTTGTTTGGATTTATTAAGACAGCAAGTATTAGAAACATAAAATGTTACTCAACTGTCAATGAGTGGATTGGATGAACATTTAGGAGTTGATGATGTTAATGTTAGCTTAATACTTGATATTAGAAAAACTGCTAAGGATACCTGATATCATCTGGGAATGGGTAAGTATTCTCCTAAATTGTGGTACATGGGATGTGTTTTTCCAAGACTAAAGTCTAAAGCATATCAAGCTTATTTTCCAAACCCAGCCATACAACTGCATGTCCCTTGAATACTTCATAACTGTATCTATTTTTAGCAAAAAGCCTGTTTTAGAAGAACTATGCTTATTGCTTTTAACATGGACAAAAGGCTCTTGCTTTAAAAGAAAGGCTGCTCTTCAAACATTTTTATAGTAGTATAGAGGAAATGTTCAGCATAGTTCTTTTAAACGAGCTTGAATTAGGGTTGTTCTTGTTTGTTTATCAAGTTTCTTGAACAAGCTTAAACAAAATGTCAAAACTCATTTAATCAAGAAGGCAAGCTCAACCATAGCTGAGTTTGGCTCGTGGAAAAGGTTTTTAATAACTTGTTTGTGGGGTCGTTTAGAGTTTGTTTAATCAAGGACTTAATCTGTACTTGTTTCTAAATGCAGTTCTTAGGAGTCCTTTCTCTCCTTTCCTTCCTCCTGAAGCTTGTTGATGTCTCTTTTCTCTATCTCTGGACTCTTCATTTTTCCTCACACCCCGCTTCTTTCTCTCATTGCTGGAGACCAAAGGGCAGCCACAGCATTCCTGATTTCCTCCTTCTCTCTTTCTGTTCCTTTTTCTCCTTCCTTACCAGCTCTATCTCTTTCTAAACTATATCCAACTTTCTCATTGTCAAGATCTCATCCAAAGATCATCCCTTCTTCAAATCTAACTCTCCCAACACTCGCATACACATCATACATAGTCTTAATCACATCATGTGCATGTATTCAGACTATTCGTGTGAAAATATTGCCTCTGTCACTATATAGCGTATTCTGCTAGCATACTACTAAAACAGAAAATTTCTTGTGCCAAATCTAATTAATGTACCTTATAACATGCAGATTCCAGTTCGACCCTTCCGGCACAATGAATATGAGAGATTTATAACAACTGCTTTCCCATATTATGGAGCTTCTTTTACCACGGTACTCTTTTCTCTGTGTGTGTTTGTGCTTATATTTGCACAGTATCTCCTTAATAATAAATCTGTGGTAAGCATTCTTTTGGTTTGGTTGAATGCAGATGGCTGGATTCTTTTTCTTCAGCATAGTCTACCTGTATAACAAGTAAGACCTGTCAATCGAAGAAAATCGGATTATCATCACTGTAGTTCTTTGTTATCTTTTTTAAGAAAAAAAGAATTGAAAATTGAAACCTCATCCTTCTCTCCATATATGTCTACTTGAAGGTAGATTAGGCTTAGGTTGGATATACAGAAATCATCCAGGGTTAGGTTTCACAATTTGCTTCTTTCATATTACTGTTTCAACCTCGAACATGCTGGTGGGGTCTTAATTTTTGCTATCGGTGTGATGTCCTTGAGTTGAATCATATGATAGAGAGATTATTTTGAAACTGATTATTTGGACATCATAGGAACGTGATTATCAAACTATCACTCTAATGGGCATTCAGATTGTAGTGAGATTATGATGTTATGACCATGACAATTGAAGACGTTAAAAGGAAAATTTCAGTATCAAGATTTCAAATTTCCTTATAATGCATGAAACACGGTCCGTGTAGGACATAATGAAGAAAAGACTATCTTGTTGGACTGTCTACTGACAGCAGCCATCTTACACGTGATATCCATGTTCTGCATTTTCTGGTTTTTTTTTTTTCTCGTTCATTTGGTTTTTTTTTTTTGTTAACGTCAGCAATCGCCTATGAACTGTAATAAAATATTTAATATGATATTTAAATTTTAAAAATATTTAATTTGATACTTAAATTATAAATTTATTAATTAATGTGCTAATTAAAGTGTTGTTTGTCCGTCCTATATGATTATTTGGAGTTAATTACGTTAAATATTCATATATCTCATTAAAATTTTAAAAAAATTAAATATTAAATTAAATATTTTATTGTAATTTAAGAACTATTACAATATTAATTAATTGTTTTTCTCCATATAGGAATAAGATTGTGGACAAATTTTTTTTAAAGGATTTTTTGTTTTTTAAGAAATATCACATGATTATTATATAGATCAAATAATAACAAAGAACATACAAATTAATATGCTCAAAAAATAAAATTTCAAGTCTAATTAAAGATAACCAAATATAATAACTACAGGGGAAGACATTAGCCTAGTAGAATTGAAGTGAACTTATTTTAGTAGTATGATTACTTTAAAAAGAACTAGCACAATTTATTTTTCCATTTTAAGAGTAGTATTATTGCTACTATTAAATGTAAAAAAAAAAAAAAAAGACACTTTGAAAAACACCTTTAAACATTAGTTTTATTTATCTTTAAAATGACTGGTCATGATTTGTTTACAATATTACCAAACAGAAGCATCTATCCAATCTTAGGTTTATGTCTGAACTATTCAATGACTAAACTGAGAAATGACCCCTCCTCGACGGATCAGAACTGGTTATAAACAATAAAAAGTAGACTTAGCCTAGTTTTGGATGGATGTAACTGCATTTTTAGTAAGATATAATTAAGTTTCAATTATAATCAATTAAATTTAAATGTTAATTTTAATAAAATATATTTAATATAAATTATTTATAATTTTTTTCAATTATAATTATAATAATTTTTTTCAATTATAATTATAATAATTATTATTATTATTTTTAATTTTATCAAAATTAATCTCGTCACTTGATCAAATGAATTTTTAAGTCAATTAAGAAAATTCATAATTCATAATTCGAAATTTTATTTTTATACAAAAAAAATTGTAATTGATTTATAAACAAATGGTCACCGTCCACATCAAACCAAGCCTAAAAGCCAGCTGCTGATGTCAGCTTCATGATTAACACAAGTCTTGGTGCAAGGCGATAGAAGTCCCCATTATATATGGTGGGGGTTGCAAACAGCGGCAATGCTCCACGAAGCGACCCTAATCCCAAAACCAGATATTTGGCCTTCTGTTGGCTTCTCTTTGGCTGACATTAAAGCTAATGCTCATCCAATTCCCTTTCATTTTGCTGTACTTGGTATTTTAGTTGACGCCTCAAAGCCACTTTCCATTTTACTGTAGCTTTTCTGGATTGAAGTCTTCTCTTTTTGCTTCTATATTAAAGGAAAACCCAATCTTTCAAACTCCCAAAGGAAAAAAAATGGCTTCAGTGAATCTGGGTTGTTGGGTTCAATCTTACTCCATTGTCAACCAAGCTTCCAGATCCAAATCCTTTCCTTTGCCCAGATCCTTTCAATTCAATCCTCTCAAGAATCTGTCATCTTCAACCCCCAGAACACGCAGCTTTACATCTCTCCCTACAATTTCCGCAGTCCTTACCAAAGAGGACACTGTCAAGGAAGAAGAACAAGACCCTCAAAAACCAAGCTTTGATTTCAAATCCTACATGGTACAAAAAGCCAGTATAGTTAACCAAGCCTTGGAGTCAGCTGTTTTACTCCGTGACCCTGTTAAAATCCATGAAGCAATGCGTTACTCTCTTTTAGCAGGTGGCAAAAGGGTCCGTCCAGCGCTTTGTTTAGCTGCCTGTGAACTTTTTGGTGGCCAAGAATCCATGGCTATGCCAGCAGCTTGTGCTGTTGAAATGATCCACACCATGTCTTTAATCCACGATGATCTTCCCTGCATGGACAACGATGATCTTCGTAGAGGAAAACCAACTAACCACAAAGTTTTTGGTGAGGATATAGCTGTCTTAGCCGGGGATGCTCTTTTAGCTTTTGCCTTTGAACATATAGCTGTTTCTACGGTTGGTGTTACGCCTGGTAGGACTGTAAGGGCAATTGGGGAATTAGCTAAATCTGTCGGGACTGAAGGGTTAGTGGCTGGTCAAGTTGTGGATATAAATAGTGAGGGACTAACAGATGTGGGATTGGATCATTTAGAATTTATTCATGTTCACAAAACTGCTGCTTTGCTTGAAGCGGCTGTGGTTTTGGGGGCAATTCTTGGAGGTGGATGTGATGAAGATGTGGAAAGGTTGAGGAAATTTGCAAGGTATGTTGGGCTTTTGTTTCAGGTTGTGGATGATATTCTTGATGTGACAAAGTCATCGAAGGAATTAGGGAAGACGGCAGGAAAAGATTTAGTGGCTGATAAAGTGACTTTTCCAAAGTTGATGGGGATAGAGAAGTCAAGGGAGTTTGCAGAGAAGTTGAAGAGTGATGCGTTAGAGTTGCTCCAAGGATTTGATCCCGATAAAGCTGCTCCATTGATTGCTTTGGCCAATTATATAGCTTACAGGCAAAACTAACTTTTGTTTTTGTTGTTTTATAATTTGTAATCTTGATGGTTTAGGTGAGGTGGAATTGTCTAAAACATTTCTTTGTCAAAAAGCCTTGACTTGATGCTTCTTGTTGTGTTTGATCAAAAAGGCTTAGAGAAAGAAGCAGGTGAGTAATATTAATGTTGGGAATATACTTCTGCAAGGATGATAAAGATAGAATTTGTTTTTCTCCCTGCGCTGTAATTTCTGTTATTAAATTGGAATGAGTAAGGTGATAGTGATTATAAAATTCCCATTAAATTTCGGATTTAATTGCTACTTCTTCCTCATTTGTTGGTCTTATGAGTTCTTATACATATATAGTGATCTCTATAAAGAATAGTTATATGGAATTGGATGTTTGAATTCGGAAAATTTTATTTTATATATATAAATCTAGTCAGTTCGTTCAGCATCTTGTTACAATGATGATTCTGGTGACTTCTATGTCATCAATAAACTCAGGCTCTTCCTAATATTTTCTAGTTCCAAGCATGTTTTTCTGCAACGGTGGTAACTTTTGAGAATGTAATTGTTGCTCTGCGGTGCTTGGTTGTGAAATTTTCATTCACTGTCCACAAATTCTGGATGAAACTACAGATTTTAGTTTATTAAGGGGAAGGTTATGTGTATCTTTTGACAAATTGCCTGCTATGACACTACCTCTGCAAATCCTTGCCCATTTTTTGTACGAAACTATCAAGTTAACAAACGTGTCTTGATTAGTGCTCATGAGTGCAGTTCTATTAAATTTTTGGAACAAAGCTTCTTCTGCTCTAATGTTATATTCAGGTCACTTTATAGAAGATATTTTTGAACTATTTGTTTACCTGATACTGGAATTTTCTGGCTTGTATGCATATGATATTAAAATTTCACCACAGGAAGTTTGTGAATAAAACGAAGTTTGTGAATCTTGTTTGTTTATTTTATAAATTTGGTTTTTGAAAAGTGAAGAATTCAACTGAAACCAAGTAGTTGAAAAGTAAAGAACCAAGCTCCACTAAAGTTCAAATTATGTTATTGTCTTCAATGCCAATAGCCTACAATGATTGGTGATAGATTGCTCAATCACTTCCAATTTTCTTGCTCTATCCTGCGTGTGATGATAAGGTATTTAAGTTCAATGTGGTAGTTTTGTTATGTTGCTTAATGGATTTCATCTGCTTTTGTTTTGCTGAACTTATTGTTGATGGATGGATAGAGTTCAGAGCACCAAAAAGGACTGCAGAATCTGCATAGGCAACTCTTTATTGATTCCTCCTGGCAAACTATTGTCAATATAACTAGCAAGATGACTCTGTTCTCCCTGGTACAGCATCTGCCTAAAGATAATGAAATTTCTACGTTGTAGATAAAAAAAAAAATGAAAATTGAACATGCTTGATTCAAGAAGCCAGTCAGATGATAAACAGATTGAAAGGTGAACCTACAGTAATTGTTTGCTGAAGAGTACTACAGTTTGTTGGATTTCACAGGTACAAACTATGAATGAGTGAAGATTCATCTCTGATTATGGCACTCAACTAATCAGAATTTTGCCTCAGTTCAGTTTGAAAAATCCCTTCTTCCTTCCAGCAATTCAACAACTCAGGCTGAGTTCATGCTTGTTCTGTGATGACTTTTTAATTTCTGGGGTTTGGCTGCACACCAAGCCTAGAAGATCCATGCATCAGTCGGGCATTTCTTTCAAATATTTCATTTTATCCCTCATTTAGCAGTACAAAACCTACAAATCAGGCTGTATATAACATTAAAAATTTTGAAGCTGTGATGCAAAATATGAAAGTTTTGCATCCATGGATTCAATGAACCCGTAAACTTTGAGCTCTGGCTGAAGTATTAGAGCTTAGCAGTGTAGATTGTAAAACCTTTCCTAAGATTAAAAATCTTGACGCCGGGGATCGAACTCTTGTCCAAACACTATCAAAACCAAGTTCCAAGCCCTGTCCAAATGAACATGCAAATCGCAATTGTATCAGTTTGTCACAAATAATGAATAAAAAACAAGTTTACCCTTTTGTATTTTTGCTCAAGATTTTCTCAAAAAAACTGTTAATATTGTGGTAATTACCATTGTAATAATTATGTATGTGGCCAAAAGAAAAAACATGACATGATCATACATATAAGCAGCATCTGCAAGGATTCCGCGTTGGCTTTAAAGAACTTCGATTTGGTGCTCAAAAGCTCACCAGCTTCCGTCTTTGACTTTATCATCAGACGAGAAAAATCGACTCTACTCTTACGGTCTTACTCTTTACACCATAGGTATTTGAAATAGTGTAAAGTAGGAAACGGTGTTGACTACATTCATCTTCTCCATCCACTTAATTAAAATTATTCTCTCAATTTCCTTTACTTTCCTTTCCATTTTCTCAATTTCTCTCAAGGCCTTTCCTTATTTTAATGCCCCTTCTTTTTCTTTTTAAATCCTTATTCTTATTGATGGTTTAATCTTCAATTGTGTGTCAAGATTGGGTTCACAGGATCATAGCTTTTGAGCTTGCTTGTTTGTGGTCAGCTTAGATTTCTGAGCTTTATTATCTCCTAAGGATTTCAAGCGAGAAGAAATCTGGAAACCATCGAAATCTCTGACCTTTCGGCTGAAACTCAGGTACCTTAAACTCATCCATTTCTGGGATATCTGAAAGATTTAATCTTTTTTCCCTTTGGGATTATTAGTTTATTCTCATCTGGATCTAATTGCTGTACACATTTAAAAACTATCTCTGGGTTTTTAAGATCTTGTCCAAACTTTCTTATTTTGGTCATTTGTACTTCAATCTGAGTCAACTTGATTACTTACTTCTACTTAGATTTGAGATTTTTTAGTCTGTGGATTACTGAAGCCTAAAAGATCATGATATCTCTGCCATTTTTATCTAGAATTGACCTACAACAAGCTTTGGCCTTTAAGTCAACTTCTACATTAAAAGCTATATCTATATAATTTTTATCTAATTCTTGCAGTGAAACTTCATCTAAAGTTAGGTCCAAAAAGAGCTATTTTAGCATTGTAAATCGATAGATTACAAGCCAAAAGAGCTTCTGGGATTTTAAGATCTTCTCCATCAGCATTTGAATCTTTATCAGCTATGATGGGATGTCAATCTAGCAAAACGAAAGGAGGTGGTCCTGAACCGTCTTCCCCAGACAAGACTGATTCTCAGTTTGAAGCTGACTTGAGCTCATACGAGGCTGCTTGTAGACATGATCCAACTTTGCAACATTTTGATGCAACCCTTCATGAACGTACTAACCATGTCATAGGCACGCTTGCTGCTGGTTTAGGTGTTCAATCCTTATCTTTGGACTCACTCAAAGAGGTTACTGGATGTCTTCTTGAAACGAACCAGGAAGTGGCCAAAATCATTTTAGAATCTCAGAAAGATATATGGAACAATCAGGACTTGTTTTCTTTGGTGGAGGAATACTTTGAGAACAGTAAAAAGAATTTAGACTTTTGTACTGCCCTTGAGAATTGCCTCAAACGTGCTCGAAACAACCAATTAATTATTCAGTTGGCAGTTAAGTATTATGAGGAAGAGGTAGGGTTGCAAGTTGGGACTGATGAGAAGAAATTTGTGAAAACCCTAGCAGAACTAAGGAAATTTAAAGCGGCTGAGGAGCCGTTCACCAAGGAGTTCTTTTTACTGTTTGACTCAGTCCGTGAGCAGCAGGAATCAATGCTAGGGAAATTGCTAGTTAGGAAGAGAAAGCTCGATAAGAAATTGAAATCTCTGAAAACTTGGAGGAGGGTATCGAATGTCTTGTTTGTAGCCACTTTTGTCTCTGTGTTGATTTTTTCTGTGGTGGCAGCAGCCATAGCTGCACCGCCTGTTGTAACAGCTGTGGCAGGTGCAATGGTAGTTCCTATTGGTTCAATTGGAAAATGGTGCAGCTGGCTTTGGAAGCGCTATGAGAATGAGCTGAAAGGGCAGAAGGAGTTAATCAAAACAATGGAGATTGGTGCTCGCATTACAATCTATGACATGGAAAGCGTAAGAGTGCTTGTCAGCCGATTGGAAATTGATATGGAATCGCTGCAGCTTAATACTACTTTTGCACTTACAGAAGAGGATGCGGTGAAACTTGCAATTGATGAGATCCAGAGAAAGTTGGAAGTATTTATGGAAACCATTGAGAAATTGGGTCGACAGGCTGATATGTGCAGCCGTGATATTAGAATGGCGAGGACAATGATTTTGCGGAGGATGATGAATCATTCTGGCACTTCAACAACTACAGACAGCCCTTGGGAACTCTAGCAATGACTATTAAACCGTGTGTATGTTGTATCAATTTTATGCTCTAAGTAATGAAATTCGATCTCTACTTGTCGGATGAATAGATCTGGATTTGCTCCTATATATAACTGTTACATTGTTCAGCTGATCTAATTTTGGTCCATATTTAGACCATTTTCTTTTATAGAAAAAAAATCTTCCTTGATTCTAGTGTCAAGTGTTTGGATCTGGTTTGTGGGTCAGACTTATATTGCTATAATTATAAATGCAATTGTCATCAGAAATAGTGAAGATTGTTATTTGGTTGGTGCAACTAGCATGATTGGGGCAATTATGAATTTTAAGCATCATGTGAGTGGCCTGTAGAAAGAACATGGGTAATAATCTCTGTCTAGTTTTTTTTTTTTTTTGGTCGAAATATTTCTGTACCGGTTGATTCATAGTAACTATGTAGGACCATAAAAAGAATGCCATGGTTGCTTACTTTTCTTTGTGGCCATGATAAAAGCCTGCATTCATCTGTTTGTGTCTGCCGAAGATGGAAAAAGGTGGGTTGAAAGAGGAAAAATCTGGGACTATGCTTTGGTTGAAAAGTATACTGTTATGTTACAAGTTTCTCTGTTGATGCTTTTATTCGAATCGAAAAAACATGTCAACTCTGCAGTTTGCTCCCTAGGCCGGATGTTATTAGTGCAAACTCGTTTGGAAGTATCCATGATTTTATAGATGTGAAGATTCCGAAATGTGCACTGAGCTTCACAAATCTATATATGATGCAATGCCTCCTATGTGATACAGGTCGAATCATTACCCACTGATCTCAATGATTATTTCCCAGCAGGTGTAGTCCTATTTCTCCCTGTTCAGTGCTATCCATTGTATGAAGTGATGATGCTTAAACATTGCAAAAGGAATGGGGTTTAAAAGCTATGAGAATTTAAGACCATGCAGATTCTTATGGCAAGAAAACAAAAGGGAAGGAGAAGATTGTGTTAAAAGCATGAGAAAAAGGGTTGAAACTTGAAAGCTGAAGAGTTCTTGAAGGAATCTCGAATCAACACTTCAAACTGAATGGAAGTGTTTGTTCAAAACTTCAAACAGCTTCAAACTATTGCTTCTTTACTGAATCAAAATTGCATCTGCATGTGCTGCAGCTTCCTGGGCTGGATTCTAGCACCTTTGGGGTTTTAGTTTAACTGAGCTGAATCTACTGAACCTATGAATCTATTGGTCATTCTCAAATTTCTTTTACAACGTTTATTCTCAAATGGTTCCATAACTTTCATTCTCTCAAGTCTCAAGTATAAAGATGTTAATGGATCGATATGAATTTTTATTTGTTTCGAATTTAATTTTAATTTTATAAATTTAATATTTAAATTTTGATTTAATATTAAAAAATTTTATATATTCAAAATTGACTCGATTTGTATATATTAAAAATCATAATCGACTTAACTTAATTCAAAAGTAATAAAATATTAATTTTTTACATATTAAATATTATTTAATATTATTTTTAATATACAATATTATTTTTAAATATAAAAAAATATATAAATATAAACATAAAATTAAATAAATAAATAATATATATCAGGTTAAGGTAAAATGGATTTATATAAAACTTGACCTCGAATTTTTATTCAATAATATCCAACTCAAATTTCAATTTAAGAAAAAAAATCCTCAAGAGATAGATCAGATCAAAATCTATTGGGATATAGATTAAATTATCAACCATACTCAAATATCTTCCCAAACTCCTCATGGCCTATGCTTTAGGCCGAACTTCATCAACAATGATAATGAGAATTATGGATAAAAATAATGATTACTCAAATTCTGCATGAAATATTTTTAAAAAAAGTGATTACTTAAAATTCATAATGCATTCATGTACCGTGATAGAAGGATGATTAAAGCTGTGTTTAAAGTAATCCTCAAACTTTTTTACTATTATGTGTTTGGCCCAACACTTTCCAAAATTAAGCAAAGCAGTCTCTGTAGTCCCTTCCCTTATCGATTTCTCTCGGCTCGCCCCAGTCATTGCTGATTCGCTGTTGAAGCCATTGGAATTAGAAAGCAAAAGCTTGTCCATGAAAAAGCTCTGATCTCAATACATGTTGAGAATCAATAATCTCCAAGGATTTGCCAGAAAATTTAGACATTGGATTCATCCCATCAAATGTTTACATTCTCTTCATCAACACAAACCCAAAATACCCACCAAACACAGATTTACCAAAACCTTAAAAACCCAATTGAAATCACTTGATGTTAAGCAAAAAGTTTACATGAGAGGCACAATATCAAACATTTACAAAATCCTCAAGTACTCAACTTGGGACTCGGCTGAAACCCAACTGAAACAGCTACCCATCAAATGGGACTCTTTTACAGTCAACCAAGTCCTCAAAACCCACCCACCAATGGAAAAAACATGGCTTTTTTTCAACTGGGTTGGTAAAGTTAAAGGCTTTAAGCATGATCAGTTCACTTACACAACAATGCTTGACATTTTTGGAGAAGCTGGGAGGATTTCATCAATGAAGTATTTGTTTCAGCAAATGCAAGAAAAGGGCTTAAAAATTGATGCTGTTACTTATACTTCGATTTTGCATTGGCTTTCAAAGAGTGGAGATGTTGATGGGGCAGTGGAAATGTGGGAGGAAATGAGAGGAAAAGGGTGTTTTCCTACTGTTGTTTCATATACGGCTTATATGAAAGTTCTGTTTGATAATAAGAGAGTTAAGGAAGGTAGTGATGTCTATAAGGAGATGCTTCAGTCTGGGATTTCTCCTAATTGTTATACTTACACACTGCTGATGGAGTATCTTTTTGGGGATGGTAAGTAGACGAATGACTTATTTGAGTAATGCTTTCTTCCTGTTCGTTGAATTGTCTAAATGGGGTGCACATGCACAACTGCGCATTTATATAGTATTTACGTTATAGTTTATAATTTGATGCCACTTCATCAAAATTAATGTTCATTAATTTTTAGACTATAATGAGGTAGCCAGTTGTAATTTAGTGACTGTGTATAGAATTAGCACATCAGATATAAACTCAGGTTGGTTCGAGTACAACAACACACCAATCTCATGGCATTGTCTGTTTTAGTCATTGAGGAATGAATGTTCTGTTTTTAATACTCTCTTTGGCTCATGTGAGAAATCTTGAGTTAATGAAAAACACCTATGTCAAGAGAGGGAAGTAGGAGAACCTAAGAGAACACGGTTGAAAACTGTTAAAAAGGACCTAATCCATGTAATCATCCTACTCAGTTCCTCACATATAGCTCAACAAGGCTTCGCTCAATGTCAATTTCTTGACTCTTTTTGTCCTGTCATTTCACTCTTCGTATCAGTGCATGCTATTAGTTGAAACTTGCATTATCTAAAACTCTTGAAAACTGCAGCATTATGGTAAACGTCCAAACAAAGTGATGAGTTGCATTCATGGGCTCTTAATCTTGTTTGTTTTACAGTTTTCGTAGTTGGTTACAAAAGTACAATTAATGTGAAAGCTTATATCTGAATTTGTCAATAGTTGTCTTTGATCAGAAAAAGAAGTGTTCTTTTGAATGTTTTCTATAAATGTATGTACATTTTTGGTGGTTTGGCATTTTAAGACGGATGAATGCTACTGTTAATTGCTTTGGCTGCATCTAGCTGCCTTTGCTGGAGTATCATGTTTACAAGGAAGATGTTTATTCTTTTGTGGTGGATCCAGGCAAGTATGAAGAAGCCCTTGAGATTTTCAACAAAATGCAAGAAGCTGGAGTTAAGCCCGATAAAGCTGCATGCAATATTTTGGTTGAGAAATGTTGCAAAGCAGGGGAGACAAGAGCAATTATCCAAATCCTTAAGTACATGAAAGAAAATTATCTTCTTCTTCGGTACCCCATATTTCTAGAAGCTCTTGAAACTTTTAAAGTTGCTGGTGAGAGCAATGTCCTCCTCAGGCAAGTGCATCCTCATATCTCTGTTGAATGCATTGGCAATGAAAGAGAAGCTGAGTATAAAGGAAATGCTTCTGAAGCTCCTTTAAATTTAGACAGAGGTCTAGTGTGGGTTTTTTTGAAAAAGAAAAATCTTCTTGCCATTGACAGTTTACTTACTGAGTCAGTGGATAAGAATATACAGTTGGACTCTGAAATGATCTCTGCCATCATTCATATAAACTGTAACCATTGTAGGCCGGATGGTGCTTTATTGGCCTTCAAATACAGTGTGAAAACAGGTATAAATCTTGAGAGAACTGCATATCTTGCTTTAATAGGCAGTTTAATAAGATCAAACACGTTTACTGATATAGTGGAGATTGTCATGGAAATGACTAGAGCTGGACATTCTCTTGGAGTTTATCTAGGTTCGCTCCTAATCTATAAGCTTGGATGTTTTAGAAGGCCCACTTGTGCTGCAAAGATTTTTAATTTACTGCCTGATGATCATAAATGCGTTGCTACCTACACTGCTTTGGTTGGTGTCTATTTTGCTGCTGGGACTGCTGATAGAGGACTTAAAATATACAAAACCATGCGAAGAAAAGGGATTTATCCTTCTTTAGGTACATACTGTGTTCTATTAGCTGGTCTTGAGAAACTTGGTAGAGTCTCCAAAGCAGAAACCTATAGGAAGGAAAAGAAAAGCCTGCAGAAGGATGCTTATTTCCGCGAATCCATTCCTACCAATGAAAAGATTTGTGACATCCTATTTGCTAGGGATGTTGTATCTTGATGAACTTGTCAGGTTTTATTACAAGACTCATTTTGAAGGAAAGCTGCTGCGGTATGGTGTTATTTGATTGTGAGAGGGGAGGGGTTTGATCAATAATGTTTATGAAGTGCTTCCAATGGAAGATTAATGGCAACCTAGATTGCAAGAGTGGGTGGAAGTATTTAATTGGTCCACAGATTCAATCTTTTTGGTGCTGCTTATACTGATAGGGCTCTCATGCTGCATCTTGAACAAATGCGCATTACATTTTGAATGTGATCTAAATTGGAGTGATCTACAAAGGATTCTATGGTCTGTGCTTGTTGATGACCAATACATTGACTAATCTCCCTGTAAGTGCGTTTGACTGCAATAGCAGATTTTTTGACAATTATATGAATAAAGTTCAATTTATTTCAGCTCATTTTTCCCAATCTAAATGGTAAAAATAAAGATGCTCCAAATAGAAGGTTAAAGCCTTCTCTTGACAATTGATATACATCATCTTAGAAATGAAGAGATCCAACGGCTTATATTGTCTAAAAAAGCAATAAAAGTGAAAGAACCCCAACCGCATGCCCACAATCCACAATCTTATTTATGCAGGTCAGGGTAATAATTTTCCCAATAGAATATATGCTATATATCATCAACTAAATAGATAAAAGCTCGACCTTGACCATAAATGAAACAAAGAGAAAGAGAGTGCATGGTTCATATGTGGTCCATTTTCTTGAAGATAAAGACATAACCCTCTATTCTGTTATTATTTCCTTGGACATTGAGGGGTATCTGAATTGCTCACGCTAAAAAAATTAAAGACTGGCTCAAGTTTTGCTTTCAAAATGTCAGATCAGGCTATTGCATTCCAAGTGTTCCAATTCACTGGTTTTTTCCTCACAGCCATCGCTTTTTCAGACCAAACCAAATCCATCCACCTGCTAAGGAATGAGAAGCAAACAGAGGAATAGGAACATTCTAGTCTCAGCCAACTGTAAATGGTCAATATATATATATATATATATATATATAGCATTAGTGTTGATTTCTGTCTTTCTAGTTTCTTTCAAGATATTAGTTACCATTTTATTTAGTGATGTTTAGCTCAGAACCCAACTTCCGGGCGTTTTACCAAAGTTACTGTCTTAGTCGACACTTTTGATTATGGATGTCAATAAACCAAGTTGAGCTAGACTTTTGCTTATTTCAAACGCGATTATATAAATTTAATTCGATCTGAAATTAAAATATTATTTTTTATATTCCAACTAATTCAACTCACTTATGTTTAATTTTATAATCAATTCGATTTAACTTAAAATTAATATAATATTATTTTAATATAAAATATTATTTTTTAAAAATAAATATAAAATATATATAAATAAAAACTAAATAAATAATAAAAATAATATATATTAGATTGGTTCAGGATAAATTTACATAAAATTTGATTTGATTTTTTTTAAAAATATTTGACTTGATTCAATTCAAAATTTGATTTAAAAAAAAATTAATCTTATAAAATTAAATCAAATTAAAATTCACCAAGTATAGATTAAATCGCCAACCCTACTTTGACTGGAATTTCACCACTCTTAACACATTGGTGGAGTCCATGTTTGCATGTTGTTTTTGTTTCATTCTTGAAAAAATTCTCGAGTGTAGAGCACTTGCATTTTGGGCTGAAATTGGCCGAATCATTGTACCAAGTTGAGGGGGAATCAGACTAGAAATGCGGTGAGCATTTTTCAGAAACGTGACAGACAGGGATATATAAATCCATTCTTGTACTATTGTTAGATGTGCAATTGCCGGACATGTACCACCCACTAATATTCTTTAGAATATCTATTGGAAAGGAATATCAATCGATTTATCATATCTGCTGGATAAAAGTAATTAAAATTCCAAGTCACGGCAGTTTGTGAAGTTAATTGAAGGTGCTTGGGTCCTTGGGTCACAAAAAGCAAACTACACATCCTTTGAAAATCACAATATGGTAGAGATTTAAGTTTCGTTTGTTTTGTAAATAATAATTTTTAAAAAATAATTTTTATATTTTAAATATTTATTTAATAAAAATTAATTGATCAACGAAAAATAATTTATTAATTAATGAAAAATGATTTTATTTTTCTGTAAATTATTTTACAAATTTGAAAGGAAAAAAATATTTTTTTTAAAAAAATTGTCTCCGAATACAACTATTTATTAATACTTTTGAACATAATTTTATTTATAAATAATATTATATTAATAAATAAATAATATTATATTAATAAATAATATACTATTAATATAATATATTAACAAAAATTATTAATAAATAATATTATAATATATGTTTATAAATAATATTATATTAATAAATAATATTATTATATATTAAAATAATATTAATAATAATATATTAATAAATATTATTATAAATAAATATATACTAATATATTAATATTAGTAAATAATATTATATTAATAAATAATATAATGATAAATATTATTAATTTCATTAATAAATATTATAATAATATATGAATAAATAATATATTATTAATAAATAATATAATACTAATATAATATAGTAATAAATATTACTAATAAATAATATTATAATACATTAATATATAATATAAAGAATAATAAATAATTTTATTTTAAGTATTTTTATATTAACATAATATTTTAATATTAAATATTATTATTAAAATATAATGCTTTTTTAATATTAATAATTTTAATAATAAATAATTTCAATATATTTTAATAATAAATAATTTTTAATATTTTAATAGTTATATTAATATTATTTAAAAAATAGACTTTCCAAGAAAACAACCAAATAACAAAAAATACTTTTCTTTAATTCATCCAAATAATAAAAAAATCTCTTTCAATTCATAAAATATAAACATTTTTCAAAAATTATTTCTTGAAAATCATTTTCTATGAAACAAATGGAACGTATAACTAAAAGCATGTTAATCTGTTAACAATTTATTTAGAGTTGAAAACATGAATTTATTAAGTATTATATTTTTTTTATACGCACACACACGTATACATATATATACAGAGATTTTGGTATACAACAATATAAAAAATGAGCCTATTACTTATAGGATGATCAAAAGGATAATTTTTTTTTTAATGAAAGAAGTTGTAATTTGAAAATAAAAAAATTTACAAATTTAAATTTTAAATTTATTAAATATTATTTTTTTATGAATAAATTAAATTAAATTTTGAATTCAATGAATGATTTTTTGTTTTGTTCATTCTTACTATATAGCTTTTATAATTAGTACGCTACTTTCCAAATGGAAGTTTTCAAAGTCATGACAAAACAGTGTTGATACAAATTAAGCAATTAAAGGAGTCTACAATTAGGCCTATTAATTATTGAACTCTTCGCTAGACAAAAGGTTGGCAATTATGGTCCTTCATTTTATCTTTATGCATGATTATGTTATTGCTTACGCCTATGGCTTTAGTATTTAGTCAAAAAATTTTCTACTTTACTATAAAATTTATTAAAAATAATTGTAAATTTTCTGATTTTATTTATGATTATGTTATTGCTTACATAACATAGTGAAAGGTTTTCAATCTAATTACCTAATTAAAGCTAGGTAGCATTGAGTGGTTGAAGCCATGTTCTTCAATTGTGGACATCAATTTTGATTTCTAAGTTGAAAATTGGAAGATATGATAGAGATGGATCATGAAAAACTCACATTATGGGTCTAAAATGAAATTTATTATTAGCTAAAGTGTGTAAATACAAAGTTATAAACATTAATAAATATCATCTTGCAGAAAATGTGATAAGTTTTTCTTATGAAGTATGATATATGTAAAAATGCTAATTAGATTTCAATAATTGATCAAATTAATGGTAAAATGAGTTTTGCACCTTAATTTGTATTTATTTAATAAAAGATGTTGCATCATGGAGATAAAAAAAATGTTATAAGTGTTAGAATTTAAATTTTAAATTTACTAAATTATAATTTTTTAAAGATAATCATATAAATTAAACCATGAATTTTGCATTTGAATTTGTATTGACCATAAAACAATCCTACTATGATTTAATATTAATTAGATGGATGGGCACATGTATCCATTGTGTGATAGAGACAAGGAAATTTTGTTAGAATTATTTTTCCAAGTTCACGTTATAAACAAGAAATTAACTAAATTATTATCATCAAGAAAGATATAATATTATACTTTATATGATTAATTTCTAATTATTTTGTGACACATTGTAGATATTGATTTTGTCCGGATCTACTGTTTTCATTTCAGTTTAATATTAATAGTTTTAATAATATCAATAATAATAATAATTTTAAAAAATATAATAATAATAAAAAAAATGAGATAGAAACTAAAGGGTTGGTACGGTGCCACTACCGCCCATGATCAGCCCACTTACAGCCACCCTACAATCATCCAGATCCCCCTATTTAAAGCTCTTAAAAACCTCATAGATTCTTCCCCTTCAAAAACCTCTATTTCGGACACCCCTTTGGCACCAAACACCTAGCTTTTCCTCACCAGACACACTGCCCTCAAACACTCTATCCTCTTGGACACATCCTCGAACAAAAAACTCAAACGCCCAAAACCTCAGCACCTGCACTCAAACCAATAGCCACCACCAAAGAAACCATGCAGACACACTGTTATTCCTAATCCCAATCAACCCCTCGCCCACCAAAAACCAAAATACAAAAAAAAAACACAATCCTCGCTAGGCGAGGAATCCAGCGCCAAGCTACCTACAAAAAATAAAAAAATCATTATCAGCTTCAGTTTAAAAAAAAAAAGAGAACAGAAAACCTTGAACCTTGATCTACGCAAATCGGGGTCGTTTCTAGTGAAAAAGAGATCGAATCCATAAAGATCGCGTCGAATAAAGCTTCTAGGAGGATTTCAAAATTTTTTGACCACCGATGACCACCACCAGTGACGGCCTAAACGGCGGCAGCAAGACACCGACGGTCGGTCACAGGTGGATTGCCTGAGCTCTCTCCAAAGCTCTAAAATTTTTTTTTAGGAACAGAAAAAATTGAACAGAAAAAAAATGTTGGTTTATATATAGCCTCAGCTGTCCAAAACGACACCGTTTTAGAACAAAGAACCAAAACGACATCGTCTGGACCAGGGAGGATCCGTACTAGCTCGTGACCTTACCTGGGATTTACGCAACGACCTACTGACCCGGTTCCTCTAATAGCTCTGATGCTGGTTCAATCAAACTGAACTGAACCGCTCCTTAGTCGGTTCGATTGAACCGCAAGCCGAACCAACTCCTTTTTAGTCCAACAGAACCGATCTTTGACCGGTCCGATTTAGGTAAAAAAATTTTTTTTTTTGAATTTTTGAATTTTTTTATATTATTATTTTTATATATTGATGCATGATAAATTCTTAAATTTGTTAAGATAATTATTTTAATAATAATAAAAATAAAAACAAGTAAGATAATAATTAAAAATATATATTAAAATGGCTCAAAAAATTGGTAATAATTTTTATTATTTTCCCTGCCTAGATGTTGGAGGGAATAAAAAATATTTTTCTAAAGAAATAATTTCACCTAGATGTTGGAAATTATTATTAACAAATTTTCATAAAAAAAATATAAGAAATTTTTAATTAATTTTAAAAAATTATTAAAATCAAACTTGCTTCGAAAATCCGCCTAGATGTTGGAGATTTTTAGAGATGTTCGTATTTTCTTAAAAATGAAACCTTAAACTCTAATTCTTAATTTTCAAAATCCTAGGTTTCTAAAAGCCCCTAAAATCCAAAATCCTAAAATCTGAAATCCCTTAAATCCAAACCCCTAAAATTCGAAAACCCTAAAATCTAAAACCCCTAAAATCCGAAATCTCAAACCTTTAAACTCTTAAATCCAAACCCCTAAAATCCAAAACCCAAACTTCAAGTTTTAAAATCGAAACCCTAAAATCTTCAAACTCTAAAATCAAAATACTAAACCTTCCATACCTTAAAACCAAATCCTAAAACCCTAAAAGCTTAAATCTAAACCCTTAAAATTAGAATTTTCAAAATCTTGAAACTTTAACTTTTAAAACCTCTACTCAAGCCCTTAATCAAAACATCATAAAAATCCTAAAACAACGTGTAAAAATTTCATTTGAAGCAATTTATTCTCGAATGATGCCTAGATGATGGGGTATTTAGGAAATTTTGCTTCGTTAAGTCTTTTCACACGATTTTTAATTCGCATTAATAATAAGATTAATAAATAAAAAATATAATAGCAAATTGAGATCTTAAATATAAACAGTCGCACCTAAGCTCTGCCTAGATGTTGGAGAGTCGAGGTAGTCTTATTATACTTAAGAACCTAACTTTTAAATTGTATTTCATTTTACATAACATTCATTGACGTACATATGTTAGCATGTTATTATCGGTAATTATTTGTACTATTCTATCTTTAATTTTTATTTACTACTTGGTGATAAAATGTTTTATAATAAAAAAAGAATAATACTTTTTAAAAAAAATTGTGATATTACAAAATAAAATAAAAATAACATTCCGAAAGAAATAATTCTTGATACTCTGCCTAGATGTTGGAGAGTCACCAATAATTTTTTATAAAGAGTGTTATTTCATTTTAAGGATTGTTGTGTTAAATCTTAAGCGAAAAGAGTTATTTTAAATTTTACATAGATATTGAAGAATTTTAAGATAATTTTTTAACTTAAAGATTTTTTCAATATTTCTAAATAAAAATTTTAACAAAAATATTTTTTAAAATGAAATAAATTAGTATTAAATTTCAAGTCAAAATCATTTTTATCCAACACCGAAAATAACGCATAATTAAATGATACCAATTTATGGGCGTTGTGGAGGTGCTAATCATTCTCCACATGTAACCGACTCTCGAACCCAACCTGATTTTTTATAGATCAAAATTTAGCTTTTTGATAAACTTTAAACCGATTTTTATAGTTTTATTAAAAAGATAAATTTTTGGATGATCAATCACACCCTAACAAAGATTGGTGACGACTTCTTTTTATTTTTCTCTATTTTAAAACTCTTTTATGTCTAACGATCTCAAAATCATTACGACACACATGCTAAAATGATGAGTCCAAACAAATTATCTTACTCTTTTAAAGTGGCTCGTGGGTTTTGTAATTGACTTATACAACAAAAGTCCCCATCATTAATATATATATATATATATTATTTAATATATTATTAATATAAAATTTTAATTACACAAATAAAATTAAAAAAATATCACATATCTTTTAAAATATATTTTAAAAAATAAAATATGTATCATTTTTTTAATTTTGCTTATATAATTAAAGTTTTATATTAATATTATATCAAATATTAATCTTATTTTTAATACCTAATTTGTGTAATATCATTCTTTCTTACCTCTTGTCGGTACTTAAAGTTAGGAGTATATTACTTAAATTAATTTATTATTTATAAAAATATTACTCACGTGATTAAACTTTTTTTCTTATTTTATTAAATTAATGTTGAATTTAACAACTTAGATAAGGCAAAATCAAATTGGCTAGGCATAAAAAAATCCAATAATTTATTAATATTTTTTCCCTTAAATTTAGAATATATCAATTAACGGAATACTATACATCCAAAGATTTGTCTTTTTGATTTTATCATTTGATTAAAAAAACACTTCATTAAGAGAAATTTGTTTCATATAATATAGCTTTAGTAAAAGTTATAGGTTGTAATTTTATAAGTAAAAATTATCTTTTTATTAAGATTTTTTTCTCAAAATTACAAAATTATAAGGATAAATTTCCATGTTTCAAATAATATTTCATAACGAAAGTAATCCAATAATTGTTGTATAATAGCATTGATGGATTGAATAAAAATGACTACATATGCTAATTTATAGAGTTGATAATGGGTCAAATCGGATCAGAGCATATTTTTGTTCGTTTCGAATTTGATCCCACTTAAAATTTTTTTTTACTTTTTTTATATCCAAATCGACTTGATTTGATATTATATAAATTGTATCTAATCTGACTCGATCTGAAATTAATGAAATATGATTTTTTAAATATAAAAATATTATTTTTAAATATATATATTTAAATATATAATTATATAAATATATACAAATAAATAATTTAAAAAATATTATTTTATATAATATCGGATCGAGTCAGATTGAATTTGTCTAAAACTCAAACCTAATTCTATCTAAATTTTATCTTAATATTACTTGATCTAATTTGACATGAAATTTGATTTAAAAAAAATTACCTTATAAAATCAGATTAGATTGAAATTACGGGGAATCAATTTAGTTCCCAACCCTACTTATTTCGTAGAAACTAAAAAGCAGGATAATTATGGCAAAGAAATAATTATGTTAACTTGGTTACCGATTTAAGGGATTAAAAATGATTTTACACAGCAATAAAATTAAAAAAAATTCATGAAATGCTAATCAAGTTCGCATCAGCTATTAGTTGACTTGTCGATTTTTTATTGGTTTAAATATGAACTGATTTGACAAATGGTTTGAACTTTGAATGCGTAGGTTTTTTTTCTTACATTTGCAGGTGGCAATGGTTATCAAATTGAGGGATTAAAAATGGTAATAAACATTATTTCCAAATTAAGGGAATTTAACAATAACAGTAAGTGGATAAGGGTTTAAATCAAATTTAATTTAATTTTTTTAAATATGATATAATATTATAAAATTTTAAATTGGAATTTAAATTTAAATTTAAATTATTTGATTTAAATTAAATCAAATCGAATTTTATTGATTTAGTTCAATTTGATTTACTGATTTTTAATTTTATATATTATTTTAATATAAAATTTTAATATTTTAAATAGATTTTGATATAAAATTATTATTTTTATTTTATAAAAATTTAAAATATATATAAAAAATAAAAAATATATAATTCGATTTAAATCAATTTTTTTAATTTTTTATATTTTGATTAGAACTTAATATATATTTAATATTTATATATAATTCAAACTAAATAAGAAAAAAAAGATCCAAACCAAATCATATACACAAATTTGAATCGATTTTGATTTTTTCAAATATTTTCACCTCTAACAGTCATCAAATTGTTTTGTTTTTGCCTTAATTATTGATAGAAATTTCCCCATGTATATGAGATTAGTGGGAAAAAATTAAAAAATAAAAAATTATTTTAAAATTATAGTATTTGATTAGATTTTGATTTTTTTTATTTGAATTAAGTTAAATATTAAATGTATATATTAAATTTGGATCAAATTTTAAATTAAGATATGAAAAATAAAAAAATTAAATCAAATAGAATTATATATTTTTATTAATTTATATATATTAAATTTTTATAAATAAAATAATTATTTTATATAAAAAACTATTTAAATACATAAAAAATTTATTAAAATAATATATAAAAATTTAAAATTAATAAATTAAATTAAATTAATAAAATTCGATTAATATTAAATTAATTTTTAAAAAATAGTTCATATTCATATTAAATTTTAAAAATTTATAATATTATATATTATTTAAAAAAATTAAATTGAATTCAAGTCAAACATTGTTATCCTTAAATGAGATGATTGTAAGAAAATTACACGTGTTAAACGATTTAATCATCAATTTTATTTGGACGGAATTATCTCCTGTCTCAATTCTCGTTTCCAAATCTCTCAAATTCTCGCGCTATTTTCAATTCTTTTTTATTTTTCTGGTTCATCTTTCTCCATTGTTGGACATTATAAAGAGGGCCGACCCTCCATTAATTGTGCCATTACCAAACGATCAAAGCTTTCAAATCTTCACAACTCTCTGAGAAAAAAGCCTTTTTATTTTTATTTTTTAAAAAATTTCTTACAATGGCGTTGAAGAAAACCTTAGCGGAGAAGCTTTTCAATATTTCGAAAGTTTCTTCGCAAGCTCTTGCTAACTGCCGGATTTCCTCATCAACGGTTCAAAATCGAATCCCGAAAAAAGCGGGGAAAGCTACAGTTTCCATGGCGCCGGATCGAGGAGATGGTAACGGTAACGGTAATGGCATGTTCAGGCGGTTTCTTCATAAAGGAGCTATGGTTTCACCAGCAATGAGGAAGTTACCGATGGTGGAGAATTTAATGGAGAGGTTAAGGGAATTTGATATTTCCAAGGATCGGATCCGGTTGGACGGGTTGAGCCCGCACTTGGTGGCGAAGTCGGCGGTGCCGGAACTGTCGGTTCAAGAAGCGAAGAAGTTGTTAAGGGTGGCGCAGTTGGAAGTGATGAAAACGAGGCTGAGGGAGACCGGTAAAATCTGGATTTTGTTTTCGGACTTTATTCGGATCTGCGGAGAGAGTTGTTCGGATCCGGAACAAGGATTGCAGTTCGCGAAATTGCTAGACGAAACTGGAACCGTCATCGTTATCGGAAACGTCGTCGTTTTGCAACCCGAACAGGTAGATAAAACCTTTTTTTCTCTACTAAGTTATCTGTTGAAACTCTATTTTTCTTCAGATACGATTTTATTTGTGTTTTGGCTTACAGATTATAGCATACATAAAAATCACATGGTGGTGGAAAAAAATATAGGTTCCAAATTCACCGTTTAAATTTATTTTTTTTTTTAGAATTTTAAATTGGAATCTACCGAAAACTGATGATTTTTTCTGGGTATTTTTGTTTTGTGTTTTCTCTTGTCGACAGGATTTTTTACGACAGATCTCTCTAAAAACGTGTAAAGGTTCCCACGTTTGAGATGGTTTCTGAGAACAGAGGGACCCAAAAAAAAGCCCTTCGATGTTTCCACAGTGTGACCACAAGATCACAAAATTTTCAGTTTTCAAAATGTGATGCTAATTCATAAAAAGGGTAAATCTTTAACAGTGAAAAAATTAACTTTTTGAGCAAAATTTTGGAAAAAGACAAAGAAAGATGTGACCAACGACAGCTTGTTGGCTATGGTTTTTCATTTTAGACGAATAAGGAAAGAGCTTGGTGGGGAATTGGGGCTTTGATTGGAGTAAGAATCCAACTTGATGACAAGCTCGTATATTTTTCAGTTACTTTTTTTTTAAATTACAGATGGACCTTGAAGGCTGGAATGTTCTTGATAAGTTCTGGGCAATCTCTGTCTTCTTTGAGTCAATTTTTGTTAATTTGATTGTCGTCATGGTGCCTTTTCGAGTTGTCATAAAACATACAAAAAAATCCCAACATTAAGGTATGTTTAACCCAAAAGCGTTTTTGATTTTCTGATTGCAGATAGCAAAAGCTCTTGGAGGACTGATTCCTTTACCGAGACCCAATCCGAACGACCCAAGAAGAAAAGAACTGGAAGAGTTGGAGAAGCAGAAAGCCATAATTGATCAAAAAGCTGATTCCTTGGTTCGTCGAGAACTCTGGCTTGGCCTAGGGTACTTGGTGGTTCAAACAGCTGGGTTCATGAGGCTAACATTTTGGGAACTCTCATGGGATGTCATGGAACCCATTTGTTTCTATGTCACTTCCATGTATTTCATGGCTGGCTATGGATTTTTCCTCAGGACATCCAAAGAACCTTCTTTCGAAGGTTTTTACCTGAGCAGGTTTAGCACAAAGCAAAATCAGCTCATCAAGGCTCACAATTTTGACATGGAGAGGTATACTGAGCTGAAGGCAATTTTTTATCCACATTCATCATCAGAACAGGTCTCGTCGTCGGCCAATCATTGTGAAAATATGCAGATTGGTGCTTCAAATCAATAGAAAAAAAAAAAAAAAAACACAATTTTGTATCAAAATATTGGAACTAATATATATTCAGCAATGAAGCTTGATCCAACAAAGGATAGGAAACCATAAAACCTGCACAGCATAGTTAACAATTTAATCCAAAAATTTGACTTTTTTATACATATAATCTTCGTTTATACATGGTAAACCAATTATCTCTAATCCCATGAATTCTACTTAATTCCTTTCATGATTTAACCCAAGATCTAAAAGATAGTAGCTCAAATTTTAATGGCCATTCTATTTCCGTAAGTCAGATTTTAGAAAGCAGGCTTACAAACTCTGATTCTGAAAGCCAGTCAATTTTGGATTCTCAACATTTTAGCAACAGAAACAAAAACTATTTATTTTGTTACGTTTTGGTTTTTAGCTAATTTCACATTTTTGCAAACTGAGTCAAAAATACATACTACAATAAGTTATAGGTGAAGTGTTGCCTCGTCTAGCCGATGAATAAACCCAAGGCAATTGCATCATCCTGGAAAAGGACAAATTGAATGAAGTGAATGTTACAGAAATTCCATCCTCATTTATTGCTCGAAACACATGCCCTCATTCTTGAAAAGCATTATATCGACAACCGAAGATGACTGGGCAGAAACCTTAACAAAAATCTAACCAGTGTTGGACAGATATTCTGATTTTATTTTAAGCCTGCCTTTCTTTGCTGTAATCCCTGTCTGACATATTTATCTTCCAACCAGCAATGGCAAACCCCAACGTTTTTCATTTCTATAATTTTATTCTTGTCACAGTTAGGTGAACCAAAAATTTTCTGCTAAATTCTGTAATTCTGCATTAAGATTTCTTCCTATAGCAATTACCCCATAATTTATCAACGGATGATTGGTCCAAGTAACAAAATAAGTGTATTTCTCTCTTTGTTCTTTGGATTTAACATAAATAAAACCTGCTTGGACTAATCCAAGAAAGAAATGCAGTAAGCAAAATCCAAAAACCCTGATCTCTTAATAAATAACTGCCCCATAATCCTGTTCACGTATACATGATGTTCGTGCCTTGTTGCTTATTAGTGCCGAATTGGGGGAGGTTTTTCCAGACAGACTCAATCTTTTATTTCTGTTATGTACGAGGCATTGGATCCCTGGTCGTGAAAATCGTGTGAAACCATGTCAGGTCCAAGTTCAATGTTCCCCGTCTCCTCTCTTAACCTCATAAGAAGCTACCAGGAGGCAGGAAACTCGGTCGTCCACATTTTCCAATCTTGAAACTTTTAACAGATTAAGATCGCGATTAGCCGAGGTTTATTCTGTGCCTGGATGGCAGGACACAAGTTTTGGGACTTGTTTCATTCTTAACTAATCAATTTTATAGCACAGTAAAATTAATTTGCCAAATTCTGCCGACCAATCCAATGCAAATTCGAGGTACTTAAAGACAAACCTTAAAAGAACGTGAAACAATCAGGTCAGCATCAAAATTAGAAATAAATGTGTGATGTATTATATGAGAAATATCAAATACGATGAAATTTTCAAAGTTGCAATCGAGTATTTAATGCATTTTTTTATTCCAAAAGCAAATCTTTCTTCCTTCAAATAAAAAAATTCAATGTGATATGGCCCCTTACTTGCTAGGGTGGTTTCTTCGCTCTTATAAGTGCAAAATATGTATAGCAATTAGAAAATCAAAATTTGCCGGTTCAAAATAGTTTAGACATATAATATTTTTTTCAATCAGATATGTAATTAGATAGAAAAATTTAAGGGTAGATTATGAACCTAAAAAAAAGTATGTGAAACTTGGAATTCAGGTTACTGGGCCTTCACAGCAACATAAACCGAAGAACAAATCTTATGGTCTGCAACTGGCACTGGATGCTGGGGCTAGAAGGATTGAAATTGAACTCGATGCCAGGGCTGTGATTAGTATTGGTTACCAATTCTGATCACATTAATCTTTGTCTTAACACACTGATTTCTGATTGCGGGATGAAGTTGAAGAATTTCCAGTAGATAAAAATGAAACATATTTTCGGAGAAGGAAACTACTTGTTCTATCTATTTGAATTGTTTTTTGTTCCTCCTGCTTGTGTTTCCTCCTTTTTTATTAGCAGAGACTAATGGAGTTGTGATGCATCGTTCTACTATCTAAATTTATTGCAACCTCATTTTAAAAAAAAAAAAAATTGGGTGACTAAAAATTTTTAATTAGAAGGCTGGTGATTTTGGAGTTTGGACACTGATTAAGACATTGCTGGCACAACGTCATTTGCTAGTCTTCCCAACTGGTTGCTTACCTTTCGCATGCATGCTATTTCCATGAAGGATCATTTCATGTCGGCACATAGGCAAATTTTGGAGGCAGACAAATGAACATATAGCTAACAATGAATCAACTAGCTGATGCGAAAAATGGAAGAGACATATACACAATCTTAATTTAATAATTAATTTATTCTATTGAAGATAATAACACCAAAAATAAAATGGTAGTTGTCAATAGTCGTATAATCAATTGATAGAATATTAAATTTTAATTTTAATAATTAAAATTAAAATTTCGATAATTTAAAATAATAAAAAGTAATTTTGATTCGAAATTTCTTAATTAAACTCTATTATAGAATAGTTCAAATGTAAAATTTTCTTACCAACTCTCTTAAAAGGATAAGAAATAGAAATCTATTCGATTGTCTAACTCCTAAGAAATAAACATTTAAAAAAAAATAAAAAATTTATATGATGATGAATTTATGATTTTATAAATTTGGGATGATATATAGTAACTAGTAATTAATAATTTTTCAGACTATTGAATCATGTGAACTCAAATGACAAAAAATTGGTTCTTATATATAAACATCTAATTTCACTTTGTTTTTCTCTTTATATTTGTAAGTGGTTTTTATCTTTTAATCCCCTCTTTAATATATCTTTTTTTTTTTTTTTAGTTTCGAATTTGCTGTTAAACTCACTTACTGTATACTTGATTGAAGAAAATATTGTGTGCCTAAATTCTATGGAACCCGTAACCTCAAAGTGACAACACCAATGACATGTCAATTGATCCCATGGATAATCGGCAATATATCTTTTCTATATTCTGACTTCATGGGCATTTGTATTTTCCTGTTCCTTTCTTGCCACAGTTGGCCTCTTAGTTTTTGGGTGGGTGAAGTGTTGTTATATGATCGTAGCTGGTTAACAAATTAAACTTGAAAGACTTGAGTGTTAAGTTTAAAATGATTTAGGGTTTAAAATTTAAGGATGATTGGAATATGAAATCTGAATAACTTGAAATTGAAATAATCTAAGGTCATGTTACATTCCTTTTCTTTGTCTGGGAGAAAGATCAAATCAAAATAAAATGCATTCTAAATATATTTGAAGCTGACAGAAAGTAAAGGTTAATTAGCTACAACAAGGGAATTTCTTTTTTAATAAATTGAACATATCAATTTGTTGGCATGAATACAAAATAGGGTCGCTTACCATTGTTTCTTGAACTGCTCAACTTTAATCAATTCAAGACTTCAGGAAACTGCAACTTCACACTTTTTATCTTCAAATCCTTAACTTCCACACTGAAGATTGGAACTTGTAATGGCAGCATTTCTCTTACAAGATCTTTCCATCTGTAGTCAGAAACTGCAAAGAAAATTTGTGGTCTGTGTGTACTTTTTTAGTGTCCAACCATTTTCAGACAATGAGATCAGCTGATCAGGTCCTTCCCTCCACTTGCCGACCCTTTATGATTCCAAAACGATCAATTTTAGCAACAGCAGCATCCTGATTACTGAAGAGGCAGCAGAGGATATGCCTTTCTCGATTGTTTCATTATTTGGTAAAAGAATTCAAGACAGCACTGGACAACTCTATTAAAAATAATCCATTATATTTGCTTTTTTTTTTTATATATATAAAGATAATACTAATTTTAACTACAGTTGCATTAATTTCTTATTTGATTAAACTAACGTTTGTTGATAAAACTATTTTGGTAAGAAAGGAATCTGTGGCTTTCTCCTGCAACATCAGATTGGAAGTCAAGTTTAAGAACACAACTTGAATTTAATTACAGAACTTGTTGCTTCTGTTTTTAGCAAAAAAAAAAAAAAAAAACCACTCACAAATCTTTGTCTTTGACAATTGCCCTCTCCTCAGCTTGTTTCCGATATTTTCTTCTGCTCTGAACGTAAAACTTCAGAAACAGTAGCAAAATAACCCCATTCAAAACCGAGTTCAAAACCCAGGCTCCAATCCCATTGCACCCACCTTTCACCAAATGCAACACCAAAACCCCGACATGGGAAACCAGGTTGAAGCCTAACAACAGGATTTGGCAATTCAAAACGAATGGAAAGCAAGCGCTTGGTAACCCTATTCCCGTCCAGAATCTATAGCCATAAACCACAGAGTAAACCAGGGTCGTAAACAGGATCGCCAAAACCTGAAACGACTGTGAAAACTCTAGCCATAGAAATGACATGATCGTCAATATGGAGTTGTTGAAAAGGTGAAAAAAGATTAATCTTCGGGTTCGGAAGATTATGAAGAATGTACGGAACATATGGAGGAAACGAGAGAGGTAAAAGATGTAGGACCAGAAGAAGACACGGCCGGAGGGACGGGTTCCGAGAGGGAAACAAAGGAGCCATTGGAATGGGGTTTTGGAACGGCGCCAGAACCATCTGGTTTCCTTGATTTCAGCGGCGGAGGAGAGGAGGATTCCGGTGAAGATGACGGCCGAGACGATTGACATGATGAGGCTATGGAGAGCCGGGATTGGACCGAGCGGGACCGGCCTGCCACGTTTGACGAGGAGGGACAAAAAGAGGTGAAAGAGGGAAGAGAGGGTGAGGTACACGGCGATGGAGGTGGCTAGGAATGACCAGGTGGAGCCCCATGATTGGCTGTGGCTCCAACGGAAGGTGATGATGGAAGGGTGTTGGGAAAGGAAGTAAGCGACGGCGGTCATACAGGCGAATGATCGGAGGAATCCGTTGTGCTTGGGTGGCTATTTCACATGTTTTCCTGATTTAACAAAGCTTGAGTGGCTATTGAGAGGGGTAGGGATGACGGTGTCAAAGTCTTGTTGCCATCTTGTCTGTCTATTAAATAATTTCTCGTGTGATTGACTAAACTTACACGTGTGACTGGTATTCTACTTTTCTTTTTTCTTATTCAAAGAATAATCAATTTTAAAAATAATAGCAATCATTCAAATTTAATTGTCAAATGATATTAATAGAATGATATATAGCTTTTATTAATAAAATTAAAAATTTATTAATTTATTAATAAATCATATGATTTTTAAAAAAATCTTAGAGTTAAGCTCATTTTTCTCTCATCAAACCCTATGATTGAAACTTTCAAATTTTTTTGATTTTAATACTTAATCTCATTTGAGATGACAAAGAAAATTATTAAAAAAAAAATAGTTCCCTAATTTGTTTACAAAATTGTGGGCTACAAATTAGGAAATTTTTTTTTTTTTTAAACAACTCTTCTGCTGATGGTCGTATTAATTCCTCTATTAAAGAATATGATTTTCGTGTGTCTTACTTTGTTTAATTAATTTAATAACCAACCAATTAAAAAAAACTTATAGTGGTTCATGCATGACATCACTGAAAAAAAATAAATTATATGATAAGATTATATTATCCTCGTGTATGATACCTTGATATTACTTATATCTAAAATTAAAAATATCACCTATTTTGTGAGCTATATATTTGGATATTTGTTAATATACTCTTCATTTTATTAACTTTATTTTACGTAAAGTAATGAAATTGATTAAAAATTTACCATTTGTATTAATTACAGAGTATTTTGTAAAATATTTTAGTTTAATTTGCTTTTTTTAATCAATAAAATTAAAAATAACGTGACAGATTTTGTCGTTTGAATTAATTAATAAATATATAATAAAACATTCAAATAATGTTATTTTTTTATTTAAAAATTAATAAAATTGAAATATAAAAAAAAGTTGATAAAATTAAAATATAATGACAAAATTTAGTATTGAATCATAGTATATATAGTATCTTGTTCTTTAAAAGATGCTAATGGTTGTCTATAAGAAATTAAGCAATATATAAGTACCTTGGATCAAGAAAGAAAACAGCTTAAAATTCCTTGATGACATGATGCATAAATACATTTTAAAATTTTAGAAATAATTATATATGAGTATAATAAAATTAAAAATATATATGTATTTTATATATTTGTTTTGATATAAATTATGATATATAATTTTAGTATATAAAATACGATGTAAATATATAAATTTTAAAATTTTATACGATATAAATACAAAATTCGTTAAATCTTAATATAAATGTAGAATGAAGCCTTCAAATTAGAAAAAAGAAATACGGAAAAGGAATTTGAAGACAATTAAAGGAACTCAACAAATTCGTGCTGACATCTCTTTCAGTATAATTTCTTGGCTGATATTTTGCATGAAACCCTAAATTTGTTGGACATGTGGCATTATTGGATTCCTAAGTGTTTGATGAAATTCATCAACCTAATTAATCTACCAAAAGGCACAACACCAGCCTTGTGAGTTGTAACGTAACAATCACTATATACTTTTCCTGCAAATTAGAAAAAAAAAAAATCACTGCTTATGATTAATGCAGGGATTTTGTCCAAGAGTGTTTTGCTTTATATAAGATTTGTTTTTTTTTTTTTTTTATATTCTGAGTTATGATTAAAATTAAAATTTAAAATTTTTAGTTCTGAAATCGATTTCAATATCTTTTGTTAACGACAATTTTCTTTTCAAGTTTGCAATCAATTTCCTTTGTACAACATTTGAAAGCTTATAAAAGAAATGAGGTCCTCTTCTTGGTTGTTGTCTTGTAGCTATCATATTTATTTTGGTAGTTATTGATTCATTTGCAAGGGAGAATTGCAGGAATATATGGATAAAGCTACAATTAATATGAATTTCCTAAAAAAATCTCTTTAAACAAATTACACCCGATCGAATATTTAACTTAATAGTTAGTGTGTAAGAAAATTAGATTTGGATTCTTCATTGTATATATAAAATAAATTTTTTTTTTTTTTTGTGGGGACTAAGATTAGGGGTGAACAAAAATCGATTTGAATCGATTAGATCGATCAAAATCGAGTGAATTCGGTTGAATCAGTTTGATTTATTCGGTTTTAGTTATAATCAATTTTTTAAATCGGTTAAATTTGTTAATTCGATCGATTTTTTATTTTTAAAATTGATAACTGCATTGATCAAATTAACCGATTTTCTAATAATTAAAAATAAAAAAATTGAGATAAATATTTTTATTTATTTATTTTTTATAAAATATTGTTAAAATTATTAAATTCTTTAGTAATTTAGTTTGAATGATACTAGAGTTTAAATTTTGTTGAATTGAATTTATGGTTAAATAATTATTCATAATAAGAATAAAAATGATAAAAATAAGTTATTTAATCGAACCGACCGAATCGAACTGATTTTAGTCGGTTCGATTATAGTCGATTATTTAATAATATCCGGTTGGTTCAATTATTTGTTAAATGAAAATCAGTTAAATCATTTATTGATTTTTTCAAATCGAACCGATCGAATTGATCATTTACTCACCTCTAACTAAGACATTACATTATATCTAACCATGAGAAAAATGTTAGGGTGATATATTAGTAAATTAAATAAGAGTAATTATTTCATTGAATCTAAAGATCCGTAAAATGGTTTTCCAAAATGTAAAAGACAGAACCCAAATGTTGAATGTTACCAATGTGAAAAACATGAAAAATTTCAAGTTCCAATAATTGTTGATGAGAAAACATATTGCCAAAATTTCATTATAAAGAGCTAAAAAAAGTTAGAATTGAATGATTTTGACAGCAATTTTGTAGGCTAGACGTATGATTAAGATTAATATAATACTACTATTATACGAAGTGATCGGTCATAATTTTCTTCGAAATTTTTTGTATCACATATCTTGAATGAGACGATAACAATTCAACAAGAAAAATATATAAACAAAATCGCTTGTATTATGTTGGTCCGACTCTTAATTTTTTTAATAATCGTGTTTGATACATATTCAACAAATGTGTATGGATTATGGAGATCAAACCCTATAATTATACGAAATTTTAGAAAAATTAAACTTATTCGTGTCGTGCAAATGCCTATATACGATACTTATCCTGAGTTCGAATAACAGGGAAGTAGAATATCTTTAAGTTATGGAATGTCGGATTGGCCATGCCAATACTACATCATGTTTTGGTTTAGAAAAGGGCAAAGAACAGTTGAAGTTATTGAAGTAAATAGAACCCTGGATTTCAGCAGATGAGTCTATTATTTCGTGCCAACTGATCCAACATTCAGAGGTAATCAAATACAAAGTTATTTCGGCAATTCAGGGTCATGAAAAAGGAGCATGTTGTGCAAAGCAAATTAATCAAAACATCGAAATTTTGCTACCTACCTTTCTTTTATTGCAGTATTACTATAATCCATATGCTTTCCTCGAGTCCCACTTGTGGATTTGATAATTTTAAATACGATATGAAAATGATACAAATAAAAAATACGAAAATGATATTATTTAAAATTTTAATAAAAATTATAAATAAATTTAATAAAATAAAAAAATTTATATTTTCGTATTGAAATGAATTATTATATATAATTTTTATATAAAATATGATACAAATACATAAATTATTAATATTTTATATAACACGAATATATGAATTATCAAATCTATCCCTTGATTGAGTTCAACAAAAGATATTTTTTTTCATGGGTTGAGTCATGAATCTGGCTCCAGCTGTGGCGAAAATTTTGTTTCATTGGATTACATATAATAGTAAGCTTTTAAAGCCCAAAAAAGTCCAACCATCTTGTCCAGTCCACAGAAAATGAAACAGGCATCAAGAAAAGACAAAAAAAAAAAAAAAAAGGCTTTGAACTTGAGACTTTAAATCATTGAAAATTTTTATTACACTTGAAAATAAAATTTTTTAATATTTTAATTTTTTGAATGCATTTGGTAACACATTTTAAAATTTATTTAAAAGATTTTTTTGACACCAAAAAGCTTTGAATAAGATAAATAGGTATAGATCTATTTATTACTTAATGCATAAAATATTTAATAAATATTTTTTAATTATTTTAATTATTAACCCCTAAAAATACTATTTCATTATCTATAATAAAAATAAGATAAAATAATAAATTTCAGAATTAAATATTTTATAATTATCAAACAATATATTTACATTCAACATTTAAATTTTATTAAAAAATCAAATAATTTTATAATTCAAATTCAATACCTGTCAAATTTAATATTAATTTTCAACACTTAATTTTTTAATTTATCAAACATAACTTTAATATAATTGATTCGTACAATCATTTTTAAAAAATAGTATTTTAAAATTAAAAATTTAAATATTAACAATTACAATCATTCTATTATCCTTAAATTAGAGTCCTTTTTTAACAAAAATACTTCTCCCCTAATTTTTCATTATAATTGATTGGGTTGGGTGTTTTTCTATTCTTTTTCCCTATTATTAAATTACCTTTACTAACAAATAATTTTATTGGCAAAGGTAGTGCCAAATCTACTTAATATTTTTCTAAAGATTCAATCTAATTTATTCAAATCAAATACTAACACAATTATTTTGTTAGTACTTTTTTCTAATAATTTTTCATTGTTTAAGAAGATTTTTTTCTAATTTTCTTGTTTAAAAAAATTATAATTCGATAACAAGAAGAAGTTTGATTTTTTTGGTAAAAAAAATTAAAAAATAGGTGAAATACAACTTGGGCCTCACGGGCCCAACAACGAATTTTCTTAAGCATTTTTTAAATATAAAAATAAAAAATTAAATATTGGGCTGAGACCGAAAATGGAAGGAAGAATTCGAAAACCCTCGAATCTTTCCCAAATCACCCAACTTCCCGTTGATAGCCCTCGTTTGACTCCACCTTTTTTCAAAATTAACAAAAAAAATTAAGAAACTGGTCCAGTCAATTCCTTCAACTCTCAGGTTATTTGTTCATTTTTACCCAATATTTAGATCTTAATTTTGTTATTTTTTTGATTATAATGTATGCGATCTCTTTTTGTTTTTTAGATTCTTTTTCCTGGGTTTTTAATTGATTGTTATTTGTTCTGATTTTAGATTCGATTTCTTTTGATTAGACGAATAAAATTGTTAGGATTGTTTTATGATTAATGTCGTTTATGGGATAATTTGATGAACTAGTCAAAAAGATTCGATTTTTTTTTTTTACTTTTATCGTCATGCGGTTTGTTGCATCTCAGATTTTTTAGGGTTTTTTTTTATTAGGAATTGGGTTTTGAAGCGAGCTCATTTTGATGATTGAAAGTGGCGATTTTGATTCCATAACTTAAATTTTGGATTTCTCATTTAGGGTTTTTAATTTTATATTTTTCTCATAATTTTATTTATTTATTTATGGTTCTGTTGATTTATTGTGTTAGGTGTGTTAGAAATGGCGAGTGGTTTTGAGGAATCAACAAGCATACCGCCCCCAAGTTCTTCTTGCTCGGGTAGTAATAATGCTAATGATGCTGGTGATTTCGAATGTAATATCTGCTTTGAATTAGCTCAAGACCCAGTTGTTACTTTTTGTGGTCATCTCTTCTGTTGGCCATGCCTGTACAGATGGTTGCACCATCACTCTCATTGTCAAGAATGCCCGGTTTGCAAGGCCCTCATACAAGAGGAAAAACTCGTTCCACTTTATGGCAGGGGCAAAAACCAGACTGATCCGCGGTCAAAATCGTATCCAGGGATGGAAATCCCAAACCGCCCAGCTGGGCAAAGACCAGCAACTGCTCCTTCTCCCCCAGAAACAAATCAGTTTGCCAATTACGGGTTTGGACTAATGGGGGGTTTTGTTCCGATGGCAACTTCAAGGATTGGTAACTTCACAATGGGTTTCGGAGGCCTGTTGCCATCCTTGTTTAATATTCATTTTCATGGATTTCCTGACGCAACTGTGTATGGAACAACTTCAGGATTTCCTTATGGGTTCAATACTGTTCATGGTGGCCATGGTCAAGGGTTTCCCCAGCCAACGGCTCGAGGACAGCAAGCAGATAATGTTTTGAAGAATCTTCTTTGGTTGATAGGGATCTTTGTTGTCCTTGCTCTGCTTTGTTGGTGAAATAGTTTGCCACTTAAGCTCAGCCAGTGCTGGTTATTTAGTGTCTGTCTGTAAATGTGCTAGCTGCATTGGAGATTATGTTTTGGCTTGAGAAAAGGTTGTCTATATTATACTGTCATTTTTGTTTCATTTAGCTTCTGCAACAACTTACACCAAATTTTAATTTCTCTTTGCTAAAATAAGAACCAGTGAAGTGTTTTTTTTCTTATACATGGAGACATTGTGTTGATTGCCTGTTTAGCTGTTCCATAGCTGGTTGCTAGTAATATAATCACAACTAGCAGTTGAAGTAATTGTGCATAGCCTATCACGTGACATGGTAAACCAGTTCTTCTATATGTGAAAACAAATGTTCTAAATGGGATGCTAAAGTGTATCCAGCATCTTTGTCCAATGGTGGAAACATGTGACATTCCTGAGAATGTTGTTGCCAATGGTGGGGAGAATGACATTTATGGTGTTGGCAAATTGTTTCTGCTTTGGATATTGCTGAAGTATGTTGTTGCACTGACCATTTTTAATTTTCTTTTTGTCTTTCTATGGCTCCCCCTTCCATTAAATACCTTTTTGATAATAGAAACTTCCTCCACAACAGTTGATTTGCTTACTAAGATAATTTAAGTTTTTGGGATTAGTTTAACTGAAGTCTGAGATCATTATCAAGTACATCATATTAATCATGCACATGATCATGTAATTTATCAAAGCAAATCCTTATTTGGGGCGTTTTTAAGTGTATTTTACCTACTAGTTTTATACTTACAATTAATTTTATTATAATCTTACAATAATTATTCAACCATTACAAAAATTTAGGTAGAGATTTATATTTTATAAGTGTGGGTTTCATATTGGATTTGACATAATTTTAAATTGTAATTGATTAATTGTAATGAATACTTGTTCGTGATATGATTTGTTTTAATTTGTCATTACGTGCCAGTCATGTTAGAATTGTTGCAAGGAAAAAATGTTTTTTTTAATATTTATGTAGAATTTTTTTAATAGGGTATTCATAATTTGATTAGAATCGAATTAATCGATTAAATCAAATTAATTTGATTAATCGATCGATTATATAATTAATTTTGATCGATTATGAAAAATAATTTTAAAGAAATTTTGATATTTGATGAATTCAGTTTGATAATCGAATTAATTAAAATATAACAAAACCATATATAAAATTAAAAATGCATGAAATAAATCATTTTATTTTATAAGTTGTTAAAGTTTTTAATTTAATATTTTGATATTTGAATATTTTAGATGATTTTATTTAATTTGTTTCAAATATGAAAAATTAAGAATTTAAAATATAATATAATTTGAATATGTTTTATTATTTGGTTAACTAAAAAAATTAATCGAACTAATGGAATTAAATTATTCGATTAATTTTTGAAATGAATAAATTCTTTTCAATTAATAAAAATAAAATAAAATAATTCAATTAATTTAATTTTAGATAATTTAATTTAAAATTATTTAAACCGATGGAATGAAGGCTCAAAAAAATATTTTTGGAGGTAATCTAATCTAATCTAATTACTGGACTTCTTTGGGTGGAACATGGAGGAACATGGTTTGAACATGGATATGTGTCTCCCATAAGCCAATTATTGGACATGAGTTTGTGTCTGACACTCAAACCTCTAGTTTTAATGGGCATCGTTTATAGAACACAAATTCATCTAACCAACATTGAGCATGCTATAGACTAAAATCGGGTTGTCTGTAAAATAATGCTCGGTTGCATAACATGGTATTGAATGATAGTGAATATTATGAATCCGAAATTTAATTCAATTGGTTGACATCAGATATGAAGTTCAATTATCAGCATCTGCTATAATTTCATCTATTTCAAGCTGCAACTTTGAAAAAACATATATTGAACATTATTGCTGCTGGTAATGCCAGCTAGAAAATGTTTCAAAGTTGTGTAGTATGCGTTTTCTGCAATGCTGGTATCTGTCTGCAACAGCTCCATGCTCATCAAAGCTAGGTGTCTTCCCTTGTGTTTTGGTTGCTATACAGCTATTTTTACTCAATTTTAATACTCAAGAACTCTCATGATAAGCACTCGTGTTCAAACTTGTAAATAAGTTTCAAATATCTAGTTTCCTTTCAGCCACATATTTTGTTGAATCATTGATGGTTCTGATGTTAAAAGGTTTACCTGAAACATATTCATGGAACCATTGACCCTCTTCAGTTCACCTGCAAAATATATACCTTGAATCTGAAACCATCAAATTGCAAAAATCTTTTGCTTTATCCTTTACTTGCAATTGTAATTAATAGACCCTTTCCTTTTCTTGTTTTAAACTAACTATAAATACTAGTTTCATGGCTTTGTTAAAATGAAATTGAAGTATATTTATTAAGCTTCAAAAATTGAGTTCTGTCGCAATATTTGACAAAAGAAGTAAGCTTGTTCACATTGGATCGATATTAGGGTTGATCTTGCCGCCAAACCGTGTCAAAATCAACGGAAGGACCCTGGAATTTTGAATAAATGCTTGGGGCTGCTGATCTCCATATCTTCTGCTACACTGTGTGCTTGGTTCAGTTCGAGCCTTAATTTCTTCGACTTATAATTTCGTATCTGTATCCTTAGATTGTAAGGGTTTCTTCTGATATGTACGTTTCGAGGGGCCATAGTGCTGCATTTAAGCCTCTCTGCAGCAAGTTTTTGGAATGGAAGTCTCTCAAATGAACTGCATATATAGCCACCTTGTCATGTCAAGGTCAGATAAATTAAAACTCTACTAAACATACGACTTAGATACAGTGTATATGAAAATTGTAAAGTCATTAACTAGCAAAAAGACGAAACTTGAGAGTTGAGACCATGGGGATTGCCGCTTGAAGCTGACCTTTTTTTAAAAAAAAATTCTTCTCTCTTCGTTAGCCGTCGGTGATAAATTCAGACACTTTAATCTCACTAGAGGATATAAGTAGAGCTGTAGAGGTTTAAATTTATATTTATGAGATATTTTTATAAGAAAAATTATAAGATTTTTAATTAAAATAGATAATACTTTGTAGGTTGGGTATAAATTTTTAAAATTAATATCGAATCAATCACAATCCGACAGAATTTAAATATTATATGATAAAAATTATTTTTAAAATTTTAATATTTGATGTAACTCTGATTACATGATTTTGTGTGTTTTTATATTTAACAAAAAGAGTTTATGCCACTTAAATCTCATATTGAAATGTTTTAAATATTTGTTATGATATATAAATAAAAAATTATATTTATATTTATGAGGTATTTTTTATAAAATAAAATAATAAAAATTTTGAATTAAAACGAATAATATTTCGAAGACTATATACGGATCTCCATGTATATCGTCTAAATCCATTGTAGAAAAAGGAGTGCCAACAGCCAAAGATTGCCAATCACTTGAAATTAAGGTTTGAACGGGGTTCAACTTAATTTTTCTAGCAAACAAGAAACTAAAAGGGGAAAGAAATTAAACAAAAAGGGATCATTACTTAACAAGGCTGGGGTCAGGTCACCTTTATAATTGGAAGGTGTATCAGTGTCATGTGTAGCACATGCTGTGTCTTTGCTTTAAACATTTTGCTTCAATGAAACTCTAATAATGAAAGAGGAAGCATCCATTTCACATCATTTCTGTTATGGCAAGGACAAATAACTTTTTTTGAGAAGCATGTGAGGTGCACATGCTATTCAATGATATTGTTGAGGATGGTTTCCTCCTTTTCTTTTCCCTCTTTTAATTTCTTCATCTTAACATAAAGCCTCCATGTTTCCATTGATTTAATTTTGGTTTGCTAGATAGCTCATAAGAAATAAACCTCAATTAAAGATAGCACCTTTATTTAAATTTTTTTTTTTTACAAAAGAGATCGCATAAAAATATAAGAAAAAGTTTCATATATTAAGATTTGATCTTTGTACTTAGTAGATGAATATCAACTCTTAAGAATGATTATATAAACTAATTAAGTTTAACTTCGATGATTTTTCATGATTAGCTATGCCATTACATTTCTTATTATTTTTTAATATGAGAAACCTTATATCTCAATTATTTTTAACACAAAATCAAATTAAACCCCAAATTGATACAATAAAAAATGTGCCCCTTTTCCAAGATGTGTAATTCTCTCTTTGAGATATAAGGTGATCTATCATTTGAGAATCATCAACTAATGCATACACTATTTTCAAGCAATGTTGATAAATTCATCTTTTTAGAGTAATTTTTATAATTAATTTGAACACATTGATGAGAACGATAGAGTGAAGATATATATGTCTTGATGAATTGAATGTTTGAGCTAACTACTATGATCAAGAGGGGAAGAAAAGGGTTTGTTGGCCATTTTGGGGTTTGAGAGAAAGATGAAATTAACCAAAAACTTGGAAAGATTTCACTTGGATTGTTGCGCATTTGACAAGCAATGATTTTTTGTAGCCAAACTCCATTTCTTTGCTACAAAGAAGAAAACTACAAAGTGATTTTTTTTCTTTTATCATCTAAACTACAAATAAGCCCATGTTAGGACATAGATTTGTGGCACAATTAAGAATGGTAGAGAATCCATTCTTGGTAGATTTTAATCCAATTCGATTCGATTTTTTAAAATTTATTTTTTTAAAATATGATTTTGAATCAAATCAAATTGAATAATTATAAAATAAATTTGAGATCAAATTTTAGATAAATTTATCCAACTCGATCCAATCCGATACATATATAATTATTTTTAATTAGTTATTTAATTTTATATTTATATTAAAAAATAATTTTTATATTTAAAAATAATAATTTATTAACTTTAGATAAAATTAAATACGATTTATATAATATCGAATTGAATTAAATTTAAATATAAATAATAAAAAAACCATCAAAATAAATTAAATTTAAAATATTATAAATATAAATTCAAATCGAAATAAATGTACATCACCTTTGGACACATTCAATAGTTAGATATGAAGTTATTGAAGCACTTTCCACCAATTTATAGGCAATCAACTTTCCATCAGCGGGACCCAATTTTTTACTCTATTTGATTAGGTGGCATTTTATGGGCCCATTTATTGCAGTTAAGTGCCATCTATGGTAATAAAAAAATAATTGATCATTTAAATTGACAAGACCCAAATAAGTCAAAGTCATTTAAGAAGGTAGCTGATAACATCAACATGCTTAATTTATTGCTTTTATTGTTCCACTGAACATGCAAATCCTTGGATTGAAGGCAAAAAAAAAAAAAAAAAATGCTGTGCTAGAGCTTTTCCTAGACGTGGATGGCTCAACCAAATTTTTGATATGTCATTGTAAGATCTTACAATTCAATATTTTTGGAGGAAAATCCAACTTAAATAATTTGTTCTTTATTGGTTTCCCATCATTGATACCCACTTCAAATATAGTGTAAAAGCTTGTTTTAATGTACTCTCTTGTCTTAGCTACCACATCTAATTAGCAAATCTTGATTTCAAGAGTGAAAAGCATTCTTAATTTGAACATAAAAATAAAATACACTGTCAATATTTGATTTGTCCATATTTAAAAATGGAAGAAAGAAATTTGAAGCCGAAAACATTGATTGGTACAAAGGTTTTTTTTATTTCGATTTAGTAATTCGTGTATTTATATTATATAAAATATTAAAATTTATATATTTATATTATATTTTATATAAAAATTATATATTATTATTCATGTTAACATAAAAATATAAAATCTGATTTATTATTTTATTAAATTTATATATAATTATTATTAAAATTTTAAATTATTTTATTTTTATATTCATATAATATCATCTTATCATATTAATTTTTTCAGCTAACGCAGAGTAGACATTATTGATGTGTCCGCTTTCCCAATCTAAAAGGTTATTAACCGCAATCTAATGCTTCCAAGTCTTTATAATTTCAATACCCTTTTCCCTTCCCACCAAGAAAATGCCCAAACTTGCATTAACAATCCCACCGCATCATCCCCAGCGACCCCAGCACTGCCACTACCACCTCCTCCTCTTCCTCCTCATCTCCGCCATCAATGCTGCCCCTGCCTCCGCAACTATCACTAATTATCAAAGATTCAAAGAAGCTCCACAATTTTATAACTCTCCAACCTGCCCCTCCATCGATACTAGTGGCACCAATGAAATGTGCTTCGATCAAGCTGTTCACGTTGCAATGACCCTAGACGCTTCCTACTTACGTGGCTCAATGGCCGCCGTTGTCTCCGTCCTCCACCACTCTTCCTGTCCTCAGAATATCATCTTCCACTTCATTGCCTCCGTCACCACCAACCACCATCACCTCAGCCACACAATCTCCCGCTCCTTCCCTTCCCTCAAATTCCAAATCTACCCATACAATTCCTCCGCAGTCTCGGGCCTCATTTCCACCTCCATCCGCTCAGCACTCGACTGCCCTCTCAACTATGCCCGAAACTACCTCGCTAACATCCTCCCTCCATGTCTCCGCCGAGTCGTTTACTTAGACTCCGACCTCATCCTCGTCGATGACATTGCTAAACTTGCCGCAACTCCACTAGGAGACCACTCGGTTTTAGCTGCAACAGAGTATTGCAACGCCAACTTCACTTCCTACTTCACCCCAACCTTCTGGTCAAACCCTACATTATCTTTAACATTTGCTGGACGCAAAGCTTGTTATTTCAACACTGGGGTGATGGTGATAGACTTGCAAAGATGGCGTGAAGGAGATTACACTACAAAGATTATAGAATGGATGGAGCTTCAAAAGAGAATGAGGATCTACGACTTAGGGTCTTTGCCACCGTTCTTGCTTGTCTTTGCAGGGAACATAGCGCCTGTTGATCATAGATGGAACCAACATGGGCTCGGAGGAGATAATTATAGAGGATTATGCAGGGATTTGCACCCTGGCCCTGTTAGTTTGTTGCATTGGAGTGGGAAAGGGAAGCCATGGGTGAGACTAGATGCTAACCAGCCTTGTCCTTTGGATGCTTTATGGGCAGCTTATGATCTGAGGCAAACACCCTTTACTTTGAAGTCCTAGAACTTTGGTTTTTTCCTTTCTGGGCTGAGATTTTTAGGTTCAATGATGCCATGGAACTAAGGAGAATAGAGATCTGAGTGAAAAGTTAAGATCTAATTTCTCTTGCAAATATGGTGAGAAGTGTGGGGAGATGTTCATAGATTATACAGCAGATAGCATTAACAGTCTTACTACAATCTTTTTTTTTTTTAATCTATGTATCTGAGAACAGTATATATCACAGTTACGGCTACTAAAGAAGAGAAAAAAGATCAATATATTTTCACTTTTCATATTCAATATCTTCTCCTCTGTTTTTCTGTTGAATTGCTTGACATAACTGCATCCATATTGATTGTGAAAATTTGAAAAACTATGATGTTGGTGCAATGTCTGGTCTTGTGCAGTGAACTGCACCTTATTTTACTCCAGAATTTAAGCCAGCTTGAATTACATACACGTGCCGTAAATGATTTCCACAGTTTCTATATTTGAAGAGGAAGCTTTATTATGGGATACTTTATACAGTAATGAAGTCATAACTATAGCTACAAATCATTTGGTAGCATAACATTGAGTGATTTTCTCTCCTTTTCTTTTGGTGTCCATTTTCTTGCTAAAGCCAAGCATTATTTGACTTTGATACTTTGACGAAAATGATGATGATTGATGGGCTAGAGCTAGCTTATGTTCAAGACTTCCTAAAAAATACTTACTGCGCTTTTTTTTTTCTCATTTACTTTTAGGGTTAATTTAAACAATGATGATGATTGATGTGCTCATTTATTGTGGGTGAAAAAGGTTTGGATTAAAAAAAGTACGTTAAAAAATCATAAAAAAGTATAATTAAAAATTTTAAGTATTTAATATTGTTATGAAAATATGTTAATTGAAATGTCTAAAATATATAAATATATATATATAAATAATAAAATATTAAAAATATAGGGTAATATAATGATTTTTATCTCAAAATACTTTTTCATGGTAAAAACTCATGGTAAAAACAATTCTTGACCAGCTTCTTGATTTGGAATGTAAAACTAAATTTTTAAATCGAAAAACCGAAATTTTTTTATTATTTATCATTGTGTTTGAATCAAAAGAAACTTTAGAACGCAAAAATCTTTTCCATTGCAATACTAAATGAGGCCTAATGAAGTTTATTAGCTTTTTCTAATAATGAGTAGTGGATGGAAGTGTATTTATGTGATATTTTAATTTTATATCGAAATATTTTAAAAATTTGTTATAATATATAAATAAAAATTTAAATTTTAACTTATGAGACATTTTTTATAGAATAAAATCATGAAATAAAACTGTGAAACCTTCGTATAAAAACGAATAATACCTTTTAAGTTAAGTGTGGATCAACACATTTCACTTATATTCACATATATTCACTTACATATTATAAGGCAAATTCCCTGCAAAGTGTCTGACTCTTGGGGATTTATAAATCTCAGTTACTGACTCACAGCCAACTTATCAAGCTGTACATATAACAAGATCTAACATAGGAAATATGAATGAAGTGAAATCTTATGAACATTTGAATATTTATAAAATTGAAATCCTGTATAGTGCTTCCATGTGAGAATTAAAAAGGAAAAAGAGGGACAAAGCAGAAGCCATTATAAGTCACGAAAGTCTAATTAACTAAATTACCAATAATCAAATATTAAGTTAATTTCTGAAAGAGTATGGTTGCATTTTGTTTTCCAGGGAAACGAGGCTTTACAATTCTATGACTCTTTATGTTAATCAAATATTGTTATTGGTCACTTCATCTTGAAGATTTTATCATGAACATGTGATAAGTTGGTGGCTTCGGTATGTATTTCATACTCTTGAGTATTTGCTAGATTGGATGTTCTGTGGTTTTCAATATTAAAAAAGTAAAAAAAAAAAAGAAAAATAATTGTAGAGTATGAAAAAAAAAAAGATCTAGCAATAAAAAAAAGAAAGAAGATGTAGTTTTGAAATATAAAAAAATTAGACAAAGAAAATAAGGCGAAAAGAGTATTAATGTTCATGAAAGTGATTGGAGAAAAAAGATTTTTTTTTTTTTAATTTTACTTTATCAAAAAGATTCAAATTTGATTCTTGAAAGAATATATATATATATATACATATATATATATATATATATATAGACACACACACACATTTACCATCAAGTTAAATATTAAGAAATAAAGTCGATTTTAAGGTTTACAAGTTAAATATTAAGAAATAAAGTCGATTTTAAAATCGATTTAAAATTTTAATAATAATTATATATAAATTTGATAAAATAAAAAATATATTTTATAATTTTATGTCAATACAAATTGTAACAAAATTTTACGTATACACAAATTTTAGAATTAACTCTTCTTTTTGTATTATTCTTGGAACAAATAAATTGTGCTAATTGGTGAATCCAGAATTTTTTTTTATATCTGCTTATAATATATATAAAAAAATTATCGATGTATTTATTAATTTTATCAACGAAAATAATATTAAAAAAAAATTTGGAGTGTCCAAGAAAAATTTCGTTCAAAATTTTTTATTTTTCAATTTTAATTTCAAAGCATAAATCCATCTATTAGTGCGGTTTAAGTTTTTGGGACGACTACGATCGAGGCAATGATTAATATTTGGGAATATTTCATTTACAATTTTTTATTATAATATTGTAATAGTTTAATCATAATAAAAAATTTATTTAAAGATTTACGAGTTTCATACTAAATCCTCCACAATTCTAAATTATAATTAATTAATTACAACATAATTATTATAAATAATATGCTTCTCTAATACTATTTATTAGATACATCCCTCCTTTTTTTTTTTTTCTATAAAAGAAGAAATATATATTTTTGACAAGATTTCCAAGGAAAAAAAGCATATTCATATTTTTACTTCTAATTAACGAAATTTATTAATTGATACATGATTTCTTGCTCAAAGAGCAAAATTCGAATCCTCCCTCCTCAAGTAAAAAAAAACCATCAAACCAAATAATTAGAAATATGAGTATACATTTAGAATATATTATTTTTTATTTAAAAGAAGGAGATTTAATTTTTTTTTTTAACAAGAGATATATACATCCATTATTAAAGCAAATGCTCAAATATATCAATGTTAAGTGTTGAGAATTAGAATTTTTTATGCTCATGACACTTTTTGTTCTCAAATATTGATCGAAAAAAATAATTAAATAGATAAAAATTAAAAAAATTAGGATCTAATAATGAAAAAAGTTTTTTTTTTTTTTAATTTCTAACCTACGTATTTTGAAACCTTCTACTATTATAATTATATAGTTGAAGAATACGTTACGCGTATAAGCTCTTTAAGTACTCGTAATCTTCAAACATCAACTAATTGAAACGTCATTAATCACATATGATATAGGTGATTTGCCCACTGAATTAAAAAGAGTTAGTTTTGTTGAAGCAAATGGTCAAATACACCGATGTTGAGTATTGAGAATTAGAATTTTTTATACTCATGAAACTTTTCGTCTTCAAATATTGATTGAAGAAAATAATTAAATAGATAGAAATTAAAAAGATTATGATCTGATAATGAGAAGATAAGTTCCTTAACAATTCAAAGCCTCCAAGTTTAAGTTCCAATATTATACTAACTAATTGAAACGTCATTATTCACAGGTGAATAGGTGATATAGGTGATTTGCACGCCAATTTAGAAAGAGTTTTTTGTTTGTAAAGAACTGTGGTCAATCAATTTTGGGCCCCTTTAGGAAGCTGCCATGCAATTTCCTTAAACCTAAGTTATACGTTAATATCACTACTTCATCTCCTAGGCTTCTCTGCAATTTCTCAAATGCATAAAAAAAAAAAAAAAAACTTTCATGGCTTTGACCTTCTCTATTTAAGCTGTTGAATCATTGCCAACTGCCCTTTGAAACTAAGATTTTTTCACTTTCAATATCATGGCAACTGCTAAAGATTCCAAGGGTTCCAAATGGTTCTCCAACAAGAGCCTTAAGTTAAGCCTTCAACTTTGTCGATCCAAGTCTGACTCCCTGTCGTTTATCTCTCCGGGATCATCACCAACGACCTTGGGATCTCCTCGTACACCTAAAAGATCCAAGAGGCCAGAAGAAGTGACGATGAAAGAAGTGTTTCGTCATTTTGATGGAGATGGTGATGGGAAAATTTCTGCCCTTGAACTTAGGGCTTATTTTGGATCCGTTGGGGAGTACATGTCACATGAAGATGCTCAAAGGGTGATCAATGATCTTGACTCGGATGGCGATAACTTGTTGGACTATCAAGATTTCTTGAAGCTAATGAAACGAGAAGCCGGCCGTCACGATGGTGATGATCATGATCTGAAGAAAGCGTTTGAGATGTTTGAATCGGAGAAAGGTTCAGGGCGCATAACTCCAGAAGGGTTGCAAAGGATGCTGAGTCGCCTTGGGGATGACAAATCTTATGATGAGTGTGTTGCCATGATTCAGGTATATGATACCGATGGTAATGGTGTGCTTGATTTTCAAGAGTTTAACCAAATGATGGCTTATTAATTTGCAATTAAGCAATATCAATACTAGTTATACTAAGAGTTATATGTTTTTATTTTTGGCAAAATGATGCCATAATCATGTAATTTTAATAAAGGTTAAAATAATTTAAAAAAATCTTTATCTAAATCCTTATATTTTTATTACACCTAAATAAACCATTTATTTTTAATTTGCATCCACATAAGTTCTTAAATTTTAATTTGAATCCAAATAAGTTTTTATCTTTTAATTTATACCTAAAGAAACCTTTAACATAAATCAACTTTTTATTTATAATAAAGACTTATTCCGATACAAATCAAAGAATAAGAGTTTGTTTGGATACAATAAATGTATAAGGGCTTATTTAAGAAAAGTGAAATAATTCAAGAGTTTTTTTAATATTTTAGTCTTAATAAATCATGTATAATACCATTAATATTCACACATCAAAATTTGGTACATTGTATACTTGCCATACCATTTTATAAAAGAAATTTTGTTTTTTTTTTTTTAAATAAAGGAGGTTGTAAACTGAAAAAAAAAAAAATACAAACTATGAAAATTGATTCTAAACTTATTAAATGCTATTTTTAAAGGAAATTACATGAACGAATTGATCGAAACCCTAATTCAATTTACACATCTCTTTGTTTATGCACCACTATTCATCAGTTTCCCAAGGGTAATATTATGTACATAAATGCATAAGAAGCTGTGCCTCTTCTTCCCCCTTGAGCAAAAGCAAGATTGTTGTTACCAGCAAAGCAAAGAGTTTTAAACATGTAGCAATTAACATAATTAATGGCCTGCAACCTTCTTAATTTACATTGTTGTGGAGAGATATTTTGGCAATGAATAAAGCATAATATGGCTTTAAATTTGTAGAATATTATTGATAATTATTCTTCTCCCTTTGTTCTTAGACAAGGTGAGGTTGCAAATAAAGTTGCACTTATATAAGAAATTAAGAGCATATATTCTCGTTTTTGAATTGATCTGAAAGAGCCCCGTTGTCCCATCTGTACAATCCCTTAAATCTGAAGCAAAGTTTTGAGCAAATCAATATAAACAAAGGAACAAAAATAAAAACATATAAATATTAAAATTCGAATTTAAATTTGATAAATATTAATTTTTAAAAATAAAATAAATAGATTGAATTAAACTCTTGCTCAATATAATAAATTTGTTGAAACCTACTATTACGTATCCGTTCGATCTTTTCAGGTTTTTTTTTTTTTTTGAGGAAAAATAATGAACTACTTGAGCCCCAGACTCATGGACAACCCGCGATGCATCAAAGTGACTTCAAAACCGTGACTCTTAGCGAAAAAAATCGTGGGCTAGTGCCAAAGTCCAAGCTGATGTGATATGAGCAATGGTGAATAATATATATGGCTGTATACCTGTACTACTGTTCTTATATTTAAGGTACGTACTGAAACAAAATATAAATATGAAATGTTCATATGATAAGACAAGAGAGGGTGTCAAATACATATTATCATTTGATTTTTTTTAATAAGAGACAGAAGCGATAGAACACATGATTGATGAAATATTTTGATAATTTTAATAGGCGTTGAATCTCATATTTTCCTATTGAAAATTATTTTTTTGTCAACTTGACACCATAGCTTTTAACATAAAAAAAAAAGTACTTGTTTTCGCTTGATGACAATTGAACAGGTGGCCGACATTAGCTAAAAAGAGCCAAAAAGCAAAAAAAAAAAAAAAGAAAAAGAAAAAGACACCAGGGGCAAGAAACTGACTGGACAGTTGTGGCCCAACTTGTCTGAATCTGTCTTTTTCTTCCTTGTCCCTTTCCCTATGTTTGATGCCTTGTGCTGACGGTAATTTTTGAGCTGAAAACAATAAAAATATAGAAATTTATTATAATTTAAAATTATAATATAAATTAAATATAAATTTGTTAAAAATTAAAAAATATATTTAATATTTAATATGTCATTACGAATTTAATATAATTACTTTAATATTGAGTTTTTCTTTATTATTTCCTTTCCTACTAAGCTTTAAAATGAATTTTGATTTTTTTAAAGCAAACCAAGGTTTTTCTTTTTTTTTGGTTTTTTTTCCCACAAATGTATGGAATTGGATATATCCAAATAGTTTGAGAATTCAGTTCAACTGTACGCTGAACTACATCAAGAACCAGGCATATCAAATATGCAAGGACTACAATCTGCCACGTGGCACAGTTGCAAGAACTCCAGCGGGTAGACATTTTGGATATCCGACCCACGAACTAACACTCAACAAATGGCAGACAACGTTTTTCCAAAGCCGACAACAAAAGCCTTTCCGTATTATTGCATTCATTGTTTTGGTTACCAAGTTTGCTTTTCTTTTTGATTCAAAGAATGGTTCAAAGATGTTGAATTTGGTTGTATGATTGAGCTAGACGAGTTGTTTCTCTTTAATTTTAGATGAATTTTACTAAATAAATAGATATAATATAAATAGATATTTTATATATCCTATAAAATATAAATAATTTTTATTTTTTGTTATAGAATTATGAAATTCCAAATATTTGGGTTACTATTGATTAGAGAATTTATCTCACAGTGATGGTAATTTATGAAAATATTATTTTTTTAAAATTTGAGTGTGATTCATCCAAATTTTGATATTCATGGATATATTTTTTAAAAAATTATTCTAACTGTCTTATATCATATAATTTTATTTTGTTATTACATAATTAGTTTTATTATTTTGATCGATTGGTTTCATCCTTTCATGAAATTCATTTTTTAGTAAATTTGTTAGATTTTTTAACAAATCTTGTATTGTTGTAATTTATTTTAAAAATTTCTTTTTGAATTCTTCTTATTTCAAAATTTTTTTTATTTTCGTAAAAATTATAAAACATTCCTTGAAATATTTTACAAAAATAATTTAAAAAATTTTATTTATACAAAGTGTTTTGGTAATTGTTTACTACAATAATCATGGATTATACTAAATCTTCTTTGGTTTTTTCATAACTATTTAGGGATATTTTTAAAAGATCTAAATATGTATTGGGACTACATTTCTTTTATTTAAAGATTTTATATAGTTAGATTGGGTTGCTTTTTTATGTCAGAGAGATGAATGGTTATGTATGTGAGTTGGTGGGGCAGCTACGTTTTTTACTGTAGCATATGGTAACTTTGAATGGATCAAAACAATGTAAATTTTACTGATATTCTCCTTAACCAGAAATGATAGGATTTATGTAATTCAGCTGCTTTGGGTTTAGAACTCTAACAAGGCTCAGATAAAAGGTTAAATTTTGAAGGCTTTGGGGATGCTGAAATGTTGGGAAAGGGTTTAGTATGTGGAATGTGGTTTATAACATAATCAAACATGAAAATAGACTTTGTATTTACTGGAGAAGGACTAAACAATTTCTAAATCTTCCCAGAAATAGTTGCTAGATCTGTTGCATTCATCATTCAATTATCATCATGCATGCCTTGAACATGTTTCGATAAGAAAGAAGTACGTGGCACGCCTGCATATTTGAATAATATCTTCATTCAAAATATGTGTCCATGATTTCTATTTTCTCTAAGAAGGCTTCAGTTCCATCAATGAGCCATTTCTAGGATTCTGTGTGAACAAAACACTGTCTGCTGTTTAAGACGTTTCCTTATTCAAACATTTGTATATTATTTGCTTTCCCTTGGGGTAGTGTTAGGTACAAAGGTAATTATTGGTCCAAAGGGAATTTTGATCATTTTCTCTCGTTAGAAATTATCAATAAATAATTAAAAATATTTTGAATTTTTAGATTGATGTGACATGTTAAACTGACTTATAATGTGAGTGCAACGAAAGCTCGACCACGTGATCGCTTACCTCTCAAGTTCTTCACTTTCCTATAGATAGAATCTCCCAAGAACTATTCGAGACTTTTCTTCTATTTTTCTTTATTTTTCTGTCCTTCCAATTTTTCTTATTTCGATTTTTGATTTGAGGGTGGAGTGCAAACACCAGAAATACTCCTCCCCTTTACCCTTTGCTCACCTTTTTTCACTCTTTGCTATTTCAGGGTTTCACCCCCAGTTTGAAACTCCACACCAACAACTACAGATTTTTATTAGTCACTAACCGAACAGGGGAGATCACATATGCGACTAACATCCTAGCATTATATCTATTCACTAGTTTCCCAACCGTTTTCTTCAAACTCTTAAGGTGCTTGTGGATATTCAACATTTATCTTGGTTGATTAGCCTCCGTTTTATAGTGTTATATTAAAATTTTCTCACCTAATGATGCAGAGGGCAATTTGGTTGCATTTTTTGTTGTTGCTTCAAACCTGTTTTTGCCTCAAACCTTTCCAGGGTTAGAAACAAGATTTTAACAAATCCGTTGGTTGTTAATACGTACGGGGTAATAATATGACTGTTTCACATCTCCCATCTGATAATGATCTGTTGGTTGTATGTAACAGTTTCCTGGTTCATCCTATTTGTCATTACACCTGATTGGCTGGCTGACAGATTGCGAGCTGACATTGTACCTGGCATCTTGTGTCTCACAATTGCAATTTTACATATCCTAACAGAAAGTCGTGGAATTGGAGGATTGGAGAATTGTCAATGTAATTGTTATTGCTTTGGATATTGGTTTGGTATTGCTTGCTTATTATTCCTTACAATATTGTATCTCTCTTTTCTTCATAGTAAAAATTTTACAGCGGCTGCAAATGGGACAAATCTTTCGTTGAAACTGAACCACCATAAGTCTCGTGTTCAACTTTTCTTTGCACATGTCGTGGTCTCAAGCATCTACTGGGAGCTATTGATGGCACTGTGACTGAAATGGAATATCAAGATTTTTTAGCTTTTATTTATTTATCAAAATTTTGCTAGTTTTATTGCCTTCTCGCCCCATCCCTCTCCCTCTATTTCTAGCTGGCTGTAAGATCATGAGTTTGAGTTAATTCAAATCTTCAATGGCTGTGCTTGCAGTTTTTCTGCTATCCACTTTCCATATATATTGAACATTTTCCATCTGAATCTAAAATATTAAATATGCTACATTTTTGCATTGTTGTCGACTATGATAAGCTGTTCCATACTGTCATGTTTTATTACCTTCAAGTTCAAGCAGTTTGTGCCAGAAATGAAGCTATTAAGCAATTCAAACTTACAAAAGAAGAATTTGATTGGATATATAAACCCTGACGGTTGCCATCTGAAGTATCTAAACGGCCAATTTAGGTGAGAATTTCGCAAGATCACAGTATTTGGATTTTGCCTGCAACTCCAATGAACAACATGACAAATGCATCAACAGACAAGTTGCCTTTAATAAATTTTTAAAAAGAAAAGAATGCAATATACTTACCCAATATATAGGTTTAGTTTAAAATAAGCACAAGGTCCTCGTGGAGTGATGATGACCAGTCACTTGTGGAAGAAGGCATGAAATTTTTGTTCAAACCAAGCACTACCCTCACTTTTTCTTTCTTTACAAAAGAAACTACAGCACGAGGATAGGAAAAGATATTGCAGGTGCTGGAATTTGAACCTTATATGTTATAAGGAGTTCGTATCAGTAATAAAATGTCCTAATGAAAAAGGGTGAATAATGAACTCTATATATGAATATGGTTTTTCATCCTGTGTGAAACAGTAATTAAATTCTCATCCTACAACATATGGAAGTAGATTTAGTTATTCTCTTTTTTATCTTATTTTATCCTATTTTATTCTATCATTTTCATGATTGCTGTATTAAACACACAACCTTGCTTCAGTTTGTTGACCTTGCTTTCATAAAAGGAAAAAGTCGACGCTGTTTGATGATTCCTCCTTTTCTCAAATTGTTAAAGTCATTTTCAATCAGTTAGAGTTGGTCCAGCCCAATGTTTATACTTGGTTTTCCCCATACAGCAACCCCAAAAATGTTTCTCAAAACTATCTATACACCTTCAATTTTCACATCTTTCTGTTATGGATCAGTTTCTGCTCGGTTTCTGCTCAGTTTCTTCATATTATTCTGTATTTTCATGCCAAAGCTCCATGCTCAACAAAGTTATTCAGGAAAGGCGTCGAGGTATTGTAATGGAAGCGATGAAACAGGCCCATCTTCAGCTTTTCTTTACACTTGCAATGGTGAAAAGCTATCCTGCCAGGCCTTTCTGATCTTCAAATCCCAACCTCCTTATGACTCAATCACAACCATCTCAAACCTTACATCTGCGGATCCAGTGGAGCTTGCCTACATCAACAATATTTCACTTTCTACAATCTTGCCTCCATACAAAGAGGTGATTGTTCCAGTGAATTGCTCTTGTTCAGGTCAGTACTATCAGGCCAATACCTCTTACATCATTCCAACCATGCAAGACACTTATAATTCGATTGCCAACGATACCTATCAGGCGTTGTCCACCTGCAATTCTCTTATGAAGGAGAATAGTGCTTCAAGTTTGCATGCTGGTTTAGTTTTACAAGTACCACTTAGATGTGCTTGTCCCACAAGCAATCAAACTTTAAATGGTACAAAATTTCTATTAACTTATGTGGTTGACCGGGCGGACTCCATCTATAATATCAGTAAGAGATTTAATGCTAGTACAAGAAGTGTAGCTTATGCAAATGGATTTGATTTAGGTAATACAATTATTTTTCCCTTTACAACAATTCTTGTTCCATTGTCAACCGAACCCTCAAGCTCGGAAACTATAATTCACTTTCCACCGCCACCCTATTCTGCTCTCATCACTCCAATAAATTTGATCAATACTTCAAGGAAAAGATTTAGTGTTTGGATTGGAATTGGAATTGGTATTGGAATTTCCTTGATGGTCCTCGGCTTTTTTCTGTTGATGGCCTTTCTACATGATCATAAGAAGAAAACCAGGGAGGCCGCCAGAAAAAGTGAATTGGGGGGAAAGAAATGGGAGTTACCCAAGGATTTCCTAGTTAGCATAGATCCAAGTTTGAAAGTTTATGCCTTTGAAGATATAGAGGCGGCCACTGAAAATTTCAGCCACAAAAACAAGATGGGTGGTTCAGTTTATTATGGTGTTCTCAATGGAGAATTGCTGGCTATAAAAGAAATGAGCAAAGATGTAGATAAGGAGGTGGGTTTGCTGAAAAGGATTAATCATTTCAATCTAATAAGCCTTCGTGGGGCTTGTGAGCACTCTGGTGTTTTCTACCTTGTTTATGAGTTCATGGAGAATGGTTCTTTAAAGGAATGGCTTCAAAAGAAGAGTTGTCAAAAATTACAGATTTGGAATTATAGGATTCAGATTGCTTTAGATGTTGCTAATGGGCTTCTTTACCTTCACAACTTCATTACTCCAGCGTATGTGCATAAGGATATTTGCAGTGACAACGTGCTTCTCGATGGAGATTTGAGGGCTAAGATAGCAAACTTCAGTCTTGCACGATCAGCAGAAAGAGAAGAAAGCAGAAAATCATCAATGTGGAGTTCTGTAGGAACAAAGTGTTACATGGCACCTGAATATATGGACTATGGCTTGGTGACACCTATGATGGATATATATGCCTTCGGGGTTGTTCTGCTGGAACTGATTACAGGAAAGGAAGCTGTTTTTATGCAGGATGAAAAGGAAGTGTTATTATCAGAAGCAATATTAACAATTATGAAAGGAGAAAATGCATTGGCTGAACTTGATCGTTTAATAGACCCTAGCCTGAAAGGACACTTCTCGATAGATCTTGCGCGTCGAATGATGAAATTGAGCATTGACTGCTTGGCAGAAGAACCAGAAAGCAGACTGAGCATGGCTGAAGTAGTTTCATATCTGTTGAGGATTCAACTGGATGCACAGCGATCAGAAGAACATTTTTCTTCATAATGGCGTTAAAAGCAGAAATCAAGTGTAAGTAGTAATCTCCTTTATTCCAGTTTCAGAAATGCACACCTGAAATGTAACAATCTTAATTCTTCTGTAAATTGTTTACGTAGATTATATGAACCTTGTTGATGGTATTTTCGGTTGTGATGACGTGGAGCCCAGCTGGAGCATGATCTGGAAGCGGAAAGGACCTGCAAGAAGGAAGCACGGTCAGGGGCACCGGAGTTTGGACTCCGGAGCATGCTCAGACACTTAAGTCAACCGAAAATGCCATCAACAAACCTGTTTTGAGGTTTAACCATTGGACTATTGCTTTTTCATTCACATAAATCAACCCCCGTTTGGCAAAATAAATTATAGGTTGGTTATTACATAAAGTGAACCTATGGATTTTCTGCAACACTTAAATGAGCTACGAATGGAATGATGATTTGAGCAAGTTCTGTTTTTATGCCTGAAGCCTAAGAGCCTTCCAATGTCTCAAAAGATGAATGAATAAGAGCAGAAAGGCTAAAGACGATTTCTGCCATGTTTGGCCTAGCCAAAGGATTCTCTTGTGTGCAGGCCGTGACCAATTCTGCCAAGCTTAGAGCACCATCAAGGGGATAAAAGCTCTCCAAATTTGGATCCATCCATTTCTTAGCCTCTTCTCCTCCTTCTCTTCAATTCCTAAGACTTCCCTTAGATTCTTCCACAACATGAAAATCTCACCACTTTCTTTTGCTGCCATGGCTTTCTTTCCCAAAAGCCACTCCAAAAGCAAAAACATCCACTTTTGGCATTATAGTATTTGTATGGTTCTAGCCACTACTAGCAATTTTGGCCCTAAACGTGGAGTCTAGAAGTATATTACTCGTTCTGATATCCTTTTAGAGAATGTTTAGTTGTGTGTGTTCATGCATGTATAGCAGTCCGTTGGCACCATCCCGTGCCACTTGTAGCGTCTGGCTCCAGGTGAGAAACTCTACATGGCTTGAAGAAGATGAACATTTTGGATGCAACCACTTATCTAGTGATCCATTTTCAACATATTCGTAAACCAAGAAGCAATTTCCATCTGAATCGACTGAGACACCCATTAACTTCACCATATTTGCATGATTTACTTTTAGTAAAATCTTTAGTTCCTTTAGCCAAAAAAACCATTGTTTTCTTTTTGGCTAACAGTTTACCATTAATAGCAGCCCTGTACACTGATCCTCCAATCCTGCAGTGTTCATTGAGGGTCATGATTGCCCCCATAATGACGTCAGCCTCGTACTTGATTGGCTTGCCTAAGTAGCCAGAAACTCCAGGAAGTAGCTTATCTTGAATGATCTTTGACTGGTAACTTTCACTGTTAGTAAGTTCGATGACTGGAATCAAACCGTCTCCAGAGAGGAACCATTGCGCTTACCAAAACTGCTAAAAGGAAATAAACAAAGAGCCTACTGTGCTTATAACAATAATCAGGATTTCCTGATGTTTGGATTTTCTTCCTCTCAAAGGAGAGATGTAAGTTGATGAAATATCTAGTGGTCATGCATAGAACTTGGCTCTGACACTCCAAACATTGTCATTGGTTTGTCATACGTAGCTAATAAAATATTCAGTTCCATACTCCAATTGGGCTTTTGAAGGGCACTTGCAGAACAAAGGAAACACCACTTTGTCACCAATCTGCAATTTTTTTTTGGATCTAGAGCGGGGTTCATGTGTTCTGCCGTATAATTGGTGAGATTCTCAAAAGTAGTGGTTGAAACTGTATAGTAGATGTCACCAAGCTTGATGTCATAAGTAATATTAGCAAAATAATTCTTCCTGGTGCAACCACAGATACAATAGTTGGCCTGGGAACAACCAAAGTATCCTCACAAGCCAAGTTACAGCTCTTGCTATCTCTTGAGGACTGGTTCCAAACAGATCAGGAATGTTTTACAGGTCCAAAAAGTCTGGTTCCTGGGCAAAATACGCAGCATATGCTGAGCATGAGGTGTTTGGATTAATTCAAGCTGGAAAATTTTGTGCCATTGCTAGGAGGTGCTTGAGCACTGATATAGGAGCCAAAAACGTAGTTTAAGTATACAAAATAGAACTTGCAAAGATTGGTGAGAAAGGAGAGAAATTGCCATTGACAACAAGCAATAAGCAAGCTTATTAGTCCATTATGCCCTGAAGTGGTACATTTCATAAGTGCTTAGATGAAAAAAGCCTTGAGGTGTCTCACTTAATGGAAAAGCCGAAAACCATTGTTATTTGTGTACACGTAGGCTTTCCAACTGAATAAAATAAGTTTTTCGAATAAAAATAAAAAATGGCCCTTAAATGATTACTTGGTTTCCTTCACCCAACACAAAAAAATCAAAGATAATAAAACTTCTATCAGTCCCACCATTTTCTGGATTGTACTTCAATTTCTGACAGGAATCTTTGATTAGCATCAGATTAGTTTAATGCAATAAACCAAGTCAGGACGGCAAGCAGTTGCAATCCCATTAAAAATGTAGGTAGGCCGACCTATATGAGCTAAACTAAAATGACAGCTCCTCCATCAGCATACATTTAATATTAATCAAGAGAAAATTCAGACTGGACCTGCATTGAGCACTATAATTGCATCTCAATTATAATACATGATATACTATAAAAAAAATAAATAAAAAGGTGTGTACAATGTAAAATATACTATACGTATTGGTGGGATTCTATTTCTCATGGTTCACAAGTACTCAAGTACAGTGTAGTAACAAGTAACATACTATGTGAGGGGAAAATTACAATAGTTGCAGATGAACATTTTCATTTTGCTTATTAAGTTTTATCCTGTATTAACCTGTATGGCTTTGGATCATATATGATTTAATATGATAGGATGCCGGTTCTTGAATGATTTAAAGGGAAAGACAGGTTATTGTTCAGTTTGTATATCAGAAAGGAAAGCTTCCTGTCATCTGAATATGATCAAGGGTTCTTTTAAGACCATACTTGTTCACTGCACGAATACCTTGCCTAAATCCCTCTCCATAAGCTGTGGATGTGTCTGACTCGATCTGGTGCTTGAAAAAACCACCAAGTTTCTTCTCAAAGTCAGACCGCTTGCCTTTCTTTGACGATGAGGAAGAGGATGATGCTGATGACGATGATGAAGATGATGACGATGAAGCAGCATCACTTCCTGATGCAGCGTACATCTCAGAATCCAGCCACATGTGCGCCAAAACCTGACATATACCTTCCTCAACCTCTGGACTCAAATTAGGGTAACCTGTCAAAGCCACCACCATGTTAATACTCCCTACCTTACCATAAAAAAAAAAGCAAACATAGGTCATGGCTCGTGGAACAGATAACCACCTTTAAGCCTGAGCCAGGCGTGCATCATCTCATGAGCTAGGATAGTTCCTGTCAGCAACCTGCATTTATAAAAAGATATTTTTTTCAGGCATATATATCGAAGCTACAAATAAGTCTGGATGGGATTTCTGCACTGAAAGAAAACAAAAGATAATACCTAGGAAGACCATACAAAATGAGAATGGCTGTAACTTCACATTGACGAATTAGCCTGTGACGTTCAGTTATCATGTCTATGAACCGATAGCCTGCCCCAATCTTAGGCCTCCTTAAGACCTGGTAATTTGAATCAAATAAATGTGGAAATCAAATTAAATATGAAGGCATCTTGATAAAACTGAACTACAGGAGTTAAGAAGTAAGAATCTGAAATGGGGTTCATACAGTGGTAACAGTCTGTTCTTCGGACAAGCAGAGTCCTCTAGTTTCTGGTAAGTGATGATGCCCCTGCCCACAGTTAAGACGTATGATAACCATGACTACAAAGAAACAAAGCAAAGGTAATTTCCTGTGATAGATAAAACTCTCAGTGTTTAAGCCTTACATTCTTTTCTCCCTCCATGGCCTCATTTAGAGCTTGCCTCTCAACCAAAAGTAGAGGGACCTGTTGTTCCACTTTCATATTTAATCCTTCATAAAATTCTTGGATTTCAAGGTAAAGAGGCTGGCATTCATGAGTATCCATAATTGCAGAATCTAGACACTCTAGACACAGCTTCCGACCATCATCAAGTGATAAATATTTTGCATCTGTTGGCTGCAAGCAATTGCAAGGCTTTAAGAAATTAAAGATGTACAATATATTTTTTGCATAACTACAAAAGGATGCCGCTCCCTTCTCTTTGTTCCATTTCTAAAAGAAAAAGGGAGCATTCTTTCAACTCACCTCCATTCTTTCACAACTACAACAGCGACGAGTGCCATCATGCTCATGCGACGGGCAGTACTTTTGCATCCAATAGGGATGTGCTCGATACTCAATAAGACCAGCTGGATTTGTTGGTATCTGTTAAAAAAATAAACAAAAGGAAAAAGGAAATGAGGTCAAAATCTAACTACTCTGATGGGCAGAAAAAAATTAACTGGATGTTCAATACATTAATGCTTAAACTAGAAAATGCATAGTCTACAATTTGAAAACATCAGGGTCTCAGAAATATCATATATCTTAAAAATCCAAGAACAACACATGAACAGTGCCTGTCATTGAGCAGCGGGGTCATGCAACAGATGACAAGCTTGATCAGGAGTTTTCTCAGATTCTGTGGCTTTTGATGGGCTAATAGGTGTATTTCAAAATGCCACTTCAGAATAGTTAGCATCTGCAGGTATAGTTTAGAGAAGCATGATGTTTCTGTTAGTCTACCTCTTTGATTTATGCACAATATCTTTTATGAGAAAAATCTAACCAAGACTTCCCTCGACAGCTACAAATGAATCACGTAGTTATCAATTCAAATTAGATGCACTCGTTTCACATTTATATTAGATAAAGAGACCATAAGAAAACATGCTTATGCAAAATAATAAGGTTGACGAGACCCTAAGATGGATTTAGCACTTACAAATTTCTTGCAAACATCACATTTCGGATGATGCTGCTCTTTAAAGCAGGATTTATGAAAAGGGTGATTCCCTGAAACTGAGAACTATAACCATAAAAGAAACTTTAAGATTAGGCCATATGCAACATTCACTCGAAGCCCATAACTCAGTAAGATTAAAAAGTAGAAGAATGACTGGAGCACTATGTTTAATAGTTTCAAATTAAAATATAGATAAACTAGATGAGATTTAGACCTCATAATCATTAATTGGCTGGTTGCAAGCATGACAGCGAAAACATTCTGGATGCCAAAAAGCACTCAAGCAATTCAAGTATCGCCCATAGCCAATCTCGGCATTGCAACCAGCACAGATTCTGCAAGCAGCATGATTTTGTAAACCAGGTTTCAAATGATAAATGTGAATAAACTCAAATAATTTCAAGAGGCAATATGTCATCATTCTATATTTGGAAGTCATGTTTGCAATTCTGTAATGTTGCATAAGAAGTAATACAAACAGTTTTGGAATCCTCATGTTGAAGACAGTAAACAATCCCACCCCCACCCTGGCACAGAGAGAGAGAATTTTATTCATACTTATTTTATTCCAACTAAAAGTGAGACCATAATTTACCCATTTTATTCCAAAAGAAAACCAGAATTTGTAATTAAAGAAAGTTCTCTGACAACTGGAATGTAGGTATCAACTGCAAAGTGCTAACAGACAACAAATAGACGTGTTTGTGTCTGTTACTAGGTCTGAACTATGCCTGCATGCAAACCCTAAGCAGGTTTTATAACCGTTGACAATGAATGTAATATAGATTAGCTTGCTTCTTCTACACTAGTCAGTTTGAAAATCAGTAAAAATTTAATGCAAAAGGTTCAGTATGACTATATTACCTGTAACTAGCTGAAAAGAAGGGATAAGGTGAAAATAAACCCAAATGATCATTACGAGATGGAGACTCCACATGCAAACTTTCTTGAATAGCCTTAGCAAGTTGCTCATCTTCTTCCAATTGAACTTTAGCATGTTCTTCATCCCCTTCCGGTTGAACTATGGCATATTGGTCATCCTCTTCTTCTACATGAGCTTTAGCATATCTGTCATCTTCCTGCTCCTCATGAGATTCAGCATATTGGTCATCCTCATCCTCTACATGACCTTTAGTATCTTGTTCCTCCTCATCTGATTCCTCCTCCGGTTCAGACTCGTCCTCTACCAAGTGAACAGAAAACATGAGAGTTAATACAAAAAAGTTTCTAACAAATTAAAACGCAGGAACCAAATTGAAATCTACCCCCAAATCCTAACAGAGAAACTGGTCAGAGAACAATTACCCTCTTGCTTTTCACTTTTTCTTTCTGGCCAGCTCCTAGGGAAGATGAAGAGTTCTATTAATTCATTATGGATATGAGGTAATCTTGCAAATTCAAGACCAGTTCAGCAGGATAAAATGGAGTTAATTCTAAAATTGTCAACTTGGGCAATTTTCTTATAGCAAAAGAATAATTTTACTACTAAAAGATTCTGTTTCAAATCAGTTCGCATTTGTGCTACAAAATATTTTAGGACTAATTTATAAACAAATTACATTGGTTGCAAAGTTTCCCAAATGACCCCTATAAAATTCAAGAAGTAAATGACATTAATCTTCCTAGTTCACCAGTTCAAAATCTTTAAATGGTTTCAACCAGAAAAAACTAAGTGCTGTATTTGTTTTTGCACATTCAAAGAAATGTGGATATTGCAAAAGACTATTTTTCCAAAAAAATTGTTAATTTGCATGATCAGTGCTTCAGACATGCAACCGTACCTATTACTTTCTTGCCTGTTTGGTCTACTTCTGAAAGGGAAAGTGCAACAGCACAATCAATTTCATCTTTGTCAAAACCATCTGAGTCTTCCTGCATCCAGTTTTTCCAACAAGATTCAGAGTTAACACTAGAAAAAAACTCATAGGAACGAAAGAACCAGGATCACGCAGACAGGTTTTTGAAGCATCAAATTATATGCATAGACAAAGTTGTTACAATTAAATTTTACCATACCATCCAACCACATTTAGGAAAATACTAGCAGAATCACTGATATCTAAGCACAAGCAACAAGTTATAAAGAGCAGCACATTACCGCTGAATGGCGAGGCTCATCCCACGTTCTATCATTTCCATATCTCCCATAATATCGCCCTTTATTACTTGAAACTTTAAAAATCTTGGTCAGCCAACCCATTATGTAAAATTATATTTGCTAACCAATCGGGCAGGCTTTTGCCTGAAACCAGGTCATCCATTTAGGAAAGCAGAAACAATTTCAAAACAAAAAAGGAAGTTCAATCATAACTAGAGATAGAAAAAACCATAACTAGAAAACAAATACTGTTTATAATGTCATAGATATGATTCTTGTGCAATATGGAAAGGCATTTCCACTTTGGGAGGCATTATCACAACTTGCTGTCAAGGCCATTAACTTTATTCCTTCAAAAAACTATTTTTAACAAAAATGATTTAAATAAAGAAAGAAAATAAGTAAAAGAGAAACCATTCTGATGGCAATAACAGCTTTGGCCAAAAGCATCAACCCAAAGAGAAACTATAATTAAAGTTTCCAGTAATTCATAGCAGACCAAAAGCGTTGAAGAAAACATATGAATCACGACCTGGATTTCCCAAATCCAATCCCATAAAATAAATTCTCCGCCATATGCATCAGAATTCCATTCCCCAGAATTCATACACCTGTGAACTTAAATTACAACATCTCATATTCATACCAACATGCAAACACGCAAAACTACAACAACCAATATTACTGAGGGAAAACAAATCCGGCTATACAATTACTGAAAATTAAAAGGATATGAAACAGTTGCCGCTGAAGAGAATAAAGAAAAGTTAAAAGTATCAAAGACTAACCAGAAAGAGAATGAAAAATATGCAGAAACAACAGAGTCTGATGAATCCCAGATCAGAAACAGCACCAAATTCACATGAATGCACAGTCACCAAATTACAGGAGACAAAAGGATATTCCAAGTTAGACCCTTAATTGCCATAGCAAGAAAAAAAAAAACTGACCTTTTTTTCTTGCTGTGACAAAGAAAGGAGTTAGATAACCAATTCTTAGTGAAAGACAAGGTAGAGAAAGGAGAAAGCAAAGAGGTGAGTAAAAAAGAGAACTTGAATCTAAAGCAAAATCCAGGTCTTTAAAAGAAAAAAGGTGGATTAAAAAAAATGGAAACAGTGAGAACTGGCTTAGAAAATTGAAAATAATGGTCATATGGTGTATGGTGTTTACCTTCAAACCACCAAAAAGAGTGGGGTTTTTGTTTTTTTGGAAGATTAGAGGATCAAAACCCAGATGGGTTTGTTGAATTGTTACATTTTCTTGCTTTAACATGTTGGTCCATTATGTTATGCTCATTTTCCACCACATTCCACTACACGTCAAAGACACTTCAGCTTTTCTTGTTGAAAATATGACGAGGAGAGAGAGAGAGGATGAAAAAGAAAAAGGAGGGTAGGACTTCATTTCATTTCCTGATCTTCCCTTGCATTTGTGAGTTGTGGGACTTGCAGTTACTCTGTACTTTGGTTTATTTGTTGTCTTTAGTTTGGCACCCTCCACAGTTACCCCACTTCTTGGTCACTGCCCCCCATAAATGAAATTACGCCAAGTGGCAAAACAAAATCAACTGTTACCCTTTTTTTCAAAATAAAAATCCCAAAAATCTTTGTTTTTATAATATTAAATCCAACTCTTCACCAAGAAAATGAAAAATCCAAGCAATAGGTAAAAACCTACATCCCACCCCAGTGTCAAAAAGGCACCCTTCACTTTATATATGCCACTGCTTTTTCTTTCGAAACAAAGCTGAGAAGACTTAAATGGTATACTAAAAAGAAAAATAATTTGAAATGATTCATTATCCATAACAAAGTATGATAGTCAAGTTCAATCATTTGTATGCATAATTTTTTCACACAAAAAAATTGTTTCTAATGACCCCATTTCTCTTTGCCTGTGCCATGAATCTAGAGACAGCTAAATTTCTCCGGTCTAAGAGCTTTTTTCAGATTGTGCTCAAGAAATAGAAAAAGGGGCTTATTCATACAAGTCATTTTACAAGCAAAACTTGTAGTATTACCAATTTATTGGTTTGTTCTAGATAAGGTGATACAGTTTTCTTGCTTGGTTAATTGACCATAGATGTGTAGCTTTCAGGTTGCTTTTATTTTGTTGAGTGCAGTTAATTAGGTGCTAATGATAACTTCAGTAATAGACCTTGTTCAATTTTCAAATGGTATCCTTGAGTCAAATTAGGAATGAAGAAAAGAAGGAAAGAGAAGAAGGAAAAGATAGCCAATCCTTGTTCATGGAAACAATGACCTAAAATGCTCATTGTTGTTTTATTGTTGCGGTTGGGATTTGATTTGAATCTCAAAATTTCATATCGAAAGTTAAGTAAGTTTGAGTTTGTCTTGTATCTCATATCGGGAGTTTAATAAAAGTATAAAGGGTGAAACCCTTATAAATAAGATGTTTTGGTTTTGGTTTAGTAACCCCAGAGAGTTAGACACCAAGAGAATAGTTAAGTGAGTAGGCTATTAAAGGGTGTAATTGGGTTTTGGGTTAAGTTTTGAGTAAGGAGTTTTAAGAGACTTTTCTCATTCTAAAAGTCTCACAATTGTAAAGATTTATTTGATAGTGGATTTGGTTTGGAGTAGGCTATTTTAAGTTGGGCTGAACCAAATACATTTGTGTGTTTTTATTCTTGATTTGAGTTTGTTATTTTGTGTGTGGTTGCTGCGCGTGGGTATTGTTGTTTTTCCCAACAAGTGGTATTAGAGCGAGGTTCGAGGTTCGAGGTTCGTGGGTCCAAGAGATCGTGAAGCAGTGTTTGAAGATGTCTGAAGAAAGTATGTCTGGTATGTCTGTCTGGTATGTCTGGTATGTTTATGCCTAAGTTTGAGATTCCGTTATTTGATGAAAAGAGTAATTTTATGTTATGACCAAGTATGATTCAAGATCTATTAGTACAATAAGGGTTGGATCAGGCATTAGAGAGTAGTAAGCCGCTAGCTCCAGAGGTAAAATACAATATGTTGACTGAGAGTACTCCGAAGAGTTTGTGGGACAAACTTGAAGGTATTTATGCTTCGAAGTCGTTGACTAATAGATTATGTTTAAAGATGGATCTGTATTCTCTGAAGATGGAAGAAGGTATGAGTCTTCATAATCACCTGAATGAGTTTAATAAATTGGTTTCTCAATTGTTAGCGATTTCTGTTGATGAGTTAAAAGATGAAGAGAAGGCTTTAATTTTGCTGTCATCTTTGCCCAAGTCTTATAGGCTTTTAGTTCAGACTGTGTTGGTAGGCAGGTTTACTTTGAAGTTGGATGATGTGACTGCCCTATTGCGTGAGAATGAAAGGTTTATGGGAGCTCAGAACTCATCACCTGGGGGGAGTACACTAGCTGTAGAGGGTTTTGATCGAGGGAGGACTCAAAAGAGGATTGATGGATCGAGATGGAGATCCAAGTCAAGAGACAGAGATTACAGTGATGTAGAATGTTATTATTATGGTGAGAAGGGACATATCCAAGTGCGCTGCAGGAAGTGAGAAGGGATATGACTGCTTTCAAAAGGGCGAATGATGAGAAGAAATCAGATGAAAAAAAGAGTGATACTGCTGCTGTCGTGTCTGATGATGATGATGTTGTTTTGACAACTTGTGTGGATGAGACCCAGACTTTGAGAAGTGATAAAAGTTGGGTTTTAGATTCAGCTGCTACAGTTCATGTTTGCAATGATAGGAGCTGCTTTGTGGAGTTGAATGAGAGTGAAAAGTATGGGGATATTATGGTTGCTAACAAAGAAAAGGTGCAGATTCAAGGCATTGGGAGTGTTCGCCTTAGATCTCACAATGGTGTTATTAGGACACTTCGTCATGTAAGGTATGTACCAAATTGTCACTACAATTTGATTGCTTTGGGTGAGTTAGCTTCTCGGGAGTACACATTTTATGGTAGTAATGATTGGTTAAAAGTGTACAAGAATGGTAGTGTGATTCTACAAGAGAATAGAGTCAATCACTTGTACATGTTTGATGGAAGCTCAGTTGCTGGAATGCCTGTGATGAAAGAAAAGAAGAAAGGTAAGCATGTTAGCTTTGCAGATACTTGTTGGGATTTGCCTTGAATCTCAGAATCCCACATCGAAAGTTAAGTAAGTTTGAGTTTATCTTGTATCCCACATCGAGAGTTTAGTAAAAGTATAAAGGGTGAAACCCTTATAAATAAGATGTTTTGGTTTTGGTTTAGTAACCCCAGAGAGTTAGACACCAAGAGAATAGCTAAGTGAGTAGGCTATTAAAGGGTGTAATTGGGTTTTGGATTAAGTTTTGAGTAAGGAGTTTTAAGAGACTTTTCTCATTCTAAAAGTCTCACAATTGTAAAGATTTATTTGATAGTGAATTTGGTTTGGAGTAGGCCATTTTAAGTTGGACTGAACCAAATACATTTGTGTATTTTTATTCTTAATTTGAGTTTGTTATTTTATGTGTGATTGCTGCGCGTGGGTATTGTTGTTTTTCTCAACAGTCGCTGCTAGCATATATTGATCATGGAAGCAATTTTTTTTAGAAGGCAAATTGGATTTATTATTTGGAACTGTGCTTCCAGCAGAAGGGAAGGATCTAGAGGACGTTGGCGGGCTAAACAATCATAGGATTGTCCAGCACTTCTAACAGCACATACATGTCCATAAGGCATCAACTTATCCCAACTCCCATCAAACTCCCATCACCTTAGAATCTTCACAATTTTGTTTGGAAGAATCAATGAAAGAACCAACCACAGTATAAAGCAGCATTTTGCACTTTTTCAGCTTTTTTTTTCTTCTTTTTCCCATTTATATGTCCTAAATTAATCAGTTGGGACATCTCGGTAGAGCCACAAAACAAAGATAAAAATCAATTTCCAAACAAAAGCAAGCATTCTCAACCGACCGTTCTACATTCTTTTGTAGCTTTTCATGTATGCTGCCATGAAATCCCTGGCCCTACCCCTCGTGTCCATTAGCTAATTAAAAGCTCTAATCTTTTTTTTTATTAGTCAAGTTGTTATCATGGCCAAATGAAAAGTTAATAGCCATTTCTGTGCAATTGATAAACCCCAGCGTTGCAAAGTGGGAATGTTTTTTTTTATGACCATTAGTTTAAGTAATATATGCGTCAATACTCAAAAGGAAATGAATGTATAACTTTTTATCAATGGAGTAGAAGAAAATGTAATGAAAATGAATAGTGCAAATGATTTTCTTTTTTCTTTTTTTTTTTTTATAATTTGGGAAATGGGATTTGTCCGCTTTTTTAAGATACTTTATCATTTTAAGAAAATTCTATTATATATCTACATAATTAAGAAGATATAAACCCTATCTTAAAAACTAGAAATATAAAGAAATAATAATAATAATAAATTGAGTTATTATAAAAAAATAATTTAAAGACCTAGAGCCCTATCTAATGTATAGGATGATAGATAGAATAAAATAATTCAATTTTTTTAAAATAAAAAAAATTATTTTTCATCTATAAAATTAAATTTATATTTTTATTATTATCTTAAAAATTATATTAATAATTTAAATTATATAAATTTTAAAAAATAATTTTGATCGATAAATAAATTTTTTATTTTAATTTTTATACACATTAAACAGAAAAAAAGAGCTATATTGATACATTATTGGTTTCATGATTGAAATTATGTAGGAACTGACGACTTTCATTAAGCAAATTGCAAATAATCGCAGCCCCACTTTGTTGGGGGCCTTGGATCTGACGTTTATAAGTTGTTCTTATGCAGAAAAGAAATCGAATTTGGCAACTGCTTTATCATATAAATAATAATAATGAACACTTTTTGGCTTTTGATGCAGCCGATGATACAATTAATTTTTAACATATTTTCTCTATTAAAAATTATATTTATGACTTGGAGTTTGGAGCTATCTCTTGGTGACCAAGAAGAAAGACTCAGCAGGGAATGCTGAAAGTAGAACATACAAGTGGTAGAAGGTAAACCAGTCAATGTTGATATAGTAAAAAATTTAGATCCGACCTTTAACTCAAATTTTGTTGATTAAAATTCAATTCGAATTTAATTAAATTTTAATTTGATTTAAAATCAAAATTAAATTATTTGAATTTATTTAATAAAAATAAATTTAATTTTCATACTCAATTTTAAATTCGATTATATATTTAAATTCGAACTGAAATTGATATATATATAAAATAAAATAATAAAAATATATTAAAATTTAAAATTTCAATTAAACTTATGTTTATTTAAATTAAAAATTAAAATAATCAAATTCGATTCTCTTGATGAATCAAATTATTTTAATTTAAACTCAATTCAATCAAATTAAATTTAAATAATTTACGAAAATTAATATAACATTTACACTTTTTCGTTGAAGCTAGAAGCAAAGGAAGTTTGGTGATGTTGGGAACAAGCAGATACTAAATCGAAACCAAATCCTGGTTCCTCCTCCCTTGAAGCCTGCTTGAAGTTTTTGCTTGTTTTCAAGACCCCAGACTCGAAAACCCCATTTCATGAATATGTGATTGCAACTTTCACATGATCCAAAACCATAGGCTCGATTTGGCCCAAATATTAACTGGTTTAGGCCTCACACACCCTGACTGATCGGTTCAAATCTGGC